GACTCGATTATTAACAGACAGCCATCATATAGCTTGAATATTGCTGAATGCGGAAAAAGTGTATCAATGTGGAAGTGGATTATGTTGAAAAATATATCATTTTAATGTTTTTAGGTCAAATCATTCTTTGAGAAATGAATCGTTGTTCATAATATCAGTCACTGACTTATTTGGTCCACACTCGATTATTTACAGGGTGCTGTCAATATAGCTGGAATATTGCTGACAGGGTGTTCCACAACAAAGCAAATATCCCCATGCAGAGTGCCCAAAACACCCCTCACCTTCCGGTCGTCCTTTGATAATCGATTTCACTGGGAATCTATTATATGGTCTCTGGAACGAGACCCTCCAGATAAACAGGCTTTCATTGTAAAGAAATACGTCTAACATTAATCGCATGAGAAACGTACGCTGGCTGTAAAATTAAAATTATCGTTTTAGTATATAAATAATAATATTACTTTTACTTTTAGAACTTGATAATAATTAAGTTAAGGTCTGAGAATCCAATATATCGCTCTCTCGCGCGCTCTCTCGCTCTCTTGCTCGCCCTCTCTCTCTCTCTCTCTCTCTCTCTCTCACGCACGCAAGCACGCACGCACGCACGCACGCACACACACACACACACACTGGATAATCGGGGATGTATGATGGCTTGTTAAATAACGTTTTTGTAAGTCGCGCTAAAAAACAGTGATGGATTTGTAATTGGTATAATAAATTTTACGTAACTTTAGTATTAATACAGTTCATCGATTGCTTTTTGCATTGACTGTGGTCCGTCTCTTAACCGTATAGGGGCGGTGGGGTAGCCGGGTTGTCAAAGCGTTCGCTCGTCACGCCGAAGACCCGGGTTCGATTGCCAAATGGGTACAATGGGTGAAGCCCGCTAAAAGCAGCGTTAAACCATACTCACTCACTTAACCAAAGCATATCCCGTTGTTGTATCTGTTCAACATGGATGCTGAATGTTAATCCATTCCTGTATGCCAATCGCCTGTTTTAGGACCCACCCCGAAACGTGTTGCGCATTGACAATAAGAACGGTAAAGTATAGTTAACAGGATTGTTGACGGTATTTTTCCCACGTGACTTTTGACACCAGGACAGTGGGAGATTTAACAGACGCTTCAACTACCTGCCTCGATTTTTTTTTTTCACCCGGTCGCTCTATTCTAAAAATAGTAACAGAGACGGGCAACTCCTTAACTCAACTCGGGTTTTCTTAGGATCATAGCTTTTAAAAATGCACTTATAGTCCAAATAATGGTTGTTCTTAAAATAAAAGAAGGTTTGTGAAAATATCAACGATATTCATTACTGTGCTTTTCATAGTGTTTGTGAAGTCTAGTGCATATTCCGCTGTAGGAGGGATTGTTAGATATATGTATTAGCGGTAGTTGTTTGTTTGTTGTTTAACGCCGCACTCAGCAATATTCAAGCTATGACGGTGGTCTGTAAATGATCGAATCTGGACCAATCAATCCAGTGATTGACATCATGAGCATCGATCCACGTAATTGGGATACGATGGCAGACATCAATCAAGTCAGCGAGCCAGACCACCCAATCCTGTTAGCCGCATCTTACGACAAGCGTAGTCGCCTCTTGCGACAAGCATGGGTTGCTGAAGACCTGTTCAAACCCAGATCTTCATGGATGAATTATAAAATTAAAATACAAGTAAAGTATTGCCTGTAGGGTCTATGAACTTATATGATATGTTTGATCATGTCAGCTCTGCTACCTAAACTTCTAAATTTGCTGATGACGGAGCAATATGTGTACATATGAGCTATTTCACAAAACGAAAAACTCCAGTCAGCCCTGGACGGAGTAGATGAAATGGTGCAATTTGTGGGGGTTCGCCCTTTCAAGTGAAAAACTGTGGGAGTTCTATTCAAACGCAACGCGGGAGTGGGGGGGGGGGGGGGGGGGGGGGGTGCTTGAATACCCCGTCTCTTCATGACAGGCAAACCAGTCAAATAGAAAAAATCTGAAAAATGCCTAGGCGTGATCCTTACAAACATATAGAATATGTAGAAGACGGATGTCATAAAGACTTGAATGTTTTGCGGGCAATTTCAGGCACATCTTGGGGTACCTCTAGGGACACTCAACTTGACCTCTATAAATCACTTATCATATCAAAAACCAGACTATGGTTTTGAGGCCTTTCGCTGAGCATCAAACGCTGCCTTGAGCCGCCTCGATAAGAATACAAAGGCAAGTCCTAATGCCAGCCACGGGTGCAGCAATAGGTACTTCACTAGAAGAACCACGTGTAGAAACAGGAGGACTCCCATTTAAACTTAGAAGGGAGCAGGCAATATTATCGTTCTGGGGACGAACATCAAACCCTTTGGTGTAAAAGATACGGCAAGACAAAAACACCCGTAGCTCGGAAAAAATCCCTCAATAAAGCCATCTTGGATATTAGGACGTGTACTCATCCGAAGTCACAATTGGGATCACATCCAGCCACCAGAAAGTCACTACAAAGGTTTACACCCTCCCTGGACTTTAAAAACGCCGAAAGTTGACACTGTTTTAACATCAGAAGTCACTGAAAAAGAAAAGCCGACCTTAATACGATCAGTAGCTGTCACTAAAATTCAAACTATACCTGGGACAACTGGACCAATATAAACACTGATGGATCCAGGCATCCTTGCAACAACACTACTGGTACATTCATTGGTCAAAACCCCAAGCACATTCGGACCTGTCTGACGGTCAGACAGTATTCACTGCTGAATCACGTCGCTATATAAGCGCTATAATCTTGCACGCGACGTTAATCCCAATTTCACCTCACCATCACCACTGCTGAATCGGAAGCCATTCAATATGCACTCAATCTCGTACCGGAACTACCGGAAGCCAAGGCAGTCATCCTATCAATCTCGCTAAGTGCACTACAAGCCATCAATGGCAGAAACAGAAACTCTAGACCAAACACAGTCAATAATATTCTGTACGAATATACAAAGCTATCGGACCAAGGGCAACAGGCGGAGCTTTGTTGACTGTACCAAATTCAACCCAAGAACCACCAAAAGCCATACTCATACTCAAATGACAGGAAAGTTGATGAGCCATCTCACGCCTCAGACTCAAGTCACAAAAAGCACTATGACAAGGTATGCCCACCTTGCAATCAACCTGAATCCATTGCTCACTTGTTACTGGAATGTCAAGACCATACCCCAGCCCGGCTCAGTTAAAACAAGAATTGCAGTTAGACCCGCCACTGTCGTATAGCTCTTAAAGCCAAGAGATGCAATAGCGAGGGTCAAACTAACTCTGCTTCTCAGAGATGGTCGGATACACGTATTTAAACAGAGCAGCCAAAGAAATTCTATCAATTTCTAAAAATCCAAAATGAAATCATATCAAAACGAAAAAAGAAATCTTATCAATAGTAAAACTCGCAATAGAATTGTGTACCCTACACTCATACGCTTGACTTCCAAAGAGGGGCGGTGCGGTAGCATAGTGGTTAATGCGTTCGCTCGTCACGCCGAAAACCTGGGTTCGATTCCCCACATGGGTACAATGTGTGAAGCCCATTTCTGGTGTCCCCCGCCGTGATATTGCTGGAATTTTGCTGTAAAACTGGTGTCATCCCACTTGATCTAAGTTTTAAACCCAGGGTACCAAAAATCAATTCGGTCATACGGGATTGCACGCATGTGATCAGGTTCAAAATCAATTCAAAGAGCAAACTTACATGTTTGAAGACAATAGCAAACTTTGATAGTTTATTATATTATACATACATGTACAACAATAACAATATCATTCAAAGACATGCATATGTAAATATCAATGACATATATCAATGTGACCACAACATGACTGACCCGTGAAGATCCGGGGTAGTATAGGTCTTATGCAACCCATGATTGCCTTAAAAGCCTAACGGGACTGGGTGGTCAGGCTCTCTGACTTGGTTGATGCATGTCATCGATCCCATTTGCGTGGATCGATGCTCATGATACCAATTACTGGATTGTCTTGTCCAGACTCGATTATTTACAGACCGCCGTCATAAAGCTGGAATATTGCTGAGTGCAGCGTTAAACAACAAAAGAACAAACCCCAACAACAAACATGACTTGTGACCATAAGTTTATCCTACATATGTAGATTATAGTATCCCAGTCTCTCACATTTAAAGGCTTATCTCCTTCCCGAACATCTGACAGCCGAGCAGCTCTGTCAGTATACACCATAAGGGAGTCTTTTTATTTTTATTCACTTTTTCAAGGGGGCACGGGTGACCCAGTCGTCTAAGGCGCCGCAATTCGCTGTGCAGAGTTGTGTCCCTTGGGCACGCCAGACATCTATGATTGTGGGTTCGAATCCCGGTTTCTTGGTTTGTCAGCACCATACCTGTGCTCGTGGGTTTCACCGAAGTGGCAAACGTCTGAGACCTGCATCACTTCGGGCTTTCCTCCCACATTAAGCTTACACTTCGCGATATAACTGTGCAAAGCGGCGTTAAACCCAACTCACTGTCTCATAATATGTGAAGAGTATATTTGAATAGAATGACATTTTCAAATAAGCCCTTTCAAAAGATGAGTGGTATGTAACCACTGTTTTAGTATTATTGTATTCATCGATTGCTTTTCATTGAGTAGTATTTGATTGTGTGCGCGACAGTTGCAAACTGTAAATCCTCAGTTCTACCACAGGAACATATGCTTCAAAGTCAACAAAGCATTTGGTCCATTTATTCGAATCATTATGAAACAAACGTATTTTCTCGTGTCTGTAAATGAGAAATAATATCACTTTGTGGCATTAGCGAGAGAAGTTGTTTATTGAAGTCTCACTTTCTGTACATCGTGCAGATTACACTTTTCTTGGAAGTGAAACAGTTTTGTGGTATGAAATCTAATAGAAATGTGACTTGGGGCTAAAACAGTTATTTTACGAACCTTTCAAATGTTCAGCTATTATCTCCCCTTGTCATTCGCAGGATTACCTCCCTTTGGTGTTTACATTTCTACACGGTCAAGGAACGTTCTTGAAGCGATAGCCCTGTCCAACGCATATAACCTGCTAATTTGGAATGCATGTTTCTGTTTAACTACTGAAGGTACCAGAGAGATGTTTGGGATCATAATTGCAGGCCGTCTTGTAAGTATTTAGTGTAAAGAGTTCGCGAAATGAGCTGGTGGATTGAAGGCAATATGTTTGGGACAGAAGGAAGTCGCTTGTTTACACTTACAGTCAAGGTTTTCGAGGCTTTCTTGGCCTAGAATTCCGTAAACGAGGCTTACTCATTGCTACATTATTTACGTGGCATGGCTTGGCTGACTTGGCGCGCGATCAACAACTTCTTGCCATCATCGAACTGCCATGAAAGTAGTAACTGGATAAGCCTAAACCGATTAGAGGTAGTCATCGAGTCACGCCGAAAGTCTGGAAGACCTTCAGAGACATGTGGGCTATACATACCCGCAGCACAATTGTATTATCTTTCTGCTTACAGCAGGGGAACAACAACTTGATTAAATTTGTCCCCTATAACACGCAATTATTTTAGTAAACATTTCATATCAGTCCACAGAGTATTCCCGAATATTTTGCAGAAATACCCTCCTGTGCAGAAATTGTGCAGAATTTTGCATTTGTCTACTGCAGAATTTGTCAAATAGGCGAAAACTTCACTTTGTGTTTCAACTTCTTTGGTAGGGCTGTGACGACCCACCTGACCCGAGATACCTGTCCTTGCCCTACTTCCATTTTAATCTGATTGGCTAACCAAACCATTCTTATGGCATTTAATAGAATGGGCAGGGTTGTGTTGTATTACCATGCTGAACAATGTCACTGATTGTGTGTTGTTGTCTACAGATTTGTATTAATGATCAGAGTTCCAGATAAGCTGTGTATCTGCGTGAAATAAGCATCAGAAATGCAGAAATATGCAGTAAAATAAAATCCAAGCGTATCAAATACGCAACGAACATTACAGATACGCTACAAAAATAAAACTTGTGCGTATCATCAAAATATTGTGAAGTAACCCTGCGTATTTGATTAGCAAATCAGCAACCTATTTTGAAATTATAAACGGGCATTCCGTCAACCTTGCCAAACTCCACGATGACACTTACATCGTGATCATTTGCCATCACACTTTCTTGTGGAAGTATCGTGGTATTCTTGAGTCCTATAAAGCTCTCGAACCCAGACGACACCAGTTTGCAGGGACTAGATGAATAGTGTTTTTAAATATTTAACTTAAATACCCACATGTGTAAAAACTAGTGGGTAACAGAAATTTGTATACCCAGATAGAATTACTGATACCCAATTATTTTAAAATGCATGGGTAAAATACCCACAACACCAAAAGCTTATCTGGAGCTCTGAATGATTAAATAATCTTCTGTGAAGTTATTACACATGATTGTGTTTGCGTTTATGGAGTTATAAACCTAAAAACTGGACTGCACACTTTGCGCGACGCTATGTGGATTTACTCTGTACACACACCCTTTTTCACATATATTCCTTCATAAACACAAACACATATTGAAGTCAGTTCTTAATTAGTAGTACTTACTATCCCCTGTGTCTACAGGTACAAACAGACCTACAGCAGGTGTCAGAGACCCAGTTCCTCTTCAACATCTCAGATGCTGACAACATCAACCACGTCGTCCTCTTCATGACTGGACAGACTCCCTTCCCTGATGGCTTCGGAGGCGCTGGTAGGGAGATACGCATTTAAGATACACATGTACATCATGTTCCTTGGATATGCCTATTTTTAACACAGTTGACAACTTTTAAGTAAATTTTTATCATTTCTTATTTGGACTATATCTTGGCCAAAAATGTAATGCAATATATTGAGGTACCGGTACAGGTATCTGTATTACGATACGTATTGAGATACATGTATATTGGGAGATAAAGTATTTGACAGTCTTTGACACTGATTGTACATGCAGATGCTATTTTCTGCATAGTTAAGTAAATATCATTACCGTATTGGACGTAATAAGCGCCCGGCTCTAATAAGCGCCAACAGCGATATTTGCTAATATATTGGCTAGTGAACAATCCCAATTAGCACCCCTTCCGATTGATCAATGTACACAACACTTATTTAATCGCGTATAATACGCGCTCGTGTGTTATATGCTTTCTTAATTATGGGTAATTAAATTCTGGAAAAATGTATTTCTCGTATATATACATTTCAGGCTGTCAGCATATACCACAAAATTTATCTTTCAACTCTGTTTTTTTTTTCAACAAAATAATATTCTAATAAGAGCCCCCTATTTCTAAATTTGAGAGCGCCCTGGGTGCTTATTACGTCGAATACGGTATGTTAAACTCAGCAGGTCAGTCAACACGTGAGAGAAAATCACTTCCGCGTTTCCGCCTTTTTGTCAATCAATTTTGAACATGTTGAAGGGAAACATCATTTGTAATTTCTGTGTAGATTTCAGGTTGAACGATACAAATAATTATGAAACTTGTTATATATACAGAAAAAGTATTGAAATATTTAATGTTTGAAAAGCGTATTGCAGTATACCAGTAATACAATGCAGACCTATTTCTTCTTAGCCAGGATGGATTAACATGTATTCATGTCTGTTGCAGTGTATTTCTCATGGCCAAGCACAGATGGTCCTTCATGGCAGCTGTTGGGACATCTGACAAATGCAAAACCAAGCACTATTTTCAAAATATCCTCACTGAAAACAGGTGGGTCTTGATTTCAGGGCTAGTACTACTCATCATCATGGGGATGCTCATGATATCAATCACTGGTTTGTGTGATAATGACACGATTAATTTCAGACAAAAATGATCAAAGGGATTTGTATTAATGGTTAATACCAGTAAATGATTGCTAAATATACTATAAAAAAAGACTCGTTCCTTTTGCTTTGAATTTTTTAACTCATTTATTTTTTTATATATGCCCCTGTGCTAAAGTCATTGAACATGATGAATGGATATCTTTCAGTGTTCAAAATTACAATTGAAAATAATGGGTTCTATGATCTTCTATCCATAACGTTAAAATATAGATAATTTGGGGGTTCCTACATCTGAATGCTATTTTCCAAAAGACCAGTGTGTTCAGGCTCGCTGACTGGGTTAATGCATGTCATTGTATCCCAGTTGTGTAGATAGATGCTCATGATGTTAATCACTGGATTGTCTGGTCCAGACTTGATTATTTACAGACTGCCGTCATTTAGCTGGAATATTGCTGAGTGTGGCGTTAAACAACAAACAAACAAACAAAGTAAGATACCCATATGGCCTCACTGAACATTGTAATATAATTTTCTTTTCCACAAGTTCTGCCAGAAATTACTTGAAAATGAAAATATTTTAAATCTTATAATCGATGCTTCATCATTTGAAACTGATGAGGAATAGGGATGTAACGATTCACCGATGTCAGCAATGTCGTTCTTACTTAGTTACAGACAATACTTCAATTATCAGTTTGTGATATCGCGATGTGCTTTAAATAGAACAGGAAGCGATGACATAAAGACAGAAGTAGCATAGCTCCATCTGTAACCATGGCAGAACATGGCGTGGTGGTAATAGTGGACGCGCCGCTGCATTTGGTCTCCAGTTTGGTTTTGAAAAGTTTAAGGCAGAGGTTTCAGAGTATATCAGTGATTTCTTCATTTCTTACTATTTGTTGTGGAATACAGTGATAATAATGATAATGATAATAATAGGCTATATATCTTGCACATATTTCCACACCACTAAGGGGCATGCTCAAAGCGATATTATTACTTGGTCACTGGATCAGTGCGCACTCAAGAATCATTCTCGGCTCCCTGGGGAGTGTACAACCCAAGCTGCCTGTTAGGTGCTAGAAGGTTAGTAACCACATTACCACCTCATCCTACTGGGTACCCATTCACTGCTGGGTGAACAGAGGCACATTTCAAACAAAGTCACTTGCCCAAGGAGACACCACATGCGGTACATGTGCTTTGGTGTGGGGCAGGACCAAGCCCTAGAAACTCTCAGGAGCCAAGCTGCCAAAACGCGGTCCCCCATCCAAGGACTTTCCGCGACCGACGTTGCTTAACTTTATACATAAGATGACCCCTTTCTGCAGCATCTTTTTCCAGAGCTACAGAAAAGCTGCGTATTTGCAAAAAATACCCCCCAAAACAGATCAAAACCCAATTATTTTCAATTAACTTGCGTACAGAAACACATGCATTAAATGAAAAATTCAATTGTTTGAAAACAGCAATACGTAAATACCCAATGAAGCTTCTTCAGCATGCGTCCAACGTAGCTACTTTCTGAAACACAATTACGAGAAAATTTACTTTCAGAGTCAAGCCTACATTTAGAACCGTTATATATTACATCTAAAACATTATTTCATTTTGGATAAACCTGATAGAGTGATGAATAGATGAGTGAAAAAGAATATTGGTTACCCAATGAAAAATGTAATCATGGTAATAACCCAATTTAGATAGAAACCTTCAAGTAAAATCTCAATTGCTCAAAAAGTTATCTGGAGCTCTGGGTCCTCAAAATTCGACTTACACGGTATGAGATTTATCTCATGCATTTATCTCTTCCAGGGGGAGGTAACTCATTTCAACAGAACATGTTTGGTCAACAGGCGTCACACAACGCCCAGATTGGAATATCTGTTGAACCCCTGGCACAGCTTGCACAGCAAACACCAGTCACCCAAGCCACGGTGTCGAGTGTGGAATCATTTGTTGAATATTCAAGGAAAATGCTTGAGAACTTTTTCAATTTTGCCTCCTCGTTTGCCGTGACCCAGTCCCAGATGACGCCAAACCCTTCCGAGACATTCGTGCCCATCAGCACGTTGCAAAAATGGTTTGAAAATTTTCAGAGACGCTTGGAACAAAACCCTAATTTCTGGAGGACATGAGGCAGTGTTGGCTTGGAGATTGTCATCATTCTGTGGGAGACTTGTGTCAAATGCATCTTGTTTTATGCGTGAAGATAACAGGTTTTTGTGGGCTTGTTTTCAGTGATTGTCATCTGTCCCCCTTTATTGTCTTTTGTTTTTCTTCTTTGTGGAGCGCATGTCTAAGGCACCGCAATTCGCAAGCTAATTCCCAGCGCGTGATACCTTCATTACACTCTCAGTGACATTGCTGCCACCAGTGTTAGCACGGCCATTACAAGAATCTTGAAATTCGCCCTCTAACCCCAAATGTAGTAACGTTTATACTTTTGTTTATGTCATAGTGAATTTTGAAAATGTTTAAGACTGACCATATTTCCCAGATGAATTTACTCTTTTGTTTATTTGATCAGGTTGGTTCGAGATTGCAGACAAACGGAAAATCTTCCCCCTTACATTCTTACTATACCAGTTACATGATAGTAAACAAAGAAACTTATTTTGCAGGAGTATTCAGCATCATGGCTTGTTTGTTAACATAACGGCCAATCGGCTGCGAGTTCAATTCCATGAATGGTTGTTGTCACCTAACCAATGGGGACTTTTGACTGGTGGCAGCGATAGTGTGGAGAGCTCCGCGAATGGGATATCGCTGTGACAACCTTGTGCAACTGTATTGAGTTGTATACCATGGTAGTGCCAGAAACCTATGATTTGGGGTTTGAATCCCGGTTCACCCTGATTATGTTTCTAGGTTTGTCAGCACCATACCCGTGCTTGTGGGTTTCACCGAAGTGGTAAACATCTGAGACCTGCATCACTTCAGGCTTTCCTCCCACATTAAGCTGACACGCTGTGATATAACTGGAATACTGTTAAAAGCGGCATTAGACACAACTCACTCACTGTTGTAGGAAATAGTTGATATCAAGTTTAGACATGCTTACCCGTTTCAATATCTGAAAAAGTTCATCAGGAGAGTGAAATCTCTAGTTTTCCGAAACTATGTTTGGACTTTTGAGGTGCAACTATAAAGGATATTTTTTAATATTATTAACATGATTAATGTTATGGACTAATATGATCAAGAAACCCCATGATTTATACCTTTGCTTCCCCATGATTTGTTTTTGAGACTTTTTAGGGAAATGTCAAATATATCCCTGTTTATATACACGTTTACAGGAATTTCATTGTTGCACGAATCACTGTAATGCTTGGGTCATTCTGAATTTATATCTTTCAATGAAAGGTTTGCTTACAAAATAAGAATTTACTGTAGTGGATATCTTACAATACAGTAATTGGGCACTGTTGACCTAGTTTTAATAACTCAATCAATGGCATATATGCATTCTGTGACTTTAACCACTAGTCTGAAGCCCAAGTCTAGTAAAGTTCTGTTTGGTCTAGTAAGCTCAGCTAATAATAGTCTATATAACACTAAACTCTACTGGAATTGATTCTTAGAGTCATGTTTGGGCGCGTAGTCTCATAAGGTTTTGTCACAGATTGTACATTTATTCTCAACAAAATGTATATGGTACATGACATCAGACACAGTCCATGGTGTGCCAGTGACCATGCATCTTCCCCAGGCAAGGGAGTTAACTGACTGTAAAAGTCCAATTTCTACCCTTGCCGAACTTAGCTGGAATTTCTGGGTTTGATCGTAGTGCCACCAGTGGCTATTATGTCCCTTCTATGTTCCTCCTGTTGACCAATCAGATTCCACCTCTCATATCACTAGCATTTGCTTCAAACAAAATGGCTGCACCTTGTGAAAACTATCTGATCACTGAACAAAATCTATATCTTGAAGAGCATCAAATCACGTGAGCACCTTCCTTATTGACTAGGTTAGTGGCAAAGAAGTGTGTTAGAAGTTTCTTCCAGGGTCAGGGGCACAGGTGGCCCAGTCGTCTAAGGCGCTGCGATTCGGTGTGCAGAGTTGCGTCCCTTGGGCACGCCAGAAATCTATGATTGTGGGTTCGGGTCGCCCCGATTATGTTTCTAGGTTTGTCAGCACCATACCCGTGCTCATGGGTTTCACCGAAGTGGTAAACGTCTGAGACCTGCATCACTTCGGGCTTTCCTCCCACATTAAGCTGACACGCCCTGATATAACTGTCATACTATTAAATGCAGCATTAGACACAACTCACTCACTCACTCTTCCAGGGTCAGTGATGGCTCAGTCAAGGTGCAGCTCCTTTGTTTGTATGTAATGCATACCCTGTTCCACATGTCCTTAATTAATGTCGGCCCATGAAGATCCAGGGTAGAATAGGTCTTCAGCAGCCCATGCATGCCGTAAAAGGCGACTATGCTTGTCGTAAGAGGCGACTAACGGGATGAGGTGGTCAGGCTCGCTGACCTGGTTAATGCATGTCATCAATCCCAATTGCGTGGATCAATGCTCATGTTGTCAATCACTGGATTGTCAAGTCCAGACTTGATTACTTACAGACCACCGTCATATAGCTGGAATATTGCTGAGTGTGGCATTAAACAACAAACAAACAAATAATTAATGTCACAATGCTTGTCCTTCAAACTCCATCACAGTCCTACCCCTGCATGTTGCATTTTAGCCTCAATTCTCAACAGAAACAACAGATGGATGTATGCTGCTTTTGCTTGAGTTGGCTGGGTAACCATGGTTACTCACATGATTCTGGTGTTTTGTCACCAGAAGAGTATTTTGATGTGCTTTTTGGCTTGGTTGAAATGAAGCAAAGGTTCTTGGAAGCACTGATGTCATATTTAGCACCACGGAATGATCACCATTTATGGATTTATTATTTTTAAAAGTTTTACATTAATTAAAACAAATATATTTTCAAATCTTAGTATTTTAGACCAGCACAAACCAACTTGACACTCCATTGGAAATGAAGAGTTTACATTATATGACAAAATATCTTGAATCTTGACATGCAAATGTGTTCGAACCAAAGAAGTAGTAGTATTTAGGACATGTTCTTTAGGGTGTTGTTTTTTTCCTCACTGTTTTGTTAACTGTAATCCATGTACAGGTTGTTGTTAGTGTTAATAAGACACCAATTTGAACGTCACACTTCAGTAGGTATATTCTTGCATAAAACATGAAATCAATGTGAATGTGTAACATATTTTGTGCATCTGTATTTTAATATAAATAAAATGTTTTCATACAGTGTTGAAGTCCTGTTCTATCTTTTGATATCTTATAGTGACTCGGATGTTATGAAAATATTAAGAAATATCAGTCATATTTAGATATTCCCAATTATTGTGTGTATGATCTCTCTCTCTCTCTCTCTCTCTCTCTCTCTCTCTCTCGGGGCGGGCGGGTAGCCTCGTGGTTAAAGCGTTCGCTCGTCATGCGGAAGACCTGGGTTCGATTCCCGACATGGGTACAGTGTGTGAAGCCCATTTATGGTGTGCTCCCCGTGATATTGCTGGAATATTGCTAAAAGCCTCGTAAATCTCTCTCTCTCTCCATTTCAATCTATAAAATCGAAGCCTCATATGAGTGAGCCCTCGATTAAATCATTTCAGACCCAGAGGATATATTAATTAAACATTCATCCCATTCCACATCCTCTTTGAGCCATGAGGGTTGAAGTCTCTAAACAGTTGGTTCTAATAAAATAAATATGTCTTGAAACCTTCTAAAGAATTTTGTTCAAATTGTATGATGAAAACAAGAATAACCATTTCATTTGACCTTGCTCTATTATATTCTCATTTTATAATTCATTTGCAAAGAGCCAGGCCAGAATACCGTATTTTCTTGAGTAAGTGCGGGGGGGGGGTCTGGCTCGCTGTCCTGGTTGATGTATGACCACCCGATCCCGTTAGTCGCCTTTTACAAGCATAGTCGCCTTTTACGGCAAACATGGGTTGTTGAAGGCCAAAAGACGTTAAAAGATGGTACATGTACTTGTTGTTACCCTGTCTGCCGCTCGACATTAAGGGGCTAAAACAAGGACTTGTCGGCTCGGAGTCAGTATACTGTGTCTGAGTGGGGTATTCATGTTAAACTGCGGCATGGTATCTCAGGGTGCTAGCACTATAAATTGGCATCAGTCCGGACCAACTCACCACCTTCTAGCACCGATCTTCTTCACGGGCTCATACTTGACATGTACATCAGCATTAACCATTTTGGCTGAAGACTGGACAGTAGGATTCTGTTTTATAGCCATACATAGTTATCACTTATTATTTTTAAGTACTCAATTTACTGAGTTTAAGTGAACTGTATTTACAAAATATCAGAAAAACGTAAACCGTATTCATGGTTAACCAACTTCAAGACGACGCTACCAAAATCAAAGCTACAGACTATAGGTGAATATAGTTCAAGACGGGGGCACGGGTGGCCCAGTCGTCTAAGGCGCCGCGATTCGCTGTGCAAAGTTGCGTCGCTTGGGCACGCCAGAAACCTATGATTGTGGGTTCGAATCCCGGTTCGCCCCAATTATGTTTCTAGGTTTGTCAGCACCATACCCGTGCTCGTGGGTTTCACCGAAGTGGTAAACGTCTGAGACCTGCATCACTTCGGGCTTTCCTCCCACATTAAGCTGACACGCCGTGATATAACTGGAATAATGTTAAAAGCGGCGTTAAACCCAACTCACTCACTCACTCTACCCCGGATCTTCTTCACGGGCTCATACTTGACATGTACATCAGCATTAACCATTTTGACTGAAGACTGGACAGTAGGATTCTGTTTAATAACCATACATAGTTATCACTTATTATTTTTAAGTACTCAATTTACTGAGTTAAAGTGAACTGTATTTACAAAATATCAGAAAAACGTAAACTGTATTCATGGTTAACCAACTTCAAGACGACCCTACCAAAATCAAAGCTACAGACTATAGGTGAATATAGTTCAAGACGGGGGCACGGGTGGCCCAGTCGTCTAAGGCGCCGCGATTCGCTGTGCAAAGTTGCGTTGCTTGGGCACGCCAGAAACCTATGATTGTGGGTTCGAATCCCGGTTCGCCCCAATTATGTTTCTAGGTTTGTCAGCACCATACCCATGCTCGTGGGTTTCACCGAAGTGGTAAACGTCTGAGACCTGCATCACTTCGGGCTTTCCTCCCACATTAAACTCACTCACTCACTATAGTTCAAGACCATAGACTGTGAGCTATAGGGTAACACATTTCGGGAACAGACTATAATCCCCCAGCCCCAATCCCTTAATCTGGGATATTAATTTCAATTTTGAGCTGGATGAAATCACCCCAGACAGTGCATTTGGCTGCTCTTAAGGTCCTTCTGCTGGGGCATATATTCTAACCCATATCCCAACGGGGGACACATACGGACACATGTGTAACATGAAATCAGCATTATGAAATGAACAGTTATATATATAAATGACTGGCTATAGGAAGACATCCGTCAAACGTTGAACGGTAGGACATTCAGTAAGGTTCGTAGATGATATCACCCAACGTGCCCTAACACACCATAACACATCTACCTCGGCGTCGGGAAAATGCCTCGAAACAATTCTTCATTGAAGCACAGGGATTCGTATATCCAGCTGGAGGACCGAGTAGATTCATGGTTCATACAAAATATATTGTCTCTTGAAATACACGGTTCATACAAAATATATTGTCTCTTGAAATACACGGTTCATGGAAAATATTTTGTCTCTTGAAATACATGGTTCATACAAAATATATTGTCTCTTGAAATACATGGTTCATACAAAATATATTGTCTCTTGAAATACACGGTTCATACATAATATATTGCCTCTTGAAATACATGGTTCATACAAAATATTTTGCCCCCTGAAATACATTTTCATACAAAATATTTTGCCTCTTGAAATACATGGTTCATACAAAATATTTTTGTCTCTTGAAATACATGGTTCATACAAAATATATTGTCTCTTGAAATACATGGTTCATACATAATATATTGCCTTTTGAAATACACGGTTCAGGCAAAATATTTTGTCTCTTGAAATACACGGTTCATACAAAATATATTGTCTCTTGAAATACATGGTTCATACATAATATATTGTCTCTTGAAATACATGGTTCATACATAATATATTGCCTCTAGAAATACGTGGTTCATACAAAATATTTTGCCCCCTGAAATACATTTTCATACAAAATATTTTGCCTCTTGAAATACATGGTTCATACAAAATATTTTGTTTCTTGAAATACATGGTTCATGCAAAATGTATTGTCTTTTGAAATACATGGTTCATACAAAATATTTTGCCTCTTGAAATACATGGTACATACAAAATATTTTGCCTCTTGAAATACATGGTTCATACATAATATTTTGCCTCTTGAAATACATGGTTCATACAAAATATTTTGCCTCTTGAAATACATGGTTCATACATAATATTTTGTCTCTTGAAATACATGGTTCATACAAAATATATTGTCTCTTGAAATACACGGTTCATGCAAAATGTACTGTCTCTTGAAATACACGGTTCATGGAAAATATTTTGTCTCTTGAAATACATAGTTCATACAAAATATATTGTCTCTTGAAATACATGGTTCATGCAAAATGTATTGTCTCTTGAAATACACGGTTCATGGAAAATATATGGTCTCTTGAAATACATAGTTCATACAAAATATATTGTCTCTTGAAATACACGGTTCATGCAAAATGTATTGTCTCTTTGTAATACATGGTTCATGCAAAATGTATTGTCTCTTGAAATATACGGTTCATGGAAAATATATGGTCTCTTGAAATACATAGTTCATACAAAACATTGTCTCTTGAAATACACGGTTCATGCAAAATGTATTGTCTCTTTGTAATACACGGCTCATACATAATATTTTGTCTCTTGAAATACATGGTTCATAGAAAATATTTTGTCTCTTGAAATATAAGGTTCATACGAAATATATTGTCTCTTGAAATACGTGGTTCATGCAAAATATATTGCCTCTTGAAATACGTGGTTCATACATAATATATCGCCTCTTGAAATACGTGGTTCATACAAAATATTTTGCCTCTTGAAATACATTGTTCATACAAAATATTTTGTCTCTTGAAATACTTGGTTCATACATAATATTTTGTCTCTTGAAATACATGGTTCATACAAAATATATTGTCTCTTGAAATACATGGTTCATGGAAAATGTATTGCCTCTTGAAATACATGGTTCATGGAAAATGTATTGCCTCTTGAAATACATGGTTCATGGAAAATGTATTGTCTCTTTAAATACATGGTTCATGGAAAATGTATTGCCTCTTGAAATACATGGTTCATGGAAAATGTATTGCCTCTTGAAATACATGGTTCATGGAAAATGTATTGTCTCTTTAAATGCATAGTTCATACAAAATATATTGCCTCTTGAAATACATGGTTCATACATAATATTTTGTCTCTTTAAATACATGGTTCATACATAATATTTTGTCTCTTTAAATACATGGTTCATACAAAATATATTGCCTCTTGAAATACATGGTTCATACAAAATATATTGCACCGTGAACATCCAGGGCTTTTTGTCCTGGTTTCTTTTCCAATACTTCATCTTGATATTCATATTGTTTTTGCATGCTTTCTTGACAAATCAGAAATAATCGCTTTTCGTCACCTGTAATTGGATGTCCTCATCGGTAGCGAGAACGTAATGAGCTTTGGGTAAGCTAGACCTGTGGTTACACCTGTTTTGTTTGTTTAAAGGTTTAACTGTTTATTGTTACGCAAGTTTACCACTGCAGCCGTTGTATTATGCAGCTACTAGCCGACTCGTCTCGCATCAAAATACTGGCTGTGCACTCGCGGGCAGATGACCACGGAGTGCACTGACCACTGTGTCGGATTAACGAGACTGATTAAAGAGTGATTTCAGCAATTCGTTGCAAATTAGGAGTGTCGGAGTCGGAATGCAAGACTGTCGGATTCACAGGTCTAAATCAATCGCACTGATTTAATCGGTTCTCATCATTCGTGTCGGATAAATCCGATTATCGGATTAACGAGTTTCGAGATTTGACTGTACGCCAGATTCAGCTTTAACAATTGATACCTGTTGTTCAAATCCGCTAATACAAAACATGCTTTACAAATCATAATTATAAAAGAACCTGGCGTACCATCTTGCTGAAAATATATCATGTTTTTTGTGTGTGGAAGAACATACTTGATTCACTCTGAAACAAGAAGGGTGAACATAAATGTTGACACCAAGTATTAGAACAAACTTTCAAAAGACAGCCCGGAGATCGGAAGTTCCGGGATTTTGACACTTTCAAGAAAGCTCGATAAACTTATGTGGAAATTTTTCTGTCAATCTTATTGATTCTGTTTGTCATACAGTTGTGATTAGCTTGATTTCATTCTTTGTTTAGGGGCGGTCGGGTAGCCCAGTGGTTAAAGCGTTCCCTCGTCACGCTGAAGACCCGGGTTCGATTCCCGACATGGGTACAATGTGTGAAGCCCATTTCTGGTGTCCCCCGCCGTGATATTGCTGGAATATTGCTAAAAGCGCCGCAAAACCATATTCACTCACTCATTCATTGTTTGTGAATGAACCAGCAATGCGGCGTCTGCAACGCGCGGAGCGTCTAGACGATTCGCTATTGGCATGTGTGGTAGAAGTCAGCGTGCAGTGGCCAATACGTTCAATGTTCCCCAGTCTTTGCAGACTATGGAACAGTTACCAAACAACCCCAAATAATGACCTCGTTCAGGGCGTCCCAGATCAACGATAAGAGTTCAGGACCGATTCATCCGAAACCAGGCTCTGTGAAATCGAGCTCAAACGGCGAATGAGATTGCTGCAAGCGTTCATCAGGCTACTGGAGTATGAGCTACGGGTCAGCGGTTTGGAATTTGTCTACATACAGCTCATCTCCATGCTCGTGCCACGTGCTGTGCATGACGCCCCATTCAAATCGTCATATTGCCAACAGACGGAAATGACGTACACAAAATGAGTGAGTATGGTTTTACGCCGCTTTTGGCAATATTCCAGCAATATCACGGTGGGGAACACCAGAAATGGGCTTCAAACATTGTACCCATGTCGGGAATCGAACCCGGGTCTTCGGCGTGACAAGCAAACGCTTTAACCACTAGGCTACCCGACCGCCCCGTACACAAAGTCTAAACTGGGGTCGTCTGAGACTTGCTTCACTTCGGGCTTTCCTCCCACATTAACCTGACACGCCGTGATATAACTGGAATACTGTTAAAAGTGGCGTTAAACCCAACTCACTCACTCACTCACTCACACACGAAACTGGGTTAATCGTCGTTGGTTACGTTTCACGTTTTCAGATGAGCCCCGATTCACTTTGCACTACTTTGAAAGGCGTGGTCGTGTCTTGCGACGTCGACATGAACGTCAAGCCGATGTCAACCTGAGACCTCATGACAGATGTGGTGGTGGATCGGTTATGGCGTGGTTATGGAGTGTCGTCACAATGCCTGAGCGAACCCCACTCCATATTGTACAAGGAAGGGTCGGTACATGGACAGTACCATCGAGACAACATACTGACACCCTTTGATGTCCCGGGGGCCACGGGTGGCCCAGTCGTCTAAGGCGCCGCAATTCGCTGTGCGGAGTTGCGTCCCTTGGGCACGCCAGAAACCTATGGTTGTGGGTTCGAATCCCGGTTCACCCCGATTATGTTTCTAGGTTTGTCAGCACCGTACCCGTGCTCGTGGGTTTCACCGAAGTGGTAATTTTTAAACGTCTGACACCTGCATCACTTCGGGCTTTCTTCCCACATTAAGCTGACACGCCGTGATATAACTGGAATACTGTTAAAAGCGGCGTTAAACCCAACTCACTCACTCACTCACTCACATTTGATGTCCCGTTTCCAAGGAGCGTGGGCTGACGTTTTGTATTTCAGGACGACAACGCCCGTGCTCACCGTGCACGAATTGTCAATGCACACCTCCACCAGCACAGCATCCATAGAATGCCATGGCCAGCCATGAGCCCTGACCTTTAGCCCATTGAACAATCTGGGACATGATATGGAGATGTGTGCGTGTGAACGCCAAAGGCCGTCGACCACGTTGGATGAATTTGGACAGGCGCTGCAAGAGAAGTGAAACAGACTCCCTCACATCGCCTTTGAGAGACTCATACGCAGTATGCCTCGTCGAGTGCATGAATGTTTGACAAATCGTGGCGGTATTACGCACTACTGATCCCAAAACGCCAGACGTCCCCAGACGTTTAATGGTTTCTCCTTAACTCTTCATCAGGTAAATAAGCGTATAGTGAGTTAATATACTGGCTTCATCGTTATTTTGTTATCTTTGCACATAAATCTACGCAAGCCTTCAAGGGCCATTTGTTTTTTTAAAAAAATGTCGATACTATCGTGAAATTTCAACTTAGTATCTTGAAATTTCAAGATAGCATCGAAAAAAAATTTAAAAACCAAATGGCCCTAGAAGGCTTCCGTAGATTTATGTGCAAAGATAACAAAATAACGATGAAGCCAGTATAATGAAATTTCAAGATACTAAGTTGAAAATTCAAGATATAGAAGTTGAAAATTCAAGATAGTATCGAAATTTAAAAAAACAACAAATGGCCCTAAAAGGCTTCCGTAGAATCCCACTGTGCAATGGAATCCTAGAAGGGGCAAATTGTCGCCCTTAAAAAAACAACAACAAAAAAATAAAAAAGTGTAAAACTTAACCAAACCAAAAGGTCAAAATGTGTCGCGTTGTCGCCCCATCTAAAATGTGTGAAAAGGAGTTAACAGGACAACGCTACATATATGGTCTTTTGTTTAGCTCCAGTGAACTAAAACAAACTAGAAATGGCAATTATAGGGTTGCTTTTATTTAAATGAAAACACTTAAAAAGAAGTTTAAAAACGCAATTAATGTTGTTATTATTGCTCTTACGTTCTTACACTACAGGGGGCGGTCGGGTAGCCTAGTGGTTAAAGCGTTCGCTCGTCACGCCGAAGACCCGGGTTCGATTTCCGACATGGGTACAACGTGTGAAGCCCATTTCTGGTGTCCCCCGCCGTGATATTGCTGGAATATTGCTAAAAGCGGCGTAAAACCAAAACTCACTCACTCACTCTTACACTACAGCCTCTAAATGCGTATCATACACTTCACAATTCTTTATAATTACTTGGTGAAATCGAGGGAGTAGATTCATCATAAAATATAGGCGGATCTTGAGAGAGTCTAGGAGCACCCCCATCCCCCCCCCCCCCTTTGAAAACGAGATGAAGTTGTACACACTCCCACCCCGCCCCCCACTCACACCCTCTCACTGAGAAGATTTTTATATTTTCGACCCCTCCCTTTAAAATCAAACGTAGTATGTTGTAGAGAATTCCGAGCCTGGTAGTACCGTAATGCTCCGTCATCACTGCGCCGGATTGTGTATTAACCTACCACCTCAAAACATTTCCACGTGGTTTGTGTGCCTGATTTTCCCGCTATCTTGTCGATTACGCATTTTGATTGGATACAAAAGTAACATATTCATCATGACCCACACCTACTTCTGCGACACATGTTCTTTGGAACGACAACACCTGAAGCTCGCGTATACAGTGAACAAAGTATAATTTCTGAACTTGATGTAATTTGCTTTTTTAGTTTCTAATTTAAATGTAGTATAGAAATCACAGCGCCCGTAGCCTCCCAGCTGGAGAGACTTCCTGGGCTTGTTGGCAGGGTCATCAAATGTGATCACGTGGAGAAGGTTATAAATAATGATTGGCCAATCACAGACCTCGTTTCATGAATTTGCGGTAAAGTGTGGTGACGTAGTTCACATCATTGTGTCCACGTTGTAGCAAGTGGACGCTAGTAATCAGGTTTAATAAGCAAAGAACGCTTTAAGAAACCGCGAAACATTTGTGTTTTTAACATTTCTATATGCATATATCACCGACAAATCAGTAGAGGAGCGCAACAACCGATATACCCCGAGAATGATCGCCGACACGGCCGTAACGATGGGCAGGTATGTTTGCCATGTGGAATCCATGATGGTTCCGCGAGACACTTACGATCACTAATCCAGACTTACTCATATTGATGATTCACATACAGATTTGTTAGTTGATGTAATGAAATAGCCGACACCTTGTCACCGTTAGAACGTATGTTGACGAGGATAGGTCTATATGTGTTCTATGAACACAATTCTAGAACACGTGCTTCCTGAAGCTGCAGGCATAGTCACGCTGTTCACGCTGTTGAAGGGGCTGGTCTGGGCAGGTTGCCAACTCTCCTAGTCACTCCGTCTGGCAAACACACGTGCAATTTGTGCAATTTTTAAAATATAATCTTCTGCCCCGTCAAGCGTAACCACGTGCTGATTGAACATCGCGCGTGGGATACACGTGTTATAGTACAATCTGAGCGTAATTTCCCGTCAGCAGCGGTGCAGTGCAGCTGATCACTTGTTGCGCTGATCACGTGCATCTCTTTCATTTTAGGAATGTTTAGTCGATCAAACTTGGTGTTGGTGCTGGGAGCCCTTTCATGGAGGGAGGAGATTGTTCTTAAAATCGAAATGTATTTGTGTGAGCAGAAGTGCTACATTTTTTTCATGACACTCCCCTAAATTCTTCAATTCTTTTGGATTATCCTCCACATTTTTGTCCCCCCCCCCAAAAAAAAAATCCAAAACAAACCCAACAACATCAAAGCAAAACACACTCATGCTTCCTGACCATGTGCTCTGTTCATGTTACCACTTGATGTGTGTAAATGTGGCACCTTGAAGCTCTCTCTATTTGTCATTTATTCATGAATATTGATCAAATGGTCACAATGTATTGTGTGAATGCTGAATATGAATACAGGTAATAATATAAACTATGCTACTGACGCATTCTCAAATGCTTCTAATTACAAACAATGCCGACAATCCAACTTTTGCAGTAATTATTTATTAGTAATAGTATTAGCCATTGTTTTTAAGTATCAACGGCCCATGGCCTCTTACAATAGACTAGTGTTAGAAATAGCATGTTAGTAAGAAGACAGCCTCCATGCTCTAGGGGTAGAGCGTCTGCCCGGTGAGCAGAAGGTTCAGGGTGCGATCCTCGGCCGAGTCATACCAAAAGATGTTAAAAGATGATACTTGTTGTTACCCTGTCTGGCACTCGGCAATAAGGTGCTCAAACAAGGACTGGTTGGCTTGGAGGCAGCATTCTGTGTCTTGAGTGGGGTATTCATGTTAACCGTGCCATGTTTTTTTAGTGGGCTAGCACTATATACATCTGGACTAGTACAAGCAGCCACATACACTGGCTATATAAGTTCAATAATCTTGAACGCAACATTTGACCCCAATTCACCTAACCTGTTAGTGATAACAAGTTAAGCAAAATCCAATTACGGTAAATTGAATAGAATCCTTTATTGTGATTATTTTCTTATACTACAAATATTCTGCTCATGTTAAACAAATGAGGGAATTCCTGAATGAAATAGGTCCCCAGTGATTCTGCTTGTAAGAAGTGGTGGAAGGACAAGAGGCTCCTAATATCAGTCAAAGGGTCAGTTATCTACAGTCCGCCATGATAACACTGACGGTGGATTTAAGCAGCATACGTCGTTAATCTACTGTAGCAGGAAGACAATTGTGCTTAATGTATGCAGGTGTTGACAATTACCTGATGGTTGAGTTTTCCTTAGGTTGTATTGTACAACAGTGTGATAGGAAATATTTTCAAGTTCATGGGCATTGAGGCATGGTGACTAATTGGGTGGATTTACTACTGTCATGAAGATCCGGATAGAATAGGTCTTCAGCAACCCATGCTTGTCGTAAGAGGCGACTAATGGGATCGGGTGGTCCGGCTCGCTGACTTGGTTGATGCATGTCATCATATCTCAATTGCATAGATTGATGCTCATGATGCCAATCACTGGATTGTCTGGTCCAGACTTGATTAATTACAAACTGCCGTCATATACCTGGAATATTTCCTGATTGTGGCATTAAACAACAAACCAACAAACAAATTGGACCTGACACATGTTAATCTTAATTTCATAATATCCCTGTGAGATGTTGAGAAGTGTATGTTTCAGCGTAGGGACCCCCTGAATATATTACTGTTGGTGTTAAGTCAGGACCCGTGAAGATTCCGGGGTAGAATAGATCTTCAGCAACCCATGCTTGCCGTAAAAGGCGACTAACGGGATCGGGTGGTCAGGCTCGTTGACTTGGTTGATGCATGTCATCATATCTCAATTGCGTGGATCGATGCTCATGATTTCCATCACTGGATTGTCTGGTCCAGACTCAATTATTTTACAGACCGCCGTCATATAGCTGGAATATTGCCGAGTGCGGCGTTAAACGGCAAGCAAACAAACAAGCAAACAAGATGCATAATTTCAACAATGCAGACATTTTGAATCTCTATGAATGATATTCATGTCTGGTGACAGTTACTGATATAACAGACATGAGTGCCTAATTTTCTATTGAAATCATTATTGCATTATTTAATACAGAACTGTTTGAAATTAAATGTTTTATTAAGATTATTATCATGTAGATTTCAATGTGAATTGATCCTATAAACATGATAAACATTGCCCAAATATTGAATGTATAGAGACTACAACATGACGATTTTAGTGTGTCATTGGAAAGGGGGGTTGGGTAGCCAAGTGGTGAAAGCAGTAACTTGTCACACCAATAGTCTGCATGGTCTGGGTTCAATTCCACACTTGAATATGATTCGCTCGTCATGCTGAAGACCCGGGTTCGATTCCCGACATGGGTTCGATTCCCGACATGGGTTCGATTCCCGACTTGGGTGAAGCCCATTTCTGGTGTCCCCCGCCGTGATATTGCTGGAATATTGCTAAAAGCGGTGTAAAACCAAACTCACTCACTCACTCACTTGAATATGATATGTTAGACACATTACTGATGTTTTTTATTAAGAAGTTCAAAAAGAAGCATTTTGACTACACTCTCAATTCTCATCCCATAAACATGTATACCCTTGTTCACTCACCCATTGATTAAAGATGATTAAACCAAACTCACTCACTCACTGATTAAAGGGACAGACCATTTGATATTCTAGTGTGAGGGGATGGAGTGAGTGAGGTAAAATTTAACGTCACATCAGCATTATTTCAGCCATATAGCGCCGAGAACCAAGTGATATGTACACATCACAATTTAGTCATGAATACAAAGTTATATTTACGAGCAAAATTGTCTGACGTCACTCACGCTTTGAGATCATCTTGATGAAAATGTCTTCTACACGTTTCAGCCCATGGTTCTCCGACAGCCCTGACATTGGTGAAGTACCAATTGATAACTTTGACCTTGACCTGGATATCAATGCGTTTGAGGCAGAAATTTCCAGGTGAGTAGTTTGGTTGAAAAGGTTTGTTTCAGTACTTCATGGTTTTGTATCAGCTGATTAGAGTCTCTTTTGTTTAATATTTTGCAATGTGTTTTATAAATTCAGTGCCAACTGAAGAATTCAATTTAAGTTTAAGAAAATATTTTCCAAAATCGTAGACATGAAATTGAAAGGTATTCTGCTGTTATGTTTCATCCTTAACTAACTACCTGTGAAGACCCGGGTTAGAATAGGTCTTCAGCAACCCATGCTTGTTGTAAGAGGCGACTAACAGGTCAGGTGGTCCAGGCTTTGCTGACTTGGTTGATGCATCAAGTTGCGAGCGCATATTCGAATCTCCAGAAAATACGTCATGATTAAACAATGTTTTATCTTGAAAAAAAACAAGCTTCTCTTTTCATTCTTCTTTCTAATTTATCGCGTAGCTATCTTATCAGAGTTCCAGATAAGCTGCGTATCTGCGTGAAATACGCATCAGAAATGCAGAAATACGCAGTAAAATAAAATCCAAGCATATCAAATACGCAACGGACATTACAGATACGCTACATAAATAAAACTTGTGCGTGTCATCAAAATATTGTGAAGTAACCCTGCGTATTCGATTAGCAAATCAGCAACTTATTTTGAAATTATAAACGGGCATTCCGTCAACCTTGCCAAACTCCACGATGACAGTTACCTCAGATCATTTGCCATCACACTTTCTTGTGGAAGTATCGTGGTATTTTTAAGTCCTATAAAGCTCTCGAACCCACACGACACCAGTTTGCAGGGACTAGATGAATAGTGTTTTTAAATATTTAACTTAAATACCCACATGTGTAAAAACTAGTGGGTAACAGAAATTTGAATACCCAGATAGAATTACTGATACCCAATGATTTTATAATGCATGGGTAAAATACCCACATCACCAAAAGCTTATCTGGAGCTCTGCTTATTAATTATATATGAGGATAATTAAAAAAAACCACTTGAAAATAAGTTTACAAAATTACGAAGGAATTTTCAACAACACATATATTTTTTTGACACTGTTCAATCTCTGCAAAAATGAGATAATTTTAGGATGTTTGAGAAATATGTCATGGATCACTGTTTGATTTCAACAGAATTCACAGACAACCAAAGCCCGAGCTGCAGCAAGACATGTATTCCTTCCTGAACAGCGTGTCATGTGACGCCAGTGTTGCCAGCTCCGAGTGTAGTGACGATTTGTACGTCGATATCGATGGGGACGATGCCTTGTTCTGTGACCTGCAGGCTTCCATACTTAACATCTTAGATGATGGCACAAATTCAAGTAAGAACCATCTTTCAGACTTGTAGTTCAGTTATGATATCACTCACTGAGTTCATGTCTGGCCCTATTCCACAAAGCGATCATAGCAGTATGACTGTCTTAAGTCTGTATTACAATCATCTTAGAGTGTTGCTGTCTGTAAGTTGTGGCAGTATCATACTGGGGGGTGGGGGGCACAGGTGGCCCAGTCGTCTAAGGCGCCGCGATTCGCTGTGCATCGTTGCATCCCTTGGGCACGCCAGAAACCTATGATTGTGGGTTCGAATCCCGGTTCGCCCTGATTATGTTTCCAGGTTTGTTAGCACCATACCCGTGCTCGTGGGTTTCACCGAAGTGGTAAACGTCTGAGACCTGCATCACTTCGGGCTTTCCTCCCACATTAAGCTGACACGCCGCGATATAACTGGAAAACTGTTAAAAGCGGCGTTAAACCCAACTCACCCACTCACTCACTGTGATGTCTTTGTGGAAAGGGAGCCAGGTCTTATGTTAAAACCCCTCTAGTTTAATGTTAGTGAATTTCATGACGTTATTTTCAAGAATATTATTAGCATCATCTCAATACATGATCATCTTCTGAGATGGTTATTCACTGACAGATCAATATTCTCGTGGAAAAGAAGGCACAGGGTTATTTTTTGCTCTTTTTTGGATTTGCAGTGTTGTCTCCCCTAGATCCCCAGGATCCACTAATCGTTGGTTCAAATCTTTGATTAATCCTGATTATTATCAGAATGTTTCCTTTCCTGCCAGACATCATCACAGTTCTGGCCCATATTGTAAGCAGTTGTAAAAAATATTGTTAGGCTAAAATTTGTTTGACAAATTCGCTTTTAAGTATAACTTTGTGTCTATGATGCGCTTAGAATATGTCTTCAACAACCCATGCTTGCCGTAAAAGTCGACAAATGAGATTGGGTGGTCAGGCTCGCTGAGTTGTTTGATGCATATTATCGTGTCCCAATTGCGTACATCGATGCTCATGATGGATTGTCTGGCCAAGACTCAATTATTTATAGACTGCCGTCATATGGCTGAAATATTGCTGACTGTGACATTTAAAATAAACAAACAAACACTTCTTTAAAATTGTGAATGTTTGACATGCATCATGTGGACGTTCTTCTCCCAATTGGAATATGACTTACTAATAGTTTATCGTTCAGAACAAATGCCATGTCATTCTACCATTGTCTATCATCATGATTATGATTTAAAGATTTATTAATTTAAATTCCTCATAAAAATGCCTTAGTTGGTGTCAATCAATGAGTTTATTTGTGTGATCGTGATACTTAAAGGTTTAACAGCTGTTTAACGTTTTTTGTCAAATGTTTGAATATTCAATAACACTTCGTTGTGGTCAATAATTTAGACAATTATGGATTTTGATTACAATCAGAACACAGCTGTCTTCATACAGATGGTTGAGACTGCCGCGTCTCTGTTTCAGATGTCCTGTCAATAGATAACATAGATTTAGCTGACACCGACTGGGGCGTGTCAAGTAGATCCCACGACATAGACAATCAGTCGACGACGTCAGGGTACAGCAGCATAAGCAGTAGCAGCCAGACCAGCTCAAGTAGTCAGCAGAGCTGTAGTGACAGTCAGGCCAGCTCGAGTAGTAGACCGAGCTGCAGTAGCAAGAACAACTCGTGTAAAACCACTAAAAGTAAAAGCAGTAAAGGCTGCATCAAGAACAGCCAATGTGATGTAGATAATGCGCCGTCGTCTCCTCAGATGGGCAAGAAGCGGCAAAAACCACAGAGCACAGATGGTAAAAGGTGGTAAGTACCTGTCCACTCAGAGCTTGTAGGGGGCACGGGTGGCCCAGTCGTCTAAGGTGCTGCTATTTGCTGTGCAGAGTTGCATCCCCTGGGCATGTCAGTACCTATGATTGTGGGTTCGACTCCTGGTTCGACCTGATTATGTTTCTAGGTTTGTCAGCACCATACCCGTGCTTGTGGGTGTCACTGAAGTGGTAAACTTGACGTGGTTAACTTTTAAGACCTACATCACTTCGGGCTTTCCTCCCACATTAAGATCCGGGGTAGAATAGGTCTTCAGCAACCCATACTTGCCGAAAAAGGTGACTATGCTTGTTGTAAGAGGCGACTAACGGGATCGGGTGGTTAGGCTCGCTGACTTGGTTGATGCATGTGATATTATCCCAATTGTGTTGATTGATGCTCATGATGTCAATCACTGGATTGCCTGGTCCAGACTCGATTATTTACAGACCGCTGTCATATAGCTGGAATATTGCTGAGTGCGGCGTTAAACAAACAAACACAAAGTTGGCAAGGAGTAAATTTTCGTAGACACTGTTAAAGGGAGGGATATTAGTTAACCTTACATCGTCTACTAAGAACCTGTCTTGTTATCCCCCGCCCAACAGAGTTGGCGGGGGATATAGAAACAGGCTCCATCTGTCCGTCACGTTTCGTTTCCGGAGCTTAACTCAGAAACCATTCAATATTTTTTCATGAAACTTTGCAGGTCTCTCAGGTACATGCTGAACTGGTGCCTTTTGCTATTTAGATATTTAAGAATTTTTTTTATTTTTTACGTTTCCATGGCAACAAGATGGACTTAGGTTCTGTGAGGGTAGGGTTTGTTTCAGGAGCATAACTCATAAACCATTCAATATTTTTTCATGAAATTTTGCAGGTTTGTACGGTACATGCTGAACTGGTGCCTTTTGCTATTTAGATATTTTAGAAATTTTTACGTGTCCATGGACTTAGGTTCCAAACTCTCCTTCTTTTTACAATTTCCATGACAAGTTCCACCTCGGTTAAAAAAGGTAAGGGTTTGTTTAGATTTAATTATGTCATAAATTCTGCAACAGGGGCGGGGGATATAGCCACGTTAGTGGCAAACTCTTGTTTATCGATTGGTATGAAGTTTATTTGTAATGCTGCATCTGTCCAATCGAGACGCTTGTATAAAACAATAGTTGCTGTAGTCAATAAAAACTAAGGTATAAAATTATCAAGTTTGGGAATCAAATGGCTGTGTTGTATTGTAGACAATTCATATCATCCGGCTTTGGTGTCCTGGCAGAAGATCGGAACAAAACGATAATTACTATTGACAGCATGTCAAATGGAACACCTGCAAATGTTCATGTATATATTTGTGTGTGTAATAGTTTCAGTACATGGATGACGATTTCCTTTGTTGTGGTTGCAAATATAACCAGGGGTAAGAATCGTTCCCTGATCCGCGAAGTTCCACATATTTTAGTGGCTGCAGATTTGTTAAAATTGACCCCTCCCCCCCCCCCCCCCCCCCCCCCCCATCATGCCCTAAACACCCACAAATTATCATGGATAAAATGGATATTTTTCTTTTCAGATGAAACTTATTTGAAATGGAGCGTGGTCCATAAATTGGGGGTGTTTAGGGGGGAAGCCATCATATTTTGACAAGTTTGTGGTCACTTAAATTTGCGGATCCACGGAGGATTCCTGTATGACTAAAAACGGATCCAGATCAAATTTTCCGTATTTGTTTGCTGTGCAAGCACTGAAGTAGCCTAGCCGGTGTGCCATCCTGTTCGGTTGTATCAGTGCTGAGAGAAAGTGCACAGACGTAACAGGCTCACCGTATACCAGGTGCATCTGTGGTTTCCGTGCAGACAATGTGTTTTAGTTTTTTTTTGTTTACTAGACGTATGTTGTGATAGTGTGGGATGTACAAGTACATACGGTCCAACTTTCTACACGGTGCAACTTTCTACACGGTGCAATAGTACATGAATAAGTTACCTCCCCTTAGTGAATTTACGAGTCGTAAATAACAGACTGAGTTTTGCTGAAACCAACCAGACCCCCCCCCCCCCAGCCCGAGTCCTCAAGTCTTCATTTAGTCCTAATTGAAGATCAGTTAAAGGTCCATATTGTGAAGCACATGTTCTGTGCTTGCCCGAGAATTCCAACTGATGATAGATTACAGGCAGTAGGGTCTAGCACTGATGTTGCTACAGTGTCAGACCGTTGTTTCCAGGAGTCTGCTGTCCTGCTCAGAACAGATGTCGGTGGTTGAGGAGCTGAGTCAGGTGATCAGCAGCGAGCTGGGGATGAGGGAACAGCTCGACATCATCCGCATCATCAACCCCAACGCCTACGTCTCCCCCACAGACCGAGAGTTTGTCATAGGTGAGTGCCAACAGTCGGTTTGTTATAGGTCAATGCGTCACTGGTCACTTCCCACGGCACCTCCACCCCACGCCCCACCCCCTACGCCAATCGGACAGCGAGTTTGTCATCGGTGTATTTGTGATATCCGGAAACTTATTGGCTGCTGCATCTTTGAAAGTTCCAACCAGATCAAGGTCACTGTCAAGGTCACTCTATGGATGGTCACTCTATGGATGGTCACTGAAACTTCAATATTGGTCTTGAAGGTCCAGGTTAGAAATGGGCGTCCAGCAACCCATGCTTGCTGTAAAAGGCGACTATGCTTGTCGTAAGAGGCGACTAAAGGGATCGGGTGGTCAGACCCACTGACTTGGTTCATGCATGTCATCGTATCCCAATTACGTGGCTCTGTGCTCATGATGTTAATCACTGGATTGTCTGGCCCATACTCGATTATTTACAGAATGCCGTCATATAGCTGGAATATTGCTGAGTGTGGCGTTAAACAACAAACACACAAACAATGTTGGTCTATTGCATGCAGTGGCCTTGTGATTTGGATACATGATGGCTTACTTGTCATTCTAGTTTCCATGGTAACATCTTTTTGGACAGTGGCAAAGATATGCATGGGACTGACTGTTGAATGCAGTGATGAGGATGGTTGTCATACATTCACTTTCCTGGCTGATCGACGTCTGTATTTTGAAGATAGATCATGTTGTGTTGGATCTCTTGATTGTTAATGGGTCAGTTGTCCGAAAGAGATTATTTAAAAATAGCATCAAGCAATACATGCAAGACAAGGCATTCTAAGTTTGCTTCATTGGTGTCAATGACCTTTGGAGTGAATACAGAATGCCAGAGTATAGCCCAGCATGGATAACTCCCACTGATGTGAACTGATCATTGGATCTAAACCATGCTGACAGAATCACTCTGTATGACTCCGTGATGTCTATGTGTTACTGGAAACTAGTAGACGTGGTTTTATAGTGTGTAGCACAGTAACAGTTCTTATGCAATCAGTTGGCCGATGTCCTGTGGAATTATAGGCACTGTAAAGGTTTTACTTATTAGAATCTTCCTAATTATTTGTTTTGTAACCATGGTAACATAATTGGTATCGTACATGACATGCTACTTCCGTGGGCCCTGTTCCCCAAAGTGATCCTAGCGCTATAACGATGGTAAGCCTATGTTGAAGTATGGGAGTTGTGATCGCACAGTGACGGTTCTTATGCAATCAGTTGGCCGATGTCCTGTTGAATTATAGGCACTGTAGAGGTTTAGTTGTGCAAGAAATGTGAGACAATGTTATTTTAATTTGCCGCCTTCAGAGACGTATTGCAAACTTCCAGAGTTTGTTGGTGCTTCTTCACTGAGCATGCCCTTCTTAATGTTTGAAAAAATATCTGTCCTTCTCTTTATGTCCAGAGGTGTGGAAAGAATAAACATATATTATCAGGTGTTGTTGCCACTGGATATAGGCATTAGGATACTGGTCTGCCATGTCATGGGTACAATAGATGTCGACCCGTGAAGGGTAGAATAGGTCTTCAGAAACCAATGCTTGCCGAAAAAGGCAATAATGCTTCTTGTAAGGGGCGACTAACAGGATCGAGTGGTCAGGCTCGCTGACTTGGTTGATGCATGTCATTGTATCCCAATTGCTTAGATCGATGTTCATGATGTCAGTCACTGGATCGTCTAGCCCAGACTTGATCATTTACAGACCGCCGTCATATAGTTGGAATATTGCTGAGTGCGGCGTTAAACAACAAACAAACACACAAAATACAATATATGTCAGCTTGTTTACTGCTATTGTAGTCATCCAGTAAACCTGGCTTGAACTGGAACATCTAGTTGCTTTCTGATCTTAAATAGGTTTAGTATCTATCCACGTCTTGTATACAACTCTTCAAGCAACACGCCGCATTCTAAGTTTGCTTCATCGGTGTCACAATGACCTTTGGAGTGAATACAGAATGCCAGAGTATAGCCCAGCATGGATAACTCCCACTGATGTGAACTGGTCATTGGATCTAAACCATGCTGACAGAATCACTCTGTATGACTCCGTGATGTCTATGTGTTACTGGAAACTAGTAGACGTGGTTTTATAGTGTGTAGCAATCACTCTATAGATATGTGAAGATCCGGGTTAGAATAGGTCTTCAGCAACCCATGCTTGCCTCAAGAGGCGACTAACGGGATCGGGTGGTCAGGCTTGCTGACTTTGTTGAAGCATGTCATTGTATCCCAACTGCGTGGATCGATGGTCATGATGTCAAGCAGTGGATTGTCTGGCCTAGACTCGATTATTTATAGGTCACCGTCATATAGCTGGAATTTTGCGGAGTGCAGCATTAAGCAACAAACAAGCAAAATACATAGCTTGTTTTCTGCAGTTGTAGTGATATATTAAACCTGTCTTGAACTTGAACATCTAGTTGCTTTCTGATCTTAAATAGGTTGAGTATTTAATGACGTCTTGTATACAACTCTTCATGCAACACGCCGCATTCTAAGTTTGCTTCATCGGTGTCACAATGACCTTTGGAGTGAATACAGAATGCCAGAGTATAGCCCAGCATGGATAACTCCCACTGATGTGAACTGGTCATTGGATCTAAACCATGCTGACAGAATCACTCTGTATGACTCCGTGATGTCTAAGTGTAACTGGAAACTAGTAGAGGTGGTGTAGTAATATGTCGCACCTTGACAGTTCTTATGCAATCAGTTGGCCGATGTCCTGTGGAATTATAGGCACTGTAGAGGTTTTACTTATTAGAATCTTCCTAATTATTTCTTTTGTAACCATGGTAACAATTGGTATCGCACATGACATGTTACTTCCGTGGGCCCTGTTCCCCAAAGTGATCCTAGCGCTACAACGATGGTAAGCCTATGTTGAAGTATGGGAGTTGTGATTTCCTTGGGGCGAAGGTTATTTCATGGAATGGGCCCTGATTGCTCCTGGGCGGTCGGCTAGCCTAGTGGTTAAAGCGTTCTCTCGTCAAGGCGAAGACCTGAGTTCGATTTCCGACAATGTGTAAAGCACATTTCTGGTGTCACCCACCGTGATATTGCTGGAAAATTGCTAAAAGCAGCGTAAAATCACTCACTCACTCACTCACTCACTCACTCACTCACTCACTCACTCACTCACTCACTCACTCACTCACTCACTCACTCACTCACTCACTCACTCACCTGATTGCTCCTGTGTCCAACACAGAATCTCAGCTCATGAAAGTAGTCTGATTTTTAGCATCAGGCTATGAATCTATTGTAGGAAATAGGTCCACTGTATTAAGATAGAGGGATAGTTTGCGCTAGCTAATCCAGGATGGAACAGTTTATATATTTGGACTATTGCTTATTGAGATATGCCTTTTTGCAGATTTGGAAACGATAGACGACACAAAACTACAGAAAATCCAGGACTACATTAAGCGCAATGTCCCAGTCAGCTGTCCATCACAAGATTTGGGTTCCGAGTGTCCAAACTCTGCACAGAAGAAAACAACAAAGGTAGGAACACCTGCATTCAACCTTTCCTGGGTAGTCTGTCATCTCCTGGGGGCATGGGTGGCCCAGTCGTTTAAGGCACCGCGATTCGCTGTGCAGAGTTGCGTCCCTTGGGCACGCCAGAAACCTATGATTGTGGGTTCAAATCCCGATTCGCCCCGATTATGTTTCTAGGTTTGTCAGCACCATACCTGTGGGTTTCCCCGAAGTGGTAAACGTCTGAGACCTGCATCACTTTTGGCTTTCCTCCCACATAAAGCTGACACGCCGTGATATAACAAGAATACTGTTAAAAGTGGCGTTAAACCCCACTCATTTACTCACTCACTCACTCACTCACTCACTCACTCACTCACTCACTCACTCACTCGAGAATTTAATTGCCCATAATTAAGGGTGCATATAACAAACAAGTGTGTATTATACACAAATAAATAAGTCTTGTGTACATTGATCAATCAGAAAAGGTGCTAACTGGTATTGTTCACTAGCCAATATATTAGCAAATAACGCCATGGGTGCTTATTAGAGCGGGGCGCTTATTACGTCGAATACGGTACGTATGAACTTAAAGTGTCAAAATGTAAACATGATCATTGAGTGAAAAACTATCAAACGCCTTATACAGTTACATTTGATAAGGATAGAAAGTTAATACGACTGTTAAGATGAATTTTGTTTATCTATCTGAAAATTGATCGTGAGAAATGTTCAAGTGTGGACACCTATATTGGGACAATTTGGTCAGCACATTGAAGTAATGTCGCGCCTGTTTCAATTGGCGTCAGACATTTTATACCTGTGCTACAGAATGGAACAAGTCACTGCCATTCTGGTTCATGTACCTACAATGGTAAACCTTGGTCGACATTTGTCTTGCTCAGGAAGAAATCAGTTTCACATTGGCCCTGAATGGGATGCTTAGTCCTGTGTAGGAAGAAATTGGTCCTTGAAACTTTGTTGATGGCAGTGTTCCATTTTTTTATATTTTGTTAGTTAACATCCGACTTCCAAGATGTCTAATCACTCAGGATTTCCAAAGAATGATTTTGTTAAACTTCACAGTTTGTACAAGACAGTTTTTTACATTGTTTGTTGAAAATATTGCTTACATCTAGAAGATAACAGCTGGAATACGTGAAGTATATTTCATTACTTGATTATTGGTTGTTAGCAGGGCAGTGGGCTAGTCTAGTGGTTAAAGCATTTGCTCGTCACACTGAAGACCCGGGTTTAATTCCCCACATGGGTACACATAGCAAAAGAGTGAGTATTGTTTTATGCCGCTTTTAGCAATATTCCCGCAATATCACAGCAGGGGACACCTGAAATAGGCTTCACATATTGTTGTACAGTGTGTGAAGCCCATTTCTGGTGTCCCCTGCCGTGATATTGCTGGAATATTGCTAAAAGCGACATAAACCCTCACTCACTATTGATTGTTGGCTTGTATGAGATGTCTGGTGAGGTTTGGGAGGTCACAATGTTGACCTGGCTGATGGATTAACCCAAAGGCCAAGGTCATTGTATGGCAAATAGGAAAAACGTGTTGCCAATGGTTTTGTAAATTTTCTCTGATCGAATTCTTTTGATAGCTAGTTTCTTTCACTCAATGGTAACTATGTAATTTTTACTTGAAACTTGAATGGTTTCCTTTGCACAGTGAAGTAATGTCTCGTCTGTTTCCATTAACGTTTGACATTTTTAACCTGTGCTAGAGAAATGAACAAGTCACTGCCATGCTGGTTCATGTACCTACAATGGTAAACCTTGGTCAACAGGCGTTTGCTGATATACGTAGAAGAAATGACGTTAGCGGCTTTGTCCCCATCGAATAAGAATGAGTGGTGGTTGAGTTTGTGCAGGAAGGAGAGTGTTGCTGTCTGTAAGTTGTGGCAGTATCATACTGGGGGGTGGGGGGCACAGGTGGCCCAGTCGTCTAAAGCGCCGCGATTCGCTGTGCAGAGTTGCGTCCCTTTGGCTCGCCAGAAACCTATGATTGTGGGTTTCGAATTCCGGTTCTCCCCGATTATGTTTCCAGGTTTGTCAGCACCATACCTGTGCTTGTGGGTTTCACCGAAGTGGTAAACGTCCGAGACCTGCATCACTTCGGGTTTTCCTCCCACATTAAGCTGACACGCCGTGATATAACTGGAATACTGTTAAAAGCGGCGTTAAACCAAACTTACTCGATCACTCACTCACTCTCACTCACTCACTCACTCACTCACTCACTCACTCACTCACTCACTCACTCACTCATACTTGTGGTTGCTAAATGTGTGTTGCAAGCGTGCACTACCTTCAGCATGTTCAAAGACTTTTCACAATTATCTGCGCATGATTTGTCGCAAAACATCTGTGACAGATGTCAGAGTCCCGGACTTTGATCCAGATTTTACTCTGGTCTTGCCTCCTACATTAAGCTAACATGCAGTTTTATTACTGAAACGCTATTCACCCCCCAGTTGTTCAACCAGCAACTCACCCACTGATGCAACACTGCCTTGTATATTATGATCAAGCAAGGTAATTTAAGGTACCGACGTTTACTACAATATCTGAAAAACTATCGGACCTACTCCAGTCAAAGTTGGTATGAGATTATTAAACAGTCATACATAACTGGATATCACATTTTATTAAAGACAATCGGTGCATGAATAAAAAATCTGTCAATTTAGCTATCACTACATTTCATCAACAACCAGACCTGTTCGTCACGGGTGGAACGAGCATTCATTTTAACAGCCATCTGCATAATGCTACCCCTGCGTCACAGGGCCATATGACACAGTTGAACCGATCAACTCAACAGGGTGCACGGGAATCACGCACGCACAAATACGGTGTTAGCGTTGGGCGTCTCAACGTGCGTGATTTCAGATATTGTAGTAAACGTCGGTACCTTAAATTACCTTCCAGACTATAATTAAGAAGCCTGTTTACTGAGCTTTTGTCATTAATGCTTTCCCCGATTTGCCCACAGAGACAAAAATGCCAAGATCGGAGGAACCAGCAGAAAGTGATCCGTCAAAGACGGCAGAAGGAGTACCGGCAGATGATGAAGGAGAAGCGGAGCGGTCTGTTTGTGAAGGAGGAAGTGTTAGCGTTGTCCACACACACCGAGCCCTCAGAAGAGGACGTGGACATACTCATGTGATACAGGGCTTGTTTAGATAAATACACTTTATTTATCATCAAATTTACATGAATTATCTACTGGCTGCTGTCTTGAGAAAGCTGTTGTCATTCTACTGTTCTGTCTCCGAAATTTATCCAGTCCTCTGTGGGGATTGTATAGCAGGTCCACTGTGTCTGATGCTTGTGAGAACTGAGTTGAATGGGGATCTGACGGCCACAGTGTCGTCTGAGTGGAATACTTGGATATGTGGCCACCAGGTGTCACTGTTAGGGGTGAAACGATACATGAGTTTTCATGAGATGATATGATACACAATGTTATTCTGTTTCGATACAGGACGATACACAAAATAAATAACAATTCATTAAATGACTGCCAAGTGTTTTTGTAAGTCAAATATCACACAATGTTAGCTCTTCAAGTTCACTTCCAAAAATAGCTGATACGAACATGTGTCTACAGTTAACTTTTCTTTTGAACCTGCTCTATAATATTTATAGTCATTTCTATGTGATTTGACGTAAATCATGTATCGCGATACGTATCGTATCGTGACCTTGCTGTATCGTATCAACCCTAGTAGTATGTCAACTGTTACAATGACGTTTGTCATGACTCTGTATACCCTACTCCAATTGTTTCAGGCCCAGTTTTCGACCCACATGTGCTGTTAAATAGAATACTGGTCTGAAATGAACTGTAGATGAGTTTGGTTTAGAATGTGTTGTTTCCCCTGGTAACCTGCGTGAGTTTGTGTCATGTTAAACATTGCTCACACTGTACACCATTGGTTGGCCCACGGCTGGAATACTTCTGTGATACAGAAGACTGAACCTGAACCTAGCTCACGCAATCTAATTCTTAATGCATGACTTAAATATTGTGGTAGGTGACAAAAATATCACCTACAAATATTTTCTTATATCTGACAATATGGTGGAATTCTGCTACAGCACATTTTGTCCTGAGTGATGGATTTGTCTAGCAATAGCACCTTGACCACAGCTTCCTACTTTAGTCGTGAAGATCCAGGGTAGACTTGGTCTTCAGCAACCCGGGCTTGTCGTAAGAGTGAGTATGGTTTTACACCGCTTTTAGCAATATTCCAGCAATATCACGGCGGGGGACACCACAAATGGACTTCACACATTGTACCCATGTCTGGAATCGAACCCCGGGTCTTCGGCGTGACGAAGCTTTAACCACTGGGCTACCCGACCTCCCCATTGTCGTAAGAGGCGACTAACAGGATTGGGTGCTCTGTCTAGCTGACTTGGTTGATATGTTTCCCAATTGTGTGGATCGATTTTCATGATCTCATATTTTGGATTTTCTGGTCCTGACTCAATTGTTTACAGACGTCATATAGCTGGAATACTGCCGAGTGCGGTGATAAACAACAAACATACCACTTAGTCGTACAGTGAATGTGGACTGTATGTGTGAGCAGATTGATTGTTAAATGGGTATATCTTTAAGGATCTAGTTTGTGTGTATGTTGCTACCATGAGAATGGTACTGATTACCGTACAGTGCTACTAGTCGAAGACGTACAATGAGCTACTCAAAGTGCTACAAATGTCCTGAGCAGAGTTGCTTCCCTTTGCCCAACATCTGCTTTTCAGGTTCGAATCCAAGATTTGCCAAAATTGATATCCTTGGTTCTCTCTTAAACCAAGGTATGGTTTCATGAAAGGAAATAAAATCTGCTTTCTCACTTACCCCACAAACACCTATTTTGTTAGCAAATGGCCTTGCTCCAGAAGGTACTCACCATCAAAACCTAATCTCAGGCATGTGCCCAGTCATAATAAGTATTTGTATTGTTATTTCCAAATTGTTATTTTTGTTACACTTCTTAAAATTTAAGAAAATATTTGGACAAAAATTGATTTCTTGATTTCTGGTTGCAGCCTCAGGAATTCAAATTTTTAAGGACAAGTCCATAGGACTAAAGAACTCAGAAATGCTCGAAAAATGCTTTGCTGGCTTCATTCAATAAGAATTCTAGAGCAATGAAAATAGCATATAACTTGAATCTATCTAATCTGGCCTGTCCTTACTGACATTGGTTACCCTGAAAAGGTACTTTTATAGGTAAATTGATGATACACTTGGAACATACTCGTGTGTTGTCATGCATCTGATGAAATGGCCAATTGCCTGAGGGAATTACCTAACACTTGTCCCCAGGTGATGACCTCACACTGGCCCGTGCATTTGCTCAGACTATTATTGTTATTAACTTATTTTGTGGATAGGACGCCTTGTGACTGAAATACTTCAAACCACATGTAGGTAGATCGGAAGTTACTCGATATTTCAATAGCGACAGTGTGTGAAACATTCTATCTTGTTTTGACTGGCAAAAAGCATTTTTCTAGCATTTCCGATAATACGTTAGTGTGAACCTTATTTTACTGGTTCTTAGTGTTTGTAGCTTAAGTTTTGCTAGCCATACATGACAATCCAGTGATCAACATCACATACCGTATTCGACGTAATATGCGCCCAGGGCGCTCTCAAAATTAGAAAAAGGGGGCTCTTATTAGGATATTATTTTGGTGAAAAAAAACAGAGTTGAAAGTTAAATTTCATGGTTATGCTGACAGCCTGAAATGTTTATGTACGACAGATATATTTCTTCCAGAATTTAATTGCCCATAATTAAGGGTGCATATAACAAGAGTGCGTATTATACGCGAATAAATTAGTCTTGTGTACATTGATCAATCAGAAGGGGTGCTAATTGGGATTGTTCACCAGCCAGTATATCAGCAAATGTCACTGTGGGCGCTTATTAGAGCGGGGCGCTTATTACGTCGAATACGGTAGTTGATAAAACTTAAGACCTCCATGGAAATATTGTCAGGGCCTGGGCCCTGTCCAGGGATTGGGTGAGGCCGAACCCCCATCATCTCTACAACTGACGTTGGGGAATTGACCCACAGGTCATAATAGAATGGAGATATAATACCCTGGATAAACAAGGATGCACCAATCGCGCAGTACCTCAGCAGTCATTGACATCTTCGTCACGGTGGTTGGCATTGACTTTATGATGGTGGAGGCGGATGAATGTATGAATGAATGTTTTTAGTGTAATCGCTCCCTCAGAGCGGTGATACACATCCACTAGTCCGTTAGTCTGAGACCTGTGAAAATCTAGGGGGGCTAGTTACATCCTAAAATCTTGTTATCAACGTAACTGACTATAGTCTGAAATGAGCTGTGGACTGGTGGATGTGAAGTGTAGTGTCTACCCCTGGAATGTGTACCATGTCATGCTTATATAAGGCAAGAAATATAATCTGGTTCTTGTGCAGTTCTCCAATTCGCAGGGGGCGGTCGGGTAGCCTAGTGGTTAAAGCGTTCACTCGTCACGCCGGAGACCCAGGTTCGATTCCCGACATGGGTACAATGTTTGAAGCCCATTTCTGGTGTCCCCTGCCACGATATTGCTGGAATATTGCAAAAGCAGCGTAAAACCATTCTCACTCACTCACTCACTCCAATTTGCAGTGTTGCATCAGAGGTTGTTTTTCTGCAACCCGATACAATTTTCTTTTGGTACAAATGTTTTTTGTAGGGCTATAGAAATAAACTAGGTAATGTATAGATAAATGGATGTTTGAAGGAAAGCTGTTACTGTACCTTGCAATATGATCAGGTGGTATTCTACCTCTTACTGAAGCTCAGGGAGACAACGGCAATTGATACCGGACATAATAAATGTAAAAAAGCATAGGATAATGTTCTGAAATCAAATTTTGGTTATTGGCAGCCATTGTTGCAAGTAGGCTATCGATAGATCAATGTATTTGCATGCATGTTATTGTGTGAAAATGCTTATCTTAAAGGTATCGACTGAATTTTGGTACCCGATTCTAATCTTTTTTTTTACCTATCAGATTTAAGCAGGCTTTTATGTCATGGTAGAATGTTTTATAATATTCAGATGCAATACTGAATTTGGTTTATTGTAACACCTATTTTTTATCTATCATTACCATTAGCTTAACCCGATGCTGTGATAAGATTGGTGTCAACGAGGGCTGGGAAGGATAACTCGGGTACTCAGGTCGGGTGGGTCCAGAATAGGACCCGGGTACTCACAGGACTACCCGGACCCGTGGTTAGTCACGTGATATACTGTTTAATGACAAAAACTTACTATAGCTCAGTGGTTACACTATAAGTCGCTAATGATCGCTTTTCAATAAAGATAAAGCTTCAGTCAACTTCAGTGTACGCATGATCTGATTGTTTGATACATGTATCTAAATAGTGTTAGCCAGCCAGGGCTGCGGTAAAACAATTAGGAGATAAACCTACTGTGTTTTAAAATTAGTCAGACTGTAGAATAGATACCTCTTTATTATAATTTTGAACGGAGCGCTTTAGGAAATATAGATATGTTTTACAGTTCATATGGGGGTGATCGATCAGCAGCCATTTTCTATGAATCGATATGTAGGCTATCTATGTATTCATACGCATGTTTTTTGTGAAAAGGCTATATATACTACTCAAAAGAAGTTAAGGATCACCTGATTCTTTCATATTGGTAATGTTAATCTGTCATGGCATGAGAGATTAACTATTGTAATATGAAAGAATCAGGTGATCCTTAACTTCTTTTGAGTATATATCAAAAGGGTTTCCGTAGTAAAAAGGAAACCTCTTTTTAACCAATCAGAATCAAGCATTCATCAATGTCATGGTAGAATTACCAATCTTGAGACTTGCAGTGGGTACCCAGGTAGGGTTTAGTAATAGGGGGTTGGGTACCCGGGTGGTAAATTTGGACTCGTCCCAGCCCTAGTGTATACCAATCCTCTCTCTCAAATGTTGACGCAATGAAACTTTGTTGCCACACTGTTATTTTACAGCTTTATGAAAAGTAGGATTTGTACTTAGCCACTGAACCAGATTGTTTCCCATGCCTTCAGATACCATCAAAATAGTCCTTTAACATGTTACTTAAAAACAATGTTCTTGACTAGAATTGAGGTCACAACTAATATGGCCCTGAGACAGATGTTATTATTTTTTATACGCGTATTTGAGTTGGAAGGGATTAACCTATTGTATGAAAAGATGCATATATATGTATGTATGTATGTATGCAAACACAAAGTGGTTTGTTTCTGTATATTTAGTACTATTTCAAATTTTGTTTAAGACTATAAGGCTAAAAATAATAGTCTTGGTTCTCATGCATAGCGGGGCAGTCGGGTAGCCTAGTGGTTAAAGCGTTCGCTCGTCAGCCGAAGACCCGGGTTCGATTCCTGACGTGGGTTCGATTCCCGACATGGGTTCGATTCCCGACATGGGTGAAGCCCATTTCTGGTGTCCCCCGCCGTGATATTGCTGGAATATTGCCAAAAGCGGCGTGAAACCAAACTCACTCACTCACTCACTCATGCACTGCCAGCATCATCATCAAGTCCACCACTCGTTTTGTTTTTATTTCCATTCACCCCCTCCCCCCCAAATTAAAAAATCTTTAAATATTCCACGTCTCGAACACACGGCCCCGGTAGTGAAATGCAACAATACTTCGCCAAAATTATTGTAAACAGAATTTGGTAACAAGCCAGCTAGAACAACCAAAAACAACCAAAAACACTGCCCGCCCACACAATATTTTTAAAAGCCTTTGCCTGAGAACCTATTCGTTTATTTTTGTAAGCCCTACAATGAAAAAACAAATTGGTCTGAAATCTCAGACATGTTTAAATGCTTCTGGTTTGTAATGTTACTTCAAGAAAACCTCCCCAGAATGTATTTTCTACTTCATGGTGGTTACTGTGACAAATTTATGAAATTCTTTCCATGACTTTGTAATTTGGCGGTACAATGTAATTTTCAGTAAGCATCATAGACCAGAAATGACGTGAATCCTATTTGCTTGGACTGCCTCTTGGCCCAAGCCAAGTCCCTCTTTAGCCTGAAGTGTTTCTGTGTGGGTATTCTGTGAAACTGAAGACTGTTGGCATGTGCCTTGTATGTCATTTGTCTTGTGTGCTTCGTTGTCAGACATGTCTGACTTTGTTGAAATCAATGAAGTTTGTTGTTTGTTAGAAGTACCAGCTTTCCAAGATGGCTGCCAACCTGTTGATGTAGCGAGTCTGCGTCTCTGGCTATGACATTCAGCCAATAAACCAGTGATATGAAGTTTGTGTTTGTTGTTGTTAATACGATGCTTTAACTGGAGGTCTAGTGGTAGCATCCGCCCAGAGAGCGGAAGGTTTCAGGGTTCGATCCCGGCCGCGTCATACTAAAAGACGATAAGATGGTACTTGTTGTTACCCTGTCTGGTGCTCGGCATTAAGGGGCTAAAACTGGTCGGCTCGGAGTCAGTATACTGTGTCTGAGTGGGGTATTCATGTTAAACTGCGGCATGGTATCTCAGTGGGCTAGCACTATAAATCGGCATCTGTCCGGACTAGAACAAGCAGCCCCCCACACACACGTGCATGCACATCGCCATATAAGTGCAATAATCTTGGACGCGACGTTAAACCCTTTTAACTGGATGGAGCTTGTCTGTCCGCGCACCTTGATTGTGTGGATGCCCATGCTCTCCTCCACTAGTTTGTGTCGTCCAGACTCCTTTCTTACAGGCAACTGTGTATTAGATGTCATATAACCGATAAGAACAATAGTCTCCGACTCAACACAACAATGGATGTCAGATGGTTCAGTCGCTGAGACCCGAGGTAATGAGTGTGGTTTTATGCCGCTTTTAGCAATATTCCAGCAATATCACCTGAACTCAGTGGGTGGCGAAATCTAAAATTCCTCAACTTTCTGTGCAGAGTTGTGTCCCTTAAGCATGCCAGAATCCTCTGATCATTATTCCAAATCCCAGATTGCCATGAAAAGCTATAACATTTCTGAGATGGCATAAAGCAAGACTCCAGATTGGCCCTAATTAGGATTTTTTGTAAGCAAACATGCTTTTGAGATCCACCAAAGACGTAAACTTGTTAGAGAACTTCATCACTTGGGGATTTCCCTACACATAAACTGACGCTGCAGTGATGTAAAGCACTGTAAAGCAAATCGGGGATGATGTCTCAAATTAAATTAAGTTTTTTTATCCGACTTTGAACTTTTGAACTGGTCCCTTAAAGAAATAACTACTGATCAAGCCTTGCATCCTTCAGCTCATCTTGTAAAGTGAAGATCCGGGGTAGAACAGGTCTTCAGCAACACATGCTTGCCATAAGAAACGACTATGCTTGTCGTAAGAGGTGACTGGCGGGATCGGGTGGTCAGGCCCGCTGACTTGGTTGATGCATGTCATTGTATCCCAATTGCATAGATTGATGCTCATGATGTCAATCACTGGATTGTCTGGTCCAGATTTCATTATTCACAGACTGCCATCATATAGCACGAATATTGCTGGAGTGCAGCGTTAAACAACAAACAAAACAAATCATCTTGTATAGAGCTGATATTTGAAGCACATTCCAACTCCTTCACTCACAAAAGAGAGCGACTATGCTTGTCGTAAAAGGTGACTAACGGGATCGGGTGGTTAGGCTCGCTGACTTGGTTGATACATGTCATTGATCCCAATTGTGTGGATCAATGCTCATGATGTCAATCACTTGATTGTCTGGTCTAGACTCGATTATTTTACAGACCGCCGTCATATAGCTGGAATATTGCTGAGTGCGGCGTAAAACAACAAACAAACAAACGCAAAAAAGACGTAACACTGGCATTGTTTTCCATGTTTTATTGAACTCTGGGTTGTACAGGCGGGAAGGGAGGAGCAGCACCATTGTCCAACTTGAACAAAACTCAGTCCAACATAGCAGCTTGTAGAGGGCTGTGTCTCTCTCACGACGTGTGCACGGCACACTCACACACACCGTCGCAGGGAGACAGGCCACACACAGAACAACAGTACCAGGCCATGACAAGATGTCTGCAGACACTCATTTGAAGCTGTCTCAAATTATATATTTGTCACCTTTATTTCACATTTGATTTCACACTAACAATCCAGGTTGAAACCTATGTTTCACAATTCAAAAGGTTTGACTCATTAATATGAATGTTTGAGATTATGTTCACAATGAAATGGCAGTTAGAGTTATCTCCCTTGACAGTTTTCATCTTAAATTCGTGTTGATACAGTATGATCCATGGCAGTTTCTTAGATCATCCAAACAACTACTTCAAACCGAAGATGAAAATTAAGATATCTTTATGAACACAAAAAACAGTCCATATCCAGTGAGTTGAGACCAAATATAATAAAAATCATTAATCACACTTCGTAATAAGGGCGCCTATAATAGAAGGATAAGAAGTGTATACTTGTATACCCTGAAGACAAACTGTTGTTAGGAAAGTATTCTACCTTCCAACCATGCAATTACTCTCAATTCAATCCTTTAAAATACAGGACTTTATAAGTTGTCTGATATTTCGTCAGCTTCAAATGAGGACGTGGGGACGTCCTGCTCAGAGGTTTGTGAAGCAGCACCTACTCACATAGTACGCAGTGAAAATACACACACACTTTCCGAGGGGGCAGAAGGGGGGTATCAGCAGTCAAAAGTTAACTATTTCATTTTTTCCACACTAAAATGATATATTCTTGCTTTACATAATTTACATTTACAATAATAATTTACACAAAAATATTTCCAAAAATAGATTTTCTATAGATATTTTTTGGTACAACTCATTAACAAACAACAAATGGAATTAAAATTTACATATGAAAGACTCAGGTATAAATACAATGCAACATTTGCTTAAAGCTATCTTTATATTTCACCATATCAATTTCATCCTGATCTTTATAATTTACCTAGAAACCAACTTTTGACTTCTGGTCTACCCCATCAGGACCCTCAAACACTCAAGTCATTCATTCATTCAATACTCAAAAACAAAATTTACAATATTTAACAAAAATGTGTGGTTAATAATTAGTGAAAATATGACGTTAACAATCTCTTAAAAAAGTAGCTTGGGTTCATTCATATATAGGAACAAAGATCAATTATGACCATTCTTCTTTAAAACATAAGTCATGTTCTCCTATAATCTAGCATTTCTGCCAATAACTTAAAATTTGTATTTAAATATCTTCACAATATTAACAGTCCATAGAAAAGGAAGTCAAATTCTGCAATTGACCAGTACAACACACTATACAAATCTTCAAAATCGGGTCACTGCATAAATTTACATTATATTCCAAATGTGTGACAAGGTTTTGGTGGAAAGAGTTGAGAAGTCCGCCAAACCAGGTCATATTTTTATTGAGTTTTTGTCTTGGGTGGAGTCCGGATGGTGATACTTATTTATAAATGATGGATGCACGTCACAGTTTGACGACAGTGAAATCAGTCTGTCAAGTCGATCGGTCATGCGCTAAGCCTCAGGTCGAGAGAGGTGGCATGAAGCGGTGGGCAGGTACTGCATTACTGAAATACAAACGAGATTCATCAGCTACTGACTGAAATCATCTTTGATACTATTTTCCTACAAACACATTACAAACTTTATACCAATTGCCATAATTTTTTTATAAACAGATCATTTGGGCCAGTTAATAAGAAAAAAGTAAGAGAATGTGTTATCAGGATTCAATTTCAGTATTAAGTAATTTTTATAAAATTTGTGGTAACTTTAAAGGTATGACAAAGTCATTGAGTTGATTCTACAGATTCCAATCACAATTTGCCACTACGGTTGTCAACCTCCCAGAGTGAGTGAGTATGGTTTTATGCCACTTTTAGCAATATTCCAGCAATATCATGGTGGGGGACACCAGAAATGGGCTTCACACACTGTACCCATGTACAGGGGAATCAAACCTGGGTCTTCGGTGTGACAAACGAATGCTTTAAACACAAGGCTACCCCACTGCCCCTCCTCCCAGAGGCAGAGTGGTCGGGTAGCCTAGTGGTTAAAGCGTTCACTCGTCACGCCAAAGACCCGGGTTCGATTCTCGACATGGGTACAATGTGTGAAGCCCATTTCTGGTGTCCCCCCGCCATGATATTGCTGGAATATTGCCAAAAGCGGCGTAAAACCACACTCACTCACTCACTTCTCCCAGAGGAAGTGTCCAGTTTATGAGACTATAAATGTTCATCCCTGATGACCCCTCAGATAAGTGTAAATTGACAGGTCACTGGGGTCTCGTTCCATAAAGCGATCTTAGCACTGTGACTATCATAAGTTCAGTCATTTACCATGCTACTATGTCAAAGCATGGGAATATGATCATCTTAGCGCTAAGATTGCTTTTTGGAATGGGGCCCAGGATCATTATTCAAGCATATCAGGGTTCGTTTCAGTATTAAGTATTTGATTATTTTCTTAATAACTCATAACACCATCGTCAGCATTTATTCCACCTCTATCACAGAGACCTGTTAACTGTCAGGACTGATATTGCTGAATGTTGCTGATTGCAGCTTAAAACAACAACCCAACCAAACAGAAAGATGTCCATGCATTTATGTATCGACTCACCAGGATATACCAGTGAGTGTGAGTGAGTCAGTTGGTTTAAACACCGCTTTGAACAGTATTCCAGTTATATCACGGCATGTCAGCTTACTGTGGAAGGAAATCCTGAAATGATGCAGGTCTCAGATGTTTACAACTTTGGAAAAACCCACAGCAAGTGTATGGTGCCGACAAACCTAAGAACATAATCGGGACGAACCGGGATTAAAACCCATGATCATAGGTTCCTTGTATACCCAAGGGAGGCAACTCTGTACAGCAGACGACGGGCCACCCGACACCTTGACCACTGACTGTGACAGACTACTTACTGCGACTGACTTGAGAAATTGCTGAACGTCCACATCACCCCCTGCGGACTCGCCGATGGCAACGTGTAAAGAAAACGCCCATGTTGCACTGCCGGAGTCATCCTTGACCTTCACAGTGTATGCTCCGGAATCAGTGGACAGCACGGCGGGAATCTCGAAAGTGAAGTTGTTGCCATCTTGGGTGAATTTGAAACGTCCAGTATCCTCAATTTCTCGGCCGGCGCGGCTCCAGGAAACTAAAAACAAAGGCAGTTCATGCTGGTATTCATTCATAGTCTAAATCTTGCGCCAACACATTTAACCTCTTTCTAAGGTAATAATCACCCTTTTCAAGGCTAAACGTAAGACCTAAATGTTCTTTCAACAAATGAGACATTCTTACTTTCTTCATTTTGAAGTTCTCCAGTCATCCGAAAAAACCCTATTCTCGGAAACCATGCAAGTGTAGCGGCCATAGAATTTCCGAGTCCTGTGATAGGATTCGAACCACGGACCTTCTGATCTGAGGTTGGACGCCTTGTCCATATGACCAAAGAGGTTAACCCTGTCAGCAAGCTGACAAGGTAAGGATGTCATCTGTAGGATGACTCCACGCCCTGCTACATACTCCCCCGTCTACAGAAGGCAGGTCCCGGGCCGCACAGTAGGGTACTGAGGCTTATTTTGCTCAAATTTAATATGAATGTGCTCAGCCCCACGTTGGGCGCCAATGTAGCGGCCATAAAATTTCTGAGTCCTGTGATGGGATTCGAACACAAATGATGTATTTTTTCATCACATCAAGTCTGCAAACTAATTTAAGTAATTTAGAAACCTCAAAGTAGGTCAGAAAAGAGTGTATATCCGTGAATATCTGGGGTAGAATAGGTCGTCAGCAACAAATGCTTGTCGTAAATGGGGACTGCTTGTTGTAAGAGGCGACTAACGGGATCGAGAGGTTCGTCTCTCTGACTTGGTTGAAGCATGTGTGGATCGATGCTCATGTGATCAATCACTGGATTGTCTGGGCAAGACTCGATTATTTACAGACAGACGTCCTATAGCTGGAATATTGCTGAGTGCTGCGTAAAACACTATAGAGAGTAACCATTTGCATTTTTCATTTATTCAGTTTCACCACAAATAACAAATCCTTTTTTTGGATCACTTAAATTTAAAAAAAAATATATATATTATTTTTTGTCAATTAATACTAAGATTTTGGGAAAGGAGACTTAATGTAAGTGCTAAGATATGCAGCCTTAGTAGTACCTGTAGGTGAAGACTGGCTTTCTACACTGCAAGACAACTTGACAGAACTCCCCTCCTCCGCGTTTTGGGACTTGGGGAATGTGACGAAAACAGGACCGGCGGGCTTCTCATCGGGAACTTGTACGAGTAGTGAGCCTGCACTTGAGATTGATCCACTGGCGTTGGTTGCGACACACTCGTACACGCCACTGTCCTCGGGAAACACCTCAGCCATGACCAATTTGTAGCTATCGCCAGATTTCCCGTATTGGAAATCTTCACAGTCCTTAATTGTCTTGCCGTCCCGTAACCACTGGACCTCAGGGTTACCTGGTCAAACAAGGGTTGTGTTACTACAGTCTTTTGTCTGACGACAATACTGGACAATACAAGGACAATACTAAGCCAGAGCTATGACAGTACTAGGGCAATGCTTGTACAATACATACAATACTATGCCAGTACTAAGACAATGCTAGGACAATACTATGCCAGTACTAAGACAATGCTAGGACAATACTATGTCAGTACTAAGACAATGCTAGGACAATACTAGGCCAGTACTAAGACAATGCTAGGGCAATACTAGGCCAGTAACTTGTACAATACTGGACAATACTAGGCCAGTACTAAGTGCTAGGACAATACTTGGCCAGTACTAAGAAAGTATTAGGACAGTGCTAGGACAACACTGGACAAAACTAGGCCAGAACAATACTGGACAGTACTAAGGCAATGCTAGGGCAATACTGGACAATACTAGGCCAGTACTAAGACAATGATAGGGCAGTACTAAGGCAATGCTAGGACAATACTAGACCAGTACTAAGACAATGCTAGGGCGGTACTAAGGCAATTCTAGGACAGTACTAGGCCAGTACTAAGACAATGCTAGGACAATACCATGTAAATATACTTTAACATGAAACTGTCATAAAGAGCAGACCAATGTATTTTCTAGATGAGTGTACCACTCATGTGTGAAAAATAAATAATGTGTTTGACCCTAACATGTCTTGGAATGAAATTCTATCAAATTTTTTCTATTTTAAAAGTATGTGAAAGGAAATGATCCTCAAATCCACCCAGACGCTTTTTTCTTTTTTTAATTAGCCGTATTGATCAAGAAAATGCGTAAAACAAGAAAATGCGTAAAACAAGAAAATGAGCTGTTCTGACCAGGGCTGTGGAGAATCAAGTCTATGAAGTTAAGACAACAATGTTTCTGTGCCTACAAGACTCATTGCAGATTCTCCAATCAGATCTTTGTTCTCGCTACCGCCAAACGGAGATCTGAGGACATCCCATTAGGGTCATGTCAGAACGACAATTCATCCGACCAATCAGATCGGGAATGAATGCGTTTTCTTATGCAAACTTGAAATGGTTAGCACAGGGGGATTCCGAATGACAGTTACGGGCTGCACGGCTGAATTTGTCAAAGTCATCGTCTATCACTCACTTCAGTTGGATAAACATTTGAACAGGTGAGACTTTACACAGCCCATGGAAAGTACTGCAATACAACCCCGGCCATCTATTAAACATTCCAGCGTGTTCCTTTCTTCAGTTTTCAAATTTTGAATCGAAAACTTTGTCAAAATATTTTTCAAAGCGTAGTCGGGTTGGAAGTCAGCAGTTTGAAACTAGTGCCGTGTTGCTTGAGAAAGCTGCTTCTTGATTGGCCCTTGTCAACTTCTTGTTAGTCATTTCATTGGTCGGTCAAAGTTTGCAAAAGGTTGTTCTGATTTGACCTGTAATGGGATGTCCTCAGATCTTTGTTTAGAGGTAGCAAGAACTGAGATCTGATTTCAGTTATATTACAGATTCTCATAACTGTCAATGTATATAACCTCGTATAAACTGTATATCTGTCACTGTATATAACATGGTATAAACTGTATATCTACCTGATATCCTGCACTGGAAGGTCACCTGGTCTCCATCTAGCACAATCTGACCTTGAACTTGGTCTAGGAAACTTGGGACTTCAACGTCAGATTTCTTCTCTGGAGCAGGGGCAATGGGTTCTTCTAAAATATGGATTGGAATAACTCTGAACATGTTTTCTAATTTAGGTTTTCTTTTTATCTATTGACATAAACGGCATTGGCCTCCAGTCATCACAATTTGATCACCAAATTCATATTTAGCAATCACATAATTAAATATTCTTTGTTGAATACTGGTTCAAAACCAACCCAGGAGATACTTCAGGTGAATAGTATTAGAATAGTATTAGAATAGTATCAGGATAGTATTACAACTACAATCATTGGCTTATTGGAGCCTACACGCCTATACACCAAAATGCAATTTTAATAATATTTGACATTCAATTATCACCCCAGGCCTATTTGAATTACACTGAATATACGTGCCTATACCAAAATCAAATAAATACTATTCGACAAACAACTACCATCACTGACTTCATAGTGACAGTTAAATACTTTTCTGTGTATAATCAATATAGTCAAAATATACACAGAGATACAATACTTTTCAAATAAATTTCAAAATATCTTTTACTCAATTAACTAAATTCTTTTTTTTTAGCAAAAAGTGTCTACCCGCAGACAATTGTAGCTGAAAGAAATTGTTGGATTATATCTCATACATTGATACATTGTGTGATATCAGTGTACACAAATCAACTGTGCCGTATTGTGCTCATGCTCTAATCTACTACACCATATACACTATATCAACATGCATTATGATACACGAGTACAGTACTATTAACTGTTAAGTCAGCTGACAAAATATTGCTGAAAATATGAAGAAAAAAATCCTTCAAAACTACATACTGATTGATATACTTCATATAAAAATTATTATTCCAAAACATATTTTCTTCCTATCATAGTTGTGACACAGGATGAAAATATTGTATTTTTTTATTCAGAAGTAAATAAAATTTGATCCATTTGTACCTGTATGGAAAGTCTTGAGGCAGTGAGACTCCCAAAGCACTCTCAACTTATTGAATAATTTGCCTTGATTTACTGCTTGGTCTTGTGTTGCATTCAGAGAATTCCCTGGGCAATGCAGTCAGTCCCAAGGGGGATAACTCAACAACTTGTGTGTCAGCCAATCAGGACACTTTCTCATGGTGAGAAACAAAATGGCCTCCAGGTGATTGCACCCCTGGTGTGAGTTAATGGGTTGAGAGTGCAGGAAGTTTTTTTATACCAGGGTAAGGTAGACTAGAAAAGATGGGTTGGGGTGATGGGATAAGGGTGGTTTGTCAGGTGGGTGGGAACTCTATGGGTTTGATTTTCAGTGTAAATATTTTGACTTGAACAAACTGACTTCAGAAAAAACATACAAATGAAATGACAACTGAAGACCCCAAATATAAAAATGTCATTTATGACATCCAGATGAACATTGTTACCATAAATTTTGAATCAATTTCACTCTTCCTCTCATTTCTTTTTTTGAATATATTTGAATGTGTTTACAATTTTTTAACCATTTTATTTGTTTGGATCTGTTACGCTTTTTAAAACATTTTATACTTACATATTTCAAAATATGTATGTTAAAGATTCTATAAATATAAATACAAATATAAATATATATTCTATTCATGCTTAGGCATGCAACTAATATTTACACTACAACTATTCATATATATTACAAAAATATTTTTCTAACAATATATTAGCGTCATGACTATTTCATATCTGTGTGGAGTATGTTGCTTTACCCCATCTTGTTAAAGCCTTCAAATTTTATGGTAAACCTGACAATCTCATGAATGACAAAATTATATTGAAGTCTCATGGGAACTCAAAATGGACTAAAAAAAAACAAATAAAAAAATAATATGTATTCATTAAGAGGGGGTTTTAAGGTAGAGAAGGACAATTGGCTGACTTAAGATTCGACTGCCTGCTCAGCTGAAAACAAAGAAAGGTTATTTTGAATAATCAAAGTTACATCAATCTTATTGTTTGGCGATACTTTTTGTTTTCTGTTCAAAAAGGTTTTCTGAAAATAATGCCAAGTCTCCAGTTTTTGTTTAGCTGGTCGCACTAGTTTTGCATTATAACATATATGCACTGATTTGTGAGAGTGACCTCCCTTGGCTTGATAAATGACAAAGGTCAAAACCAAAATTTGTGTCATCACTGACCTTTTGAATATTTCTATTGATATTTTTGGCACTTTTAACAGGGAGTCAACATGTAAGTTTCGATTTGGCTGATTACTTTTTTTTTACATTTTAGGGTCAACGGATCCTAAACATTGTATTCTGTAAAAAGTATCGCCTTAGTTATTTTTTTATACTTTTTCATACAAGTTCAGTTTTACTGCTGAACAGACAAAATAGTACATACATTATATCTCCATAGTACCAAAACACATGGCATTGGGAAATGTACGTGACTATGCTGTGCATTTTAGTCAAGCAAACTACAATTCTCACACACCCTTGCAACTATTGTGGGCTTGTTAAAAAATAAGAATCCCATCTTATTTCTAGCTAAAAAAACACAATGTTGCATTCATGTAATGATTGGTCAGCATGATCAGCAAAATTCACACATGTCAAACTCTGAAAAAAGATGAAATTCACACAAGATAAAACAAGATAAAACCAGATAAAACCAACTAGAAATAAGACTTGAAGAAGAAGGAAAAGATGAAACGGAATGGAAAAAGATGTCATCCTCATAATCCAGGGTGTGTTTTTTTGGATCTAAACGCAAGAATTTAAATCATTGATCACCTGAGGCCTTCATTTGTTTTATTGTCACATACACTCTGATAATGGTGAGTCAGTGTGAGTGAGTGAGTCCGGGTTTAAAGCTGCAGCTAGTCCTGTAATGGCAGACGGTCATAATTGATGCAAGACGATTAAGGCCATAGAGACACAGGTTGTATAAGCTTGTGACTACAGTATATTACTACATACACTTATAGTGCTGATCAGGCTGACAAAGCAAGGCCGTAGTTAACTTTTTTGACAGGGGGCGCAAATATTTGTACAAGTATCACTTGTCCCCAACTTGATTCAAATAAAACTGTTTCCTATAAAAAATCTAGAGGGGCAACTGGTCAGTGTGGCAAGGAAGGTTTTTGTTTCCCTCTTTAGTCTAATTAAAATGTCTGACATGATATTTTTGACTTGTTGTTTACTTAACGGGGAATAAAAAGTGCCTCATTCCCATACATTGTTACATAAACACTGAGCAGTAAACAGTGCATGATCTATGCATGTTGTTCGCACAATGACCAACAAGAGTCAATGTTTCCTAATGGCTTCCATATGAGGACGATCATTCTCAGAATCCTTGTGACCATTGGATCCCAATTATTGTGATCTCAAACCACTAACAGTTTATTACAGATGTGACTGAGTGAGTATGGTTTTACGCTGCTTTTACAAATATTCTAGCAATATAAAGGCGTGGGACACCAGAAATGGGCTTCACACATTGTACCCATGTCGGGAATCGAACCCGGGTCTTCGGCGTGACGAGCGAACGCTTTAACCACTAGGCTACCTGACCGCCCCTTATTATAGTTGTGAGTGAGTGAGTGAGTGAGTTTGATTTTACACAGCTTTTAGCAATATTCCAGCAATATCACGGCGGGGGACACCAGAAATGGGCTTCACACATTGTACCCATGTCGGGAATCGAACCCAGGTCTTCAGCGTGACGAGCGAACGCTTTAACCACTAGGCTACCTGACCGCCACTTATCATAGTTGTGAGGGAGATAGCATCTTAAAGAGCTTAAATACCGAGGGTATCGGAGCATGTTGACTAGTAGATGACAGAAACTGAAACATGAAGCCACCATGATAGGATGAAGATGAAGCACAGGCGTATTTCACTTGATTTGATTTGACATCCATCTTGGTATCCATGGTAATCATAATCTTTTTTGATTATAATCTTTGGGTGATCAGAATATTCAAAGTGAAATATGCCTGGAGAGAGATGGAGAGAAGTAAAGAAACAAAAGTTTCTAAGAAGAACAAAAGAGACAGTGTGAACCAAACACTAGAATTAACACTGCCCATTACTTTCTTCTCCCCCTGTAGGTTGTGTGGCCGGAGCCTCTGGGGTAGGGGCGGGAGCCTCGGCCTCCGGGGCAGGGGCAGGTGCAGGTGCACTCTCTTCAGCTGGGAGGAAAAGGAGGAATAAGCCAGGAATACCAACACATAGACACAGGGGAGACAACTGCTTGGCACAGGGGAGACAACTGCTTGACACATGGGAGACAACTCCCTAACAGGGGAGACAACTGCTTGACACACAGGAAATTCCAGGAAATGAGGATTGATATTCATTGAGAACATCATTTACACTTCTAGGATCTGTGGTGCCAAGAGACAGCTTTGGCAGAAATATATAATATCTTTCACAAATCTTTATTAATTTGTTGTAAAGTTATATCTCTGAAAATAATCGCACCATATTTGACATTTTTAGAGTCAAGCTTAATGCCTATGGTATCTTGCCTCTATTCAGAACAGCATGTTAGGACATTCTTCATGACATTTAGTCAAAGAATAAATCAACAATGTTACATTTCAATTTCATCAACTGAGTTACGAATCCTGACATCCGGGTCTAATAATGTCAAATATGATCAGACATGTTTTGGAAAGACTTAAATGTCTTCATATCAATATTAACTATTGTTGATGTGAAAGTATTACATGAGAGTTTAGTAAGCATAAGAGTTAAGTATAAGTATAACAATACGAGTTATCCATGGATTAATAAACAGGGAAGAAGTGTTAGTATATTTACTTTGTACAGGAGTCGGAGGTTCCTGCACAGAGCCAGGAGCTTCCACAATGGGTGGATCTGACAGAAGCAGAGTAGTGTTAGCACATGGATACAGAGTGTCACCATTGTTCATTTTACATAGGATTTACTACCGTTTTCGACGTAATAAGCGCCCAAAGCTGCTCTCAAAATTAGAAATAGGGGGCTCTTATTAGAATATTACTTTGGTGAAAAAAAACAGAGTTGAAAGATAAATTTGTACGACAGATATATTTTTCCAGAATTTTATTGCCCATAATTAAGGGTGCACAAAGCACACGAGTGCATATTATATGCGAAAAAATAAGTCTTGTGTACATAGATCAATCGGAAGGGGTGCCAATTGGGATTGTTCACTAGCCAATGTATTAGCAAATATCGCTGTGGGCACTTATTAGAGCGGGGCGCTTATTACGTCGAATTAAATACTCATACAATTTGAACTTTGTGAGAACCTGCTTGATGGCATATTTCAGCATTGTGCTCATATGGGATTTTGGGGAGGGCACTTATTACTGTTCTGTGATGGTCTAATTTCAATTTAAAAAGTATTTAGTAGGTATTTCAAATTTTGGAAATTGCTCATGTAACAAAAAGATTAAAAGTGATTGAAAAGAATTGGAAATCTCATTTTAATAGTGATTGATTGTTCTATACAAATAGACGCGTAGACTAGGTGCATTATAGTACTTTCTGTGTCAGTGGGATGACTGGGTTCAGACTCTGGTTCATCTGCAGTGGGTGGGTCAGTCACGGCTGGAGAGAAGCATGGCACATTGTTAGCAGACAGACAGATATTAGAACCAAAACAGACACAGAGTGATATTACACGTACAGCTTGTACAACACACTGTCTACTGAATGTATCAAGAGCTGTTTTTCACTAACCTGAATCATGTTTTTTTTCTTGTAATATAATTCAATATTGTTATGAAGGAATTTTACTTTCTTTCTACTCCAATTTAACAAAATGGATCTAAATTAAATCCTGTTGGTCCGTATGCATTTGAGGCCCATCCATACCCCTTGAGGTTATCATAGAATAAATTACATCTTCATAACAAAGAGCTATTGGGTCGGGTCAACATAATTTAAATTATTTTTTAATATAGACCAATTCTTTCGGAAGTGTGATTTCAGTCTCCTTTCTTAGAGCAAACCAGAGCTAAGGAAAAGAAGAAGATGAACAAGAGTTGAAAAGAGAAAATTTTGATGAACAACTGAGCTAAAAATTACTTTGTGGCTGAGATTCTGGTGCTGTCTCGGGCACTGCAGGCTCCACAGCAGGTGCTGGGAAGGTAAACACGGATTGGTCACGACAAGCCACATGGTTAGTCAGATAGTTAATACTAATATCAAGTACATCTTGTAATAAGCTTGGAGTACAAAGCTAAGCAGTTGTGTTGAGTTTTGTCTAAACAATTATCACTACAGACTTAATATTTTATGACAGTATCAAAGACTGGAACAGGAAAGTTCGTGAAAATTGTTTGAATTTGTTTAAAAAAAATTCAAAAATTTGTGTTAATTACTTTCTGGTTCAGGAGCGGGTGTGTCCGCTGAGGGGGTGGGCTCGACAGATGTTGCCTGGCCTGGGGGGAGAGAACATGTGATAAGCAACACTTTCCTCTAGACTAACTGTCCTAGGTGCTGAATTTTATTTCTTGGTTTATGGATCAGACGGGCAAATCTTTTACAAAAGTTGTCTTCACATTGAGATTAATTTAGGTTCTATTTTTCGTCTTGTCATGGAGTCTGTTTTAATAACAGCAAAAATCCCATGGCAATTCATATGGAAGGGAGATTTGTCATTCAAACAAAGAATTGAAGAAACTCTTCTGGATAGCCTTTGTTTATAACACTAGCTTATAAGACATCACTTAAGTCTTTATTTGACCAAATGAACATCAAAGGGGCTTCATGTATCATTACACCAAAGTGACATCTCTTGATAATTTTGTTTGGACACCAGTTTGGTTTTTAACATAAATACACATGTTAATGATGGTTATTACTTTCAGGAGCAGGTGCGGGCGTGTCTGCTGGGGTGGTTGCCTCTACAGGCGCTGGTTGGCCTGAGGGAGAGAACATGTTATTAGCCATACTATCTACTGGACCAGCACGAGAAGACACAGAGAAGCCTTGTTAGCTTGGACTCTTTGGGGCGACCATTATTAGGGGCAATGTCTACTCAGGTTCACCATCACCATGGTACTGACACTACATGGCTATTGAGCTGATCAAATTACCATATTCAATGTAATACAATAGCGTCCAGCCTGCTCTCAAAATTCGAAATAGGGGCGCTTATTACGTTGAATATGGTACTTTGTATTTTATACTAGAGACAACTAAAAACATTGTCTCACTCCATATGCCTGCTTGATTGACTTTTTATTCAGCAGGGACCATCAAAGACAACAAATGAAGGCAAGATCATGAAGTTTGATTGTTTGTTGTTTAATGCCGCACTCACCAATATTCCAGTGATAGGACTACAGCATGTATATATGGACCAGACAATGGTATGAGCAGCAATCTACGTCATCGGAGTACGATGACATGCAATCAACCAAGTCACCGAGTCCGCTCAACCGATCTATTAAGTTGCCTCTTGCGACAACCATGGGTTGCTGAGGACCATTTCTAATCCAGAGATCCAGAGATCATTAGGTAGCACGGTCTTACAAAATATGGAGTTGACGAAGTTCAAGGTAACAAGGCTTCCTGCTATCAGAGATCAGTGGGACTTCACAGACTAGGAATTCTGATTGGATAATATTAAATCTTATGTTAACTCCCTACGGACCTGAAGAGACTCAAGCCAATGGTCAGCTGGTAGCCTTCTAATATTGTAATATGACCATATTGGTATTGAAGTGAAAGGAATCATTCTTTGTACATTTTAGAAGATATCCATAACAGTCATCTTTTCAAACTGCTTGACAGCTATTATGTATGACAATGATCTCTTAGTATAGCCATCTTGTTCTATATGAGAACAAAACTTTAGGGTTAAATAGTTTAATGTCTCTCTTTCATTTAGGGAATGAGAATGACTCTTTTGAAATTCGAGACTGTTTGTTGTCATGGGTAACACTTTTACTTGTACCAGGGTCACTCAGTGCAAGAGAGCGATCAAATGGAAAATGTTTGAAGTGCCTCAAGTCTGAGCTAGGCTCACATACCACAATCACAAAAGAATGAAGTTTTCAACTTTATTCACAAACCTTTCAATTTCTCAAAAGAAATTTTAAGTGTTTCAGTCACAATCATCACAATCATCATATTTATATTTTATTCAATCACAATATAAAGTCAGTTTTGTTCACAGCATTCACAACAAATGACCAAGATGAAAACCACCATTTTGTTCACAAGAATTAAGACTTGAAAGGTTGCACTCATGTTAATGACATCGAATTTCTCTTCAATTCTGAGTTTGCCATTCACACAACTCCAAAAGGAAAGCATGATACATATTACATGTGTTTCCTGAGACACAAGAGTTCAAATAATCACAGACATCAATTGGTTCAACATTACAAAGAGCCAAGTTGAGAAAATAAAATCAATCAAAAACAGTTGATGAATCAATCATGTAAAAGGCTGTGTTTTTTATTTCATTCACTATCACTGTCATACACAACGTTCAGAATGGATCCATGGAAGTGACGCAAAGTAAAAAGTAAATCAAAAAGGAAATTTACTTTGTGGTTCTGTTGCCAGGGCAACAACATTAGGGAGGCTTGATTCTACAGCAGGTCCTGATCGGATACATTGGCATTTGGGGTGTGGAAAGCAGCATATGATTGGTCAGTTAGTACTACACAGGATTTTCTACTGTTGTCATGGTTAAAAAGGAATGTTAAAACTGACATACATTATCACAGACACATCTATATATTACTAAGAAATAAGTTAGAAAAAATATGTACAATTCAACACAAAGACTGTAATGAAATATGTTCATGAATGAATCTGAAATAGAGAAATATGTAAATTTCTAAACCCTACTAATAAGAAAAAGCATATCACACAAATACACTTAAAGGTTTATTCCAAAAGCAAAATCAACTCAAGCAAATTCATTACTTTCTGATTCAGCAGATGCCGCCACTGGCTTTGGAGCGCTGGGAGTGGCCTTGCCTGGAACACAACGGGGTCAAGGCCAGGTCAGCAAAAGGTCAAGGTCAAATGAATCCATTTTTGCAGGGTGCATAAATGAATAGCTCCTAAAATCGTTGTTACATAATATGCATTGGATTATAAATCTACCCTACATTAGAATTAATATCTACTGACAACATAAACGATACCACTGATGGAATAAAGTGCATATATTTTTGAAGGAATTCATCAAAAGTTACACAAGAAGTCATCAGTTAGAAGCACACTTTTTTCCCATGAATTAGCAACTTATAATTAGTTATACAACATGCATGCTGACTAATTAGTTCTGTGAAACAGACTATACTTTGTATATGGTTGATATATAATAAGGTTAATACAAGAACAACATCTACCATATATATATATACATGATGAAACGACAGGCAATATAAGGGTCAGGACAAAAATTTATAATGTACATCATTCCTTAAAACAAGGTCAGGCCAAACTATAATAAACAAAAAAAGTCAGGGATCATGACTGTTTTGGGGGATCCTTTTTTATAGTGCCGACTGAGCACATAATTTCATTGAAATATCCCCCAAAATATTCATGATCCCTAACTTCTTTTGTTCAGTATAGTTTCTTGTGTTGGAGATCAGCTTGACCCATGCAACCTTTGCAAAAGTATCCAGCAGAAAAGGAAATGTGTTTTTTCAGTTGCAAATATGCTTTATGAAATATCTTTTTGTTTGTATTTTAATTGAAATATTATTTCAAAATTGTTTACCCCAAATCAAAGCTGAATGTTTGTATTTTTTATTTTCGTCACTCGGAACACTGGCCAAGAAAGTTGAATAAATACAACTATAAATTGGACTGGTATATTTTCAAATATTAAACTGTTAATAGGGACCAAACAATGACAATGACAGGAATATGCAATCTCATTAAAATCATATCTTAGTTCTCACTACCGCTAAACAAGGATCTGAGGACATCCCATTAGGGGTCACGTCAGACCGACCTTGCGCGAACTTTGACCGACCAATGGAATGACCAATCAGAAAGCAGCTTTCTCGTGCTTCACGGCACTAATTTCAAATTGGCCACGACACTTCGAAACATATTTTGACAAATTCTCGATTACAAGTTTGAAACCTAAACAAAAAAACATTCTGGAATGGCTAATAGATGGTCTCGATTGTAAGGATTTAGTCGTTAAACCCGTAACTATCGTTCGGAATACCCCATGCTAAAGTTTTCGAGGTTACATGATTAGAAATCACATTCCGACTGTCACTTTCATAATCTGGTAAGCGACGCTCTGATTGGTCGGATGAAAGGTCGTTCTGACGTGACCCCTAATGGGATGTCTTCAGATCTTTGTTTAGTGGTAGCGAGAACTAAAGTCTGATTTTAATGAGATTGAGGAATATGGAACATCCATTTGTCAATTAAAATTACTATTAAATATTCACACACGTAGGATAATCCTGACCCTAATATGCCCGTATTTCCATGCAGTATAAAAGTAAGACACTTATACATGACAAGAGTGCTCTCCCCTACCTTTAATGGTAACGTTGGTTCTGGTGGAAGCAACGCCAGCTGGGTTGGAAGCTTTACATACGTAGGTACCTTCGTCGTCTATAACTGTGTCCGAAATAACTAATTTACACACACCATTGCTATAACTTAGAGATACTACATCATCCGATTTCAGCATCTGTAACAAGAAATAGAACTCATGTCGTATTGGCTTCATGTAATTTGACAACAGCTGGCAGGATATATAGCCAGGCTTGGAGCAGAGAAACCAGGGCTTGATAGATAGCTCTCTACAAAGATGTGTTGACAACCTCGTTACATGTCAAAAAGATCTGGCATCACACTCTTAAGAATGAGTTCTGGATTTAGACTCTATGGAATGGATTCTGGCTTTAGACTCTGTGGAATGGGTTCTGGCTTTAGACTCTATGGAATGGGTTCTGGCTTTAGACTGTGGAATGGGTTCTGGATTTGGAGTCTATGGAATGGGTTCTGGCTTTAGACTCTTTGGAATGGGTTCTGGCTTTAGACTCTTTGGAATGGGTTCTGGATTTGGAGTCTATGGAATGGGTTCTGGCTTTAGACTTTATGGAATGTGTTCTGGATTTAGGCTTGGAGCAGAGAAACCAGGGCTTGATAGATGGCTCTCTACAAAGATGTGTTGACAACCTCGTTACATGTCAAAAAGATCTGGCATCACACTCTTAAGAATGAGTTTTGGATTTAGACTGCATGGAATGGATTCTTGATTTAGACTCTATGGAATGGGTTCTGGCTTTAGACTCTATGGAATGAGTTCTGGCTTTAGACTCTATGGAATGGGTTCTAGCTTTAGACTCTATGGAATGGGTTCTGGCTTTAGACTCTATGGAATGGATTCTGGATTTGGACTCCATGAAACGGATTCTGGATTTGGACTCTTCGGGACAGTTCTGGATTTAGACTCTATGGAATGGATTCTAGCTTTAGACTCTTTGGAATGGTTTCTGGCTTTAGACTCTATGGAATGGGTTCTGGATTTAAACTCTATGGAATGAGTCACTCACCTGTCCGTTAAAGTACCATTCGACATTGGGTTCAGGTTTGGCGGACACGGTGCACTGTAGAGCTAGTCGTTCTCCCTCAGTCAAGGACACAGGGGAGAGCTTTTCAGAAAACTCTGGCGCCACTTCTACAGCTGAAACAACATTCACTGATATTGTTTCTGGTTGTCATCTAGTATATCTTTACAAGTGCCTAACTTTAAGATTCATCCTCCAACAAACAAAAACACTGACTTAGCAATATTCCATAAATGTTATGGCAGGGAACACGTTAAATGGCTTTATGCATTCAAAGTCAGAACCTTGACATGAGGAAGAAAGGTTTTAACCATTAGGCTACTCCATCACCCAAACACAAAGAAATGGCTTCAGTGTTGTTAGAATATTATTTTGGAAGTAGCTATACATTGTAATATTCCAATTCTTTTATGAAAATACAAATGAGCAACATACGTTTTTCCTCTTTTCTCCTTGAGGAGGAAGAAGAGGACTCTGTGACTTCCTCTCGCTGGAAGCGGCGTGTCTTGGAGGACTTGGAGGAAGAAGATGTTGAGGAGGATGACTCTTCGTAACTGGAGGAGAACTCCTCAATGTTGACGCCCGACTTGGTCCTGCGAGCCATTCGGGACACAGTTCTCTTGGAGCTGCTGTCACTGTCCTTCATCCCAGCGTGGACACGGTCTGTACAAGAGTTCAAATCATGATTGTCCAATTTTATAAATAATTATTCCTAATTTAGAAATTTATTTCCTTTAATTCTTTTACAGGCTGACTGTTAACAAGCCGCTGTCATATGGCCAGAGTACTGCTGTGTGGGATCAGGCAAGAAACAAACACTCACTTGTTTATACAAATGAGTGGTGGGTACTACCGGTAGGACCATCTCCACGAGGCAAGTGAGTTAACTGACTACAAAAGTCCAGTTTCCACCCTTGCCGAACTAGGCTGGTATTATGGAGTTACAATTTGGCTGGACTAACGAGTCTATGCATAGTCCAATCAAAATCGCACAACGAAATCGAAATACGGTTCGTAAACTGTCGTGCTGATTTTGATATATTGCAGGATTTGCAAAGCATGTGCACCGCCAATTCGTTGTTAAAAGATATTTTCCAAATCTTTTCATGATTTCAATCAAGGTGCTCACGTGATTTGATGCATTTTGCGATGTAAGACACGTTTTAACATAATATAGATCTTGATTATTGATCAGATCGTCTTGACTGGGCGCCGCCATTTAGTTTGAATCAAATGCAAGTGATACGAGGGGTGGAATCTGATTGGTCCATGGGAGAGGCTTAGAAGGGACATGACTGGTAATAGCCACTGGTGTTGCTACGATCGAGCCCAGGAATTCCAGTCTAGTTCGGCAAGGGTGAGAAACTGGACTTTTAAAGTCAGTTAAGTCTCTTGATCCGGGAAGATGTGGTAGGACAGACATGTTTACCATTTTCAGTCTTCACTATTTTCTGTGATCCAGTCATAAAATGTATCACTATTTGGCCATTTAGGACCCCTGGAATCTGTTTCTGTGGCTTTGATATTCTCTAGCATTGACGTTGTATATTTTCATGCATATGCTATGTTGTATCGATATACAACGCATGTACAAATTACTCGATTTGATACTTGTATCGTGATCATCCTACAGTGAGTCAATATAGCTCTACCATACAATGAAGACGAGTTTTTGAATTTTGGGTTCAAACTGTGGAAAGTCAGAGCTGTACCCTGAGTATGGGTATTGGTATGGGTTCGTAGCTCACCTTCCACTGTGACGCGGGTGTTGGTCTCATGGTCGCCCAGGGGGTTGGTGGCCACGCACGAGTATCTGCCTGTGTCCTCCACACGAGCGTTCTGGATCTCCAGGGTACACACGCCATGAGAGTAGGTAATGTTGTAGTGGTCGCCATCGGTCAGGTCACGGCCATCCTTCGACCATTGTACCTGGGGACATTTACAAACGTACTGAGACACTGACATTCAATGTCATTTACAACTTGTCTACTTTTATATAGAAAATTTGAGATGTTGTGCGAAGCACATGTAACATATGTGGTGTCTCCTTAGGAAAGTAGCTTTGTGCCTCCGTTCAGCAAGCATGGAATGGGTACCTGGTAGGATGAGATGGTAATGCAACTGTTAACCTTCTAGTGCATTGTATACTCCCCAGGGAGATGAGAATAAAAATCTCATGCATTTACTGGAGCAATAATGTAGTGCTTGAGCATGCTCCAGGCTGTGGATTTGGCACATTATTAATAAGCACAATATTATTAATAGTAATATCATAACCAACTTCCTATAGAAATTGACCATGGGTCTTTCAAACAATCCTTCAAAACCTTGTTGGCTAGGAATCTGAAGGTAAAACTATTTAAAGCCTCCAGTCAAAGTTCGTGTTTGAGTTGTGAGAGGACTAGAGCACACTTCTATCATTGTCAGGGTGATCTGATGCTGATGAAACTTGGTATGCACCTTCGGTGGGGGATGAGCCTTGACGCAGCAGATGAGTTTGAACTCTGTGCCAGCCTGGATGGTACGAGGTCGGAGGTCAAAGTTGAAGTTTGGTTGTTCATCTTCCTTTGGTTTTTCAAACTGGACTTCTTCATATTCACGCCTCCTGGGAGAAGAGACAGATTGAAACATCAAGACTTAGGAAGTCATCAAAGTAATCAGAAGGGGATGTCTTCAGCATGTTTTGGTTGCATTCAAGCAAGTAGTGGGTGTCATACATTGCACCCAGGTAGGGAATCAAACCCATGTTTTAGCCAAATGAGAGAACACCTGAACCACAAGGCCCCATATCTAAATAAGTCAAAATGATTTGGAAATACAACCACAGGAGTGAGTATACGTTTTAATAAATTTCAGCAAATTTGAAGAAGGATTATGGTGGATTACACATAATTTACCCATGTTGGAATCAAACCTGTGTCTGAAGCTTAGGAAGGGAACACTTGAACCTTATTGTTTATTGGAATTCGGGTAAATAAAGTAATGTCGTACTTTCTCATGGGAGTCGTCTCTCTGCTTGGAGGCCTGAAGGCGTCCAGTCCGGCTGAAGGATAGAAATTATTCACACATCAAAACGTGTCATTTGTAATGTTGATAAGGGCATCTTCCAATCTCATTAAAATCAGATCTTAGTTCTCGCTACCGCTAAACAAAGATCTGAAGACATCCCAGTAGGGGTCACATCAGAACGACCTTTCATCCGACTAATGAGAGCGTCGCTAACCAGATCATGAAAGTGACAGTCGAAATGTGATTTCTAATCATACAACCTTGAAAACTTTAACAAGGGGTATTCCGAACGATAGTTACAGGTTTAACGACTGAATCCTTACAATCTTTACCATCTATTAGCCATTCCAGAATGTTCTTTTGTTTAGGTTTCAAATTAGTAATCGAGAATTTGTCAAAATATGTTTCGAAGCGTAGTAGCCAATTTGAAATTAGTGCCGTAAAGCACGAGAAAGCTGCTTTCTGATTGGTCATTCTCTTGGTCGGTCAAAGTTCGCGCAAGGTCGGTCTGACGTGACCCCGTAATGGGATGTCCTCAGATCTTTGTTTAGCGGTAGCGAGAACTAAGGTCTGATTCTAATGAGATTGATACAGATACTTTAATTAGTTTGTTTGTTTGTTGTTTAAGGCCGCACTCAGCAATATTCCAGCTATATGACAGCGGTCTGTAAATAATCGAGTCTGGACCAGACAATCCAGTGATTGACATCATGAGCATCATTCCACGCAGTTGGAATACGATAACATGCATCAACCAAGTCAGCGAGTCTGACCATCTGATCCAGTTGGTCGCCTCTTACGACAAGCATGGGTTGCAGAAGACCTATTCTACCCCGGATCTTCACGGGTATACCCTCCATATTGACCAAGTCAGGGAGCCTGACCAAACTGATCTGTTCATCTGAACCTGAGGATTCTGTTGGTAGAATAGAAAGAACACTTACGCTCAATGTTGAGTTTGCATTTTTCTTCCTTCCTGCCAAAAGAGTTCTCAGCCCGCACAAGGATCTCTCCCTTGTCTTCCATCTTGACGCGGGAGATCTTCAGCTCGAACTCATTGCCCATGTACTTCTGCATATATTTGATGCTCTGTGTCAGCAGACTGTCGTTCTTGTACCTGGGGAGGAGGGGAAATCAAGGTGTCAGCATGTATCTGGCACAACCCAGGGGTACACTAGAGATAGGGATGTACACATAGCAAGACTTGACCTCCATCACAGCAGGATTGCTTAGTATGGAACCTGGGAATCAAACCCAGGAATTGATGTGTAGGATAAGTTATCCCTATATTGAAGCAATGATACAAAAATGATAAAAGCACCTAACATTAGGATTAAGTGATTAAAGACATGAAGGGAGATAACTCCTTGTCACTTGTCTTAAGGACATCATTCAACCTCAAACACATCAGGGGTAGATAACTCCTTGTCACTTCTTTTAAGGCAGACATCATTTGACCTCAAACACATTAAGGGAGATAACTCCTTGTCACGTCTCTTAAGGCAGCCATCATTCGACCTCAAACACATCAAGGGAGATAACTCCTTGTCACGTCTCTTAAGACGGACATCATACCTCAAACACATCGTCCTTTTATTCGTTTCATGAAAAAGTTAATAAAATCAACAATAACCTTGAAACATTATCCATTACTTTAGTAGATGAAGTAATGTTACAATTGTAGATTGATGGGTAAAAAGCAAACATGCAATTCATCATTCATCTTAACGTAACCATGGAGAAGGAAGATCTAAAATATGACACCAAATCGTGTCTCACCAGGTAACAATTGGTGGAGATGCAGCGATGATCTTGCAGTCAAACTTGCATGTCTGTCCTTCAGGAACTGTAGCATTACGTGGGCGGCGCACAAATCTTGGAACAGCCTCCTTGCGATCTGAGATAATAAATAATAATGAAAATTGATTTATTTAAAATAAATCTTAAACTGAAAGTTCAACATGCTCTTATAATTATTGAAAGATACATGTCAACCATGTATGTTTGAATGGACTATCAACAGTCACATTTTACGAGGAGAACTGGACTGTCCAAATTTACAAAAATATTTTTTGAAGGAATATGGATAGGAAACGTGTATCTGTTCTTAGTTATACAACTCTGCAGTCTCTCACCGAAGTAGCTGTCATAGATCTGGTACTCCTTCGGCCTGTGTTTCCTGAGAGAGGAGAAGTTGGCGATACGACCGATGGCTGGCATAGGCTGGGGCCAGTCAGCCTACACACAAGAAGAACTTGGTTAAATCTAAATTCCAGCAACATTTCATTGTCATCTTTATTATATCAAAGCGATCTTACCAACAGGGGTATTAAAAGTCATTCTGATCATATTTTTTCTGAATTTTCAATTTTTATGTTGGTGGATGCATAAACCATGCCAGAAATCCTCAAGTGATAGATATTGCTGGTATAGAAAAAATATTCATACCACTGAAATTTAATCTTAAAGGTAAAAGAGTTTAATTTAATTATTTCAAAATGCTTAAAGATGCAAATATTAGGCAATTTGACATTGGAATGAGTAGAAAATCTAGTTCAATTTCTCCTGTCCTAAATTTACTTTTGTGATGTACTCTAGAAGAAGCTCATGTTGACACAGGTAGATGTATTTACCTGTGACTGTAGCCGACATCTCCATGCTACAAACCATGCTAGAACAATCAGGACAAGGTAACAGACTGTTAGTCGTGACGGGGAAAAATATTCACACATCAACCAAAACTTCATTCCTGTGTCGCAAACAATACCATGCTATTACTTCAAACATCCATGGCCAAAGAAAAAACAACATTGGTTCTCAAGCATTTTTGTTTAAAAATCAGTGTTTTTTTCATTGAAACAATTTTCTACTGGGTATCAGAATTTTTAGATTTTCGTCTAACGAAATACAAATTTGAAAGTCGTATTGAGTCATTTTAGCTGTGAAATTGCTTGAGAACCAGGTCTATTTTCATGTAGCTTAGTATGTACATAGACATATTTCTAAGGTATGACACTAGATCTCCTTGTGAAGGTGACCACCGTGTTTGGAGAAGCATCAATTGACAAAAGGTCGACGATGTGAGCATACATCTGTGTTGTACATTGACATCGTAAAAGACCATCCCACAGACGCAGGTTAGAGGCTGACAACACTCGACTGTGAACCTCTGGAGAGTGAGTGAGTATGGTTTTATGCGGCTTTTAGCAATATTCCAGCAATATAGCGACAATAACCAGAAATGTGCTTCACTCATTGTACCCATGTGGGGAATCGAACCCAAGTCTTCGGTATGACGAGCGAATGCTTCAACCTCTTGGCTACCCCACACCCAACATCTGGGGAAATTCACATGGAAGAGAAGGACACCCAACTCAACCATCGTTATTCAGATCAATCAGATCTGGTGAAGACGCACCATGCAATATAATCACATAGTCCTGGCATTGCCTGTGAACCCCAATGGCAGCTGACCCTCAATACTCAATGTCATTACAGGTTTAGTATTAAACACAGCAATCACAAATCATCCCAGCACGTCAATATTTATATAAATAGCTTATATCACTTTATTGCCACTTATTCATGCTTGGCCTTCATGCTTTCAATAACCTGTAGCAGGGCGTGGAGTTGTCCCACAGATGACATCCTCACCTTGTTAGCTTGCTGACGGGGTCAACCTCTTTGGTCATGTGGACTAGGTGTCTGACCTCTGATCAGATGATCATAAGGTCCATGGTTCGAATCCCATCATGGGCCTCGGACCACGGACCTTCTGATCAGAGGTCAGATGCCTTGTCCATATGACCAAAGAAGTTAACCCCGTCAGCAAGCTGACAAGGTGAGGATTCGAACCATGGACCTTCTGATCAGAGGTCAGACGCCTTGTCCACATGACCAAAGAGGTTAACCCTGTCAGCAAGCTGACTAGGTATTAAGGATGTCATCTGTGGGATGATTCCATGCCCTGCTACATACCATTATTCAAATTTACATGAATCATCATCTTCCAGAAGCATGGGAGGTAACTTACATTAAAATTCCATTTTCCACCCATGCCGAACTAGGCTGGGATTATGGAGTTAGCGTTAAACAAAGTGCACTTTATGAGCACCTGATAGCTAATCAATCATTGTGTGATGTTCACCTTAAAAAAACATCTGTGTGACAGCAAAAATATAACTCCATAATTCCAGGCTCGTTTGGCAAGGATGGAAACAACTTATATTTTGGCTGGACTAACGAGTCTATATATACTCAAATCAAAATCGCGTAATGAAATCAAAATCTGGTTCTTAACTGACGTGCAGATTTCAGTTGATTCCAGGATTTAGCGTCAACAGATATTTTCCAAATCTTACCATGTCTTTTTATCAGGGTGCTCATGTGACTTGATGCACTTCGTGAATTAAGACTTTTTTTGTTACAATGTAGATCTTGATTATCGATCAGATCGTCTTGACTGAGTGCTACCATTTTTTTTAAGCAAATGCAAGTGCTATGAGAGACGGAATCTGATTGGTCAATAGGAGGGACATGAAGGAAGGGCAAAAACTAATGGCACCACGATGGAGCCCAGATATTTCAGCCAAGTTCAGCAAGGGTGGAACCTGGGCCCTGTTCCTCAAAGCGATCTTAGCGCTACAATGATCGTAAGCCTATGTTAAAGTATGGGACTTACGATCACCTTAGCACTAAGATCGCCTTGAGGAACGGGGCCCTGGCCTTTTACAGTTAATGGCCTTGCCTCTGGAAGATGATGAATCATTGATGAACATTCATGCTTCTGTAGGAATATAAACTCTTAAATGTTTGGATGGTTTAGATCAGACACTTTGTTCTAGTTCATGTATTACTGATGCGATTCTCCGTGCTTTCCCTCACATATCTGAAGTCCTAAGATCAATCTCCCTCCCCATCATAAATGACCAGCCCTTATAACCAACAGCTATTCAAAAAGTTATTGGGTTTTGATGCTGTTAAGATAACACTGACTACTTTTCTTATTGACCTTGTCGATCTGTAAGACAAGAACTAAACTGGTCTGATCTAACTGTCATAAACATAAACCACTGCAGACAATTGTGTCGGGTGCATTGTGTTGACATTGTGTCGTCAGACTTACGTATCTCTCCTTGATCCTCTGTCTGATCTTGTTGTAGCGACTGGATGGGATCCTTGTTGTCAGGTTGCTATGGTCACCCTGCACACAAGAGGATGTATTGTTAGATGTATCAATGTTTGTTTGTTTGTTTGTTGATTAATGCCACACTTTGCAATATTCAAGCTACATGATGGCTGCCTGTAAATAATTGACGGGCGGACGCTCTACCACTAGACCACGGAGGCGGTCTAACTGCACTCAAACTGCACATAAAAGGTCAGACAAACCAGTGGTCAATAGTGTGAACACCACCCTGGCGTGATGGACTCTTCATAAAAAGCAGCCATTGAGACAACCCCTGCCAGGAGTCCCATCTTAGGACAAGCAGAGATGGGGACATTGTCTGCCCATCAGATATAGGGCTGAGGTGAGTGAAATGGGGTTAACATCGTGTCCAAGATTATTGCACTTACATAGTGACGTGCATGCCAGGTGTGTGTGTGGTTGCTTGTACCAGTTCGGACTGACATCGATTTTATAGTGTTAGCCTGCTGAGATACCATGCCGTAGTTTTACATGAATTCCCCACTCAGATAAGATATATACTGACTATGAGCCGACAAGCCCTTGATTTAGCCCCTTAATGCTGAGCGCCAGACAGGGTAACAACAAATACCATCTTTTAATGTCTTTTGGAATGATGCAGCTCGGGATTGAACCCAGACCTTCCGCTTTCTGGGCGGATGCTCTACCACTAGACCACGGAGGCTGTCAGGTGTGGAGGACAGGTGTAGGTGCATGTGTACTTACAGTGAGCCATGGGTGTTCCAGGGCATCATGGACGTTCATCCTCTTTCTGTAATGACAAAACAAGACATACAGGACAGTTGCAGCTTACATTCAAGGAACAAAAAATAACTTAATGCTTTATCAAGCCTAACACTCAACAATGACTTAATCACTTCAGAGTGCTGTCCCACATTATATTTTCCAATGTCACATTTCAAAACTGTACCACTCCAAAATTTACCAGCTGTAATGCTAAGATTCCTCTTCAGGTGATGAAGATGCCATAGTTTAACATGCATCTAGTCATAGTGGTAGATTGCCTTGAGATATGAGGCCCTGCAGCCTATCAGCTTCTCTGTCTTGGTAAATAATGCTGTTCAAAACACATGTTTTTGTTTGTTTGTTTGTTTGTTGTTTAACGCCGCACCCAGCAATATTCCAGCTCTATGACGGCGGTCTGTAAATAATCGAGTCTGGACCAGACAATCCAGTGATCATGAACATCGATCCACGCAATTGGGATCGATGACATGCATCAACCAAGTCAGCGAGTCTGATCACCCGATCCCGTTAGTCGCCTTTTACGACAAGCATAGTCGCCTTTTACGGCAAGCATGGGTTGCTGAAGACCTATTCTACCCCGCATCTTCACAGGTCACAAAACACATGTGATATTTGCCAAATACTTACGGTGCCTGTTTGACAAGGAGGGCCTTGATGAAGGCTTTGGCCTCCTGGGAAACATTGCTGAACGCTTCCTCGTCAAAGTCCCAGTCACAACGCTTCACATTCTGCAGAGTCTCAAGGTCATCTTCGCCGGCGAAGGGAGACAATCCACTCAACCTGGTAAGGAGGCATAAAAATAATATTAAAGGACTCATTAATTTGATTTAGGTGGCAGGAAACAAATATATGCACAGTTCCAGAAAGTTTCATAATCTTTATTAGCTAAATGGCATATATAAGAAGAGGTAGTAGAACGCCATGATACTCACAGAACATAAGCGAGCACACCGATAGCCCACATGTCAGTATAGAAACCAACAGGCTCGCGATCCACGATCTCAGGGGCTGCGAACTCAGCTGTTGCCGTGGTAACCTTGACAATCTCATCCGGATTGAGCTTGGTGGCAAGACCGAAGTCGATGATCTTGACATTGGTGCTTTTCTTGGTTTCGACCATAATATTCTCAGGCTGTGACAAAGAAACAGCATAGCATTATGATAAAATAGATTGATTGTAATATTTCTAACTGAACCTTACTAAAATGAGAGAACTACCAAGTCTAGTTTCATGTTGATTTCTAGTGAGATAGCAGGCGATGCTAATAACGATCTTCAAATGTTTAATGCATGTGGAGAATCAAGTCTCGGTCATAACTTCCAAATGCTTTACCCTCATCACCTCTAATATTAATAGTATGGGTACGAGTATGAAATGTACACTGATTTTCACTTGAGAGGAGCAACATTGCCAAATTATCAACCATATACCGTATTCGACATAGTAAGCGCCCAGGGTGCTCTCAAAATTAGAAATAGGGGGCCCTTATTAGAATAAAAGATCGTAAATTTCGTGGTTTATGCTGACAGCCTGAAATGATACAAAAGAAAAGTCTGTGTGTCTTATACACGGCAGATATAGTTTTCCAGAATTTAATTGCCCATAATTAAGGGTGCATATAACACATGAGTGCGTATTATACACGAATAAATAAGTGTTGTGTACATTGATCAATCGGAAGGGGTGCTAATTGGGATTGTTCACTAGCCAATATATTAGCGGGGCGCTTATAACATGGAATACGGTCATCTATATGTTTCTATGGTTTGCGTTTCTTTTGGCAGTGAGTATATATAAAATAACGATCAGCTCCTTATTCTAAGAAAATAATTATTGAACATGTGATCAAAATTGTCATGACTGATTAGTCATTTGATCTGAAGACAATAACTGATGGTGGTAGGCAGATCATGTTCTGTTGTGTTGGTCATCTACCCCCTACGATTCCACCTCGGTTAAACCGCTGATCGTCTTTGACTCTCATCAATTACCCTGACCCCAAAGGTAGCGTTGTAGCAAGGGATCTCTGTCGTTATATGATCTGAAGACAATAACTGATGGTGGTAGGCAGACCATGTTCTGTTGTGTTGGTCATCTACCATCTACGATTCAACCTCGGTTAAAATACTGATCATCTATAACACTCATCAATTACCCTGACCCCAAAGGTAGCGTTGTAGCGAGGGATCTCTGTCGTTATATGATCTGAAGACAATAACTGATGGTGTCTGTTATCCTAGGCCCTCCATACACTCCCACTGGACCACTCAACGTGTCGGACATCACCAAACACACATGCCGCCTGGCCTGGAAGCCGCCCAAGGAGGACGGTGGCGCCAAGGTGACATCATACGTCGTGGAGAGACAGGAAGTGGGCAAGCCCTACTGGGTGACAGTTTCCTCACAGTGCAGGTGAGCGGTCAGTATATATCAAATTTTCCAAATATATTAATTTGACGTACCTTGATATCGAGGTGGACAATGCTGTGTTCGTGCATGTGTTTGAGGCCCTCACAGGCTTGTCTCATGTAGTTGATCACCTCCGCCTCAGACATTTTGTAATCCTCAGCAGCGATACGATCAAACAACTCTCCACCAGCCAAGCTGCGAACACAAATAGTCTTTATAATAATGTGCATTTCAATCATTTATTTAAGACCAGTAACAATCTCATCAAAATAAGATCTTAGTTCTTGCTGCTGCGAAAGGTTGTTCTGACGTGACCCGTTATGGCCGGGATGTCCTCAGATCTTTGTTTAGCGGCAGCGAGAACCTAGATCTGATTTTAATGAGATTGGACCAGTAATAAACTCATCAAAATAAGATCTTAGTTCTTGCTGCTGCGAAAGGTTGTTCTGACGTGACCCGTTATGGCCGGGATGTCCTCAGATCTTTGTTTAGCGGCAGCGAGAACCTAGATCTGATTTTAATGAGATTGGACCAGTAATAAACTTTAACAGACATACTGTGTCAAACAGATGTAGCATTTAAGCTTATAGGAATAAATCAACCAAAGGCAATACAAAGTGGCTTGGCACAAGCTGACCATGATGTCTCGTTGATGTCAACATTCAATGTACAATGATTAAAGTTTTGTTGTGTTCATTGTAATTCCTGCATTCTGATACGCTGAATTGGTCACATGTTATTGGATTCATTTCCCAATGAATGTAAAAAATTAAGCCACGCCCACCAAAGTGGACTACTTTTATTACTACGGAAGGTCGGGGAATCTCAATATTACAGTCGAGGGAATTCCCTTTCTGCTCATGTGTATCGTCATGCACAGGACATTTCGCGAAATTCATGCATATTCATTGTCCAAACTACCCTTTGAGACCGAAGGCACGAGAAGGAATGAAACAGCAAATGTGCAGGGTCGCTCGCCTGGGCTCCACAAATTTCAGGTCTTCAGGTTTAATTTCTAACCCTCATTTTTCCAACTGTGTCTTCCTGTTCTAATATTTGAATCTGGCGGTAACTGACCATGTCATTTGAAACAGCCGCCTTGTCGCTGATATATTTTTATACCTAAGTGAACCGAAGACAATCCATAGTTAATCCTGAAGTAAACACATTCTGTGCAATGAGCAGGCATTGCTACTTACAACTCCAGGATGAGAACCATCTCGTATTTATCCTCGAAGGCGTCGTGCATGTTGATGAGTTTTGGATGATGGAGCTGGTTCATGATGTTGATCTCGTTCTTCACCGTGGCTTTGTCCAGTGGGTAGGGGCTGTTGATGAACTTGGCCACAAACACTCGGCCTGTTGCCTTCTCCACACAGCGATGGACAACACCAAACGCACCACTGGAACGACAGAGTTGAATTGTAGAAATTGTGTGTGTGTTCTTGCTGTGAGTTGTGTGTGTCCTTGTGTGTTCTTGTGTGAATTGTGTGTGGTCTTGCTGTATGTTGTATGTATTCTTGCTGAGATTTGTGCATTCTTACTGTGAGTTGTATGTGTTCTTGCTGTGAGTTGTGTGTGTTCTTGCTGTGAGTTGTGGGTGTCCTTGCTGTGAGTTGTATGTGGTCTTGCCATATGTTGTGTGATTTTTCTGTACATTGTGTGTGTTCTTGGTGTGAGTTGTGTGCATTCTTGCTGTATGTTGTGTGTTCTTACTGTGATTTGTGTGTTCTTGCTGTGAGTTGTATGTGTTCTTGCTGTGATTTGTGTGTTCTTGCTGTGAGTTTTGTGTGTTCTTCTGTACATTGTGTGCGTTCTTGCTAAAAGTAGCATGTCCTACCTTCCAAGTTCCTCCAGGATGTCGTAGTAGTCGTATACGCTGGCCTGCTTCACCGTCACGGGCTGCGGCACAAACTTCTTCCAGATGTCATCATCTGTAGCAGACACAACAGGCATTGAACACATGGAACATGTACTGTACTTCACAGTTATCAATCAATCTTTCTAGAGCGTCCCCCCGGAGGGCAGAAGGTCCGGGGTTTGATCCCCGGCCGCGTCATACCAAAAGACGTTAAAAGATGGTACTTGTTGTTACCCTGTCTGGCGCTCGGCATTAAGGGGCTAAAACAAGGACTGGTCGGCTCGGAGTCAGTATACTGTGTCTGAGTGAGATATTCATGTTAAACTGCGGCATGGTATCTCAGTGAGCTTGCACTATAAATCGGCATCAGTCTGGCCTAGTACAAGCAGCCACACAAACACACACATATGCACGTCGCTATATAAGTGCAATAATCTTGGACGCGATGTTAAACCCCATTTCACCTCACCTCACCTAACCAATCCATCTTTCAAAGCGAAGGATGTTTTCAAAGGATTGTGAGAACCTCCTGCTCAGTGTTCATCATCCACTCTAACACTTAACCATAAAGTTATTCTGATGATTGGAAAGCTGTGCAGAAAGCAAACTTTACTTACAGAACTTATCATAGTCGTTGATCTTAGGGCCGTCATATTTGCCTCTGACCTTTCTGCCAAACTCATCTGTAACAATGGAAGATAAACAATTCATGATTATAGGATTAATGACATGCACTTATTTCAGGAGAGGATAATCTATCTGTACTTCTTAAAACATCATTTTAAAGCATCCAGAGTGCTTTGAACAGTATTCCAGTTATATCATGGCGTGTCCCCTTTATGTGGGAGGAAAGCCCAAAATGATGCAGGTCTCAGATGTTTATCACTTTCGTGAAACCCACAAGCACGGGTCTGGTGCTGACAAACATAGAAACATGATAAGGACGAACTGTGAATCAAATCCATGATCATTGTTTACTGGCGCACCAAAGGGACACAACTCTGCACAGCCAACTGCGGTGCCTTCCATGACTGGCCGACCCCTCCCCCCAGAATTTACTTAGAACAGATAAAATCCTCAAAAACATGCAAGTTAAAATTTGTTTATGTGTAGTGATTGCCTCTGTTCAGCCAGTAGTATATGGGTACCTGGCAGGATGAGATGGCAATATAGTCGTTAACCTTCTAGCGCCTACAAGGCGGTTTGGGTTGTATACTCCTCAGGGAGCTGAGAATAATTCTTGAGTGCACACTGTTCCAGTGACCAGGGTAATAAAAGTGGTTTGAGCATGCCCTGAGTGGAGTGGAAATTATGTGCACTATAAATGGCCTATTATTATTATTATTATTATTATTATTATTATAAAGAGGCTCCAGCCAGCTGTATGCCCCAGAACTCACCTTCCATCTGCTTCTTCTTGCGGACAGACTCGGGCTCGTCGGTCTTGATGGTGGTCGTTGGCTCACAGGGTTCACTACGCCCATAGAAGTTCTCAGCAACGACCCGGAACTCGTATTCCTTGTTGGCGGAAAGACCTGTGACGTTGTGGAACTCAAACCTGGCAGACAAAAATAAGTTTAAAACCTCCCCAAATCTTCACTTTAATGGTCAACAGTGATCTGTTCAGTTCAACAGGTTGAGTGTTTTGCATGACTATAGAATTGTACCTTTAGCTCTTGAATCATTTATTCCAGTGGTTATTGGGAACAGTGCAAGGGGAGGTTACTCTCACTGACAAGTGATTTGCTCAGATAATGCTGTGGGTGTACCTTGTGGAAGCAGATCTGATCCAGTTGTTGGATGGGAGCTCTCTCTTCTCCACGACGTACGCTGTGATGAAGCTGCCTCCATCGTTCAGTGGGGGTTTCCATGACAATACAACAGAGTCATCACGGATGTTCTCAACTTTGGGGAAGCGTGGAGAGTCAGGATGATCTGCAATAGGGGAGAAATATTTGAATGAACAGCATACATGGCATGAAAACCCTGTGAACTAAAAGCATCATCATCATCGATATCATTCACATCATCATTCACATCATCATTCACCATCATCATTCACATCATCATTCACCATCATCATCATCATCATCATCATCATCATCATCATCATCCACATCATCATCATCATCATTCACATCATCATTCACATCATCATCATCATCATATGACGCACCATTCACCTGCAGCTTCAGTACTGAGTGAGTGAGTGAGTGAGTATGGTTTTACGCCGCTTTAAGCAATATTCCAGCAATATCACGGAGGGGGACACCAGAAATGGCCTTCACACATTGTACCCATGTCGGGAATCGAACCCGGGTCTTCGGCGTGACGAGCGAACGCTTTAACCACTAGGCTACCCGACCACCGAAGCTTCAGTACTGACATTAATCAGCATCATCATCATTCTATGAAGAACCATGAACCTGGAGCCTCTGTCCACATCACAATAACCCCCATCCACATCCACATGCAAACAAACATGACTCACCGTTAACCTGGAGCTTCAGTACTACAGAGTCCTGTCCAAGGCTGTTCTCCAGCTGCAGCCTGTAGGGGCCATCATCATTCTTGGTCGCATCCTTGATGGTGAGGATGGCATGACGGTCGGTGACTTCGATGTTGTAGTGACTGCCGCGCAGCTCCTCTCCGTCACGGATCCACTTCACATCAGGCTTGGGGTTGCCCATGAATGGAATCTTCAGGACACACGTCTCACCCTTCTCAAATGTGCATATGTCACGGAATCGTGGAGGTACGTTGATCTTGGGGGGTGCTGATTAGAAAAATTAGAAAAATAGATAAGGCTCAATGTAACATTTCTTGAAATAAATACTTTGAAAATCCCTCCAAAATTGTTGTTGCAAATTCATTTCTTACGCCAGCCAGTCTTAATTGAACCAATATATTTTGGCACAAAATTAGATAGCCACAGATTACTTTTTACAAACTGCTGCAGGAATCAGTGATGTTTAAATAAACAAAAAAACAAACTCAGTACACTTTCTTTTGTGTATGGGACGTAGCCAAGTCTTTGGAAACAAACTCATGGTATTTCATATTCTCAGTGAGGTGAAACAGACTTGTTTGTTTGTTTGTTGTTTAACTCCACACTCAATATTCCATCTATATGATGGTGGTCTGTCAATAAATGAGTCTGGACTAGACAATCCAGCGACTGACATCATGAGCATCGATCTACGCAATTGGGATATGATGACATGCATCAACCAAGTCGAGCATGACCATCCGATCCCGACAAGCATAGTCGCCTGTTAGGTGAAACAGAATCCGAACATGAACTTTTACTCACATCGGATCTCGAGTTCGGCACGCGATGCACGTGATCCTCCCCTGTTGGTGGCGCGGACGGTGTACTCATCTGCATCCTCACCGAACACATCATGGACAACAAGCACCTGCTTGTCTCCTTCAGTGAAGACCTCAAACTTGTCACTATCATAGACCTCACGGACACCCTTGAACCTGGAAGGGAAGACAAGGCATTAGGAGACATTCCATGGTACAGAGTGGGATGAAGAGGACATAGTAGGCCACTTTAGAGAACACTGTGTGAGTGAGTGAGTGAGTGAGTGAGTGAGTGAGTGAGTGAGTGAGTGAGTGAGTAAGCGAGTGAGTGAGTGACTTGAGAGTGAGTGAGGTTTTACACTGCTTTTAGCAATATTCCAGTAATATCACATCAATGTACACCAGAAATGGACTTCACACATTGTACCCATAAGGCTAATCGAACTCAGGACTTTGGTGGGATGAGCAAGCGCTTTAACCACTAGGCTACCCTATCAGGCTTAGAGGGCAGTAGCGGAGACATCTTTTTAAAAAATAATGGGATAAAACAAGAAAAATCAATTGTTAACAAGTGAAACATATTGTTTTTTCGTTTTTTTATTTGCTGATAAATAACCACAACAGACATGTAGCCCCTACATCCCCACGTGACCAGGGGGGACATTTTCAATCATTTGAAAAGAAGTAGGCGATAATATACAGTATAAAAAATATAAGATAGGTATGGTAGATGAGAAAGTGGATAGGAGAAGGAGATAGATATGTAAGCGGTGGTATTTTAATGTTTCTAAATATGCAGCAATACCAGACCATTTGTGTTTTGAAATGATGCGTTATTGCTCCCATGTAGGAATCTTTCAATGCTATAATTTTGTCTAACCATTTTCTGCCGCTGAATGATATTTAAGTTGGTTTCCTTATATTTGCATATACAGTACTGTATATGTAATGCTTTATAATTATGAAGGAGTGATTACCATATTCGACGTAATAAGCGCCCCGCTCTAATAAGCGCCCACGGCGATATTTGCTAATATATTGGCTAGTGAACAATCCCAATTAGCACCCCTTCCGATTGATCAATGTACACAACACTTATTTATTCGCGTATAATACACACTCGTTTGTTATATCCACCCTTAATTATGGGCAATTCAATTCTGGAAAAATATATCTCTCATATATAAACATTTCCGGCTGTCAGCATAAACCACGAAATTGATCTTTCAACTCTGTTTTTTTTCGACAAAATAATATTCTATTAAGAGCCCCTATTTCTAATTTTGAGAGTACCCTGGGCGCTTATTACGTCGAATACAGTTACAGGTTATACTGACCATTGGACATCTGGCTTGGGAGTTCCTGAGACTTCACACTCGAAGCGGGCCGACTTGCCCTGGACTGCTTGTACCTTGCGGAGACCACTGGTGAACTCGGGAATAACAGCAGCTGCAACACCATCAATGCAACATCACTACAACTGACTCTAGAAGCTTATTGAAGACATCTTCCCAAGACAAGAGAGTTAGCTGACTATAAAAGTCCAGGCTGGAATTATCGAGTTATATTTTGGCTGGACTAATGAGTCTATGGACTAAATCTCATAATAAAATCACCATGCAGTTTCATAAACCGCCGTGCAGATTTTGGTTAATTGCAAGATTTGCAAAGCATGTGTATTGTCAACATAGCGTCAACAGATATTTTCCAAATCTTTTCTTGTGTTTACTCAAGGTGCCCACATGGTTTGATGCACTGCACAAATAAAGACCCGTTTTATTACAATATAAATCTTGATTATTGATCAGATCGTCTTGACAGGGTGCCGCCATTTTGTTTGAAGCAAATGCAAGTGATATCAGAGGTGGGATCTGATTGGTCAATAGGAGGGACATAGAAGGGACATAACTCTTAATAGCCACTGGTGGCGCTACGATCAAACCCAGAAATTTCGTCCTACTTCGGCAAGGGTGGGAACTGGACTTTTACAGACAGTTAACTCCCTTGCCTCAAGAAGATGTTTGAGGATCACTGAACCAACATTAACAATTCAACAGCTGCAGCTGAGTGGTCCCGATGCACAAAGCAATCTTAGCGCTAAGTTGATTGTCACTCCATACTACAACAAAGGCTTATGATAGTAGAGCACTAAAATCAGTTTGTGGAACAGGGCCCCGTTCCTCAAAGCGATCTGAGCACTAAGGTGATCGTAAGTCCCATACCTTAACAAAGTCTTACGATCATCGTAGCGCTAAGATCGCTTTGTGGAACGGGGCCCAGGGCACCAGATGTTATTCCTCACCTTTAGGATCCTTGATCTTGACACTGTTGGAGGCCGTGGATGGTTTGCTCAAACCAGCCTCGTTTTCAGCAAACACGCGGAATTCGTACTTGCGGTCCTCAATGAGGTTGGGGATGTTGATCATGTTGGTGAGGCAAGGCGACATGTTGATGCGGGACCAGTTATCAGTGCCATGCTCACGCTTGTCAATCCAGTAACCATGGATACGGCCGCCGCCATCAGACTTGGGTTTATCCCAGGTAAGACTGACAAAGTCACCACCGACTTCCGTGACCTCTGGAGTACCAGGGGCCTGGGGAGCGTCTGTCAATTGAAACAACTTAATGATGACACAGCAAGAATTTATTGTATGGAAAGATGTACATTTTTTGAAAACCATGTACCACAATTATATTGACATGACATGTATATATATATATGCTGTACCTGCTGAGATGAATAAAAACAAAAATTTAAAAAAAATAAAGTAAAAAAAATGACACAGTTTATGTGTACATTGTAGGGTCTAGTAGTATTTGCTTTTTTGTACCTGAAATGAACATCAATGACAATAACATTACTGCTTTGAAAACGTCAGTTATTTACTCTCTCTTCCCTGTTAAAAAAAACTATTAGAGCATGTGTGGTAACACATGTTACAACTTGATTCCCATTTTTAGCCAGCTCCTACAACAAGTATTTGATACTTAGATCCTATTCCATCATATCCCTATGGGCTTAAAATTCATTACAAGATGGTTGCAATTATAAGCAAATCTATCATTGTGCATGTAAAGTCAAAAAATCTAAAAAACTAATCTCTTTTTGTCTCATGCTTACCGAATGGCATCTTGGCTACAATGGCGCTCTCAGCAGTGAGTGGTTCTCCCTGTCCGAACTCGTTGACAGCACTGACACGGAAGAGGTACTGGCTGTTCTCATAGAGACCCTGCACGTCCAGGGAGGTATCCTGACACACACAACACAACATGAGCAGTCATCCCAACAAGATGTCCACCCTACTGCCTTGGCCTTAACAAGATGTCCACCCTACTGCCTTGGCCTTAACAGTATGTCAACCTACTGCCTTGGCCTTAACAAGATGTCCACCCTACTGCCTTGGCCTTAACAAGATGTCCACCCTACTGCCTTGGCCTTAACAAGATGTCCACCCTACTGCCTTGGCCTTAACAAGATGTCCACCCTACTGCCTTGGCCTTAACAAGATGTCCACCCTACTACCTTGGCCTTAACAAGATGTCCACCCTACTGCCTTGGCCTTAACAAGATGTCCGACCTACTGCCTTGGCCTCAACAATATGTCCACCCTACTGCCTTGGCCTTAACAAGATGTCCACCCTACTGCCTTGGCCTTAACAAGATGTCCACCCTACTACCTTGGCCTTAACAAGATGTCCACCCTACTACCTTGGCCTTAACAAGATGTCCACCCTACTGCCTTGGCCTTAACAAGATGTCCACCCTACTACCTTGGCCTTAACAAGATGTCCACCCTACTACCTTGGCCTTAACAAGATGTCCACCCTACTGCCTTGGCCTTAACAAGATGTCCACCCTACTGCCTTGGCCTTAACAAGATGTCCACCCTACTACCTTGGCCTTAACAAGATGTCCACCCTACTACCTTGGCCTCAACAATATGTCCACCCTACTACCTTGGCCTTAACAAGATGTCCACCCTACTACCTTGGCCTTAACAAGATGTCCACCCTACTACCTTGGCCTTAACAAGATGTCCACCCTACTGCCTTGGCCTTAACAAGATGTCCACCCTACTACCTTGGCCTTAACAAGATGTCCACCCTACTGCCTTGGCCTTAACAAGATGTCCACCCTACTGCCTTGGCCCCAACAAGATGTCCACCCTACTGCCTTGGCCCCAACAAGATGTCCACCCTACTGCCTTGGCCCCAACAATATGTCCACCCAACTGCCTTGGCCCCAACAAGATGTCCACCCTACTGCCTTGGCCTTAACAAGATGTCCACCCTACTGCCTTGGCCCCAACAAGATGTCCACCCTACTGCCTTGGCCTCAACAATATGTCCACCCAACTGCCTTGGCCCCAACAAGATGTCCACCCTACTGCCTTGGCCTTAACAAGATGTCCACCCTACTGCCTTGGCCTTAACAAGATGTCCACCCTACTGCCTTGGCCTTAACAATATGTCAACCTACTGCCTTGGCCTTAACAAGATGTCAATCTACTGCCTTGGCCTTAACAAGATGTCCACCCTACTGCCTTGGCCTCAACAAGATGTCCACCCTACTGCCTTGGCCTTAACAAGATGTCCACCCTACTGCCTTGGCCTTAACAAGATGTCCACCCTACTGCCTTGGCCTTAACAATATGTCAACCTACTGCCTTGGCCTTAACAAGATGTCAATCTACTGCCTTGGCCTTAACAAGATGCAGCCATGGGCTAGTTATGATGACAATACTTCAGGTTAGTTTCTCATCAAACATGGTCCAGGTAAAATCAAGTTTCCTGAGTAAATTGTAACCTGCTGCACAATTTTAAGGAGTCCTGATAAGCAGCAATGACCTCTGTTCTGGGCAGTACTGGTCATTTACCCTGTGTTAGGTACCTGGCTCATTATATTCAAAGTTAATAGGTCACCTGACACATAAACTTAAAGTTTTTAATTATTTTAAATTTGAATCCACAACAAAGGGAAATTCAAGATTAAACAGTTCAATTTTGGTAACAGTGTTTGTTTTGTCCTATATTAGTGGTTAAAACATGATGATGTTTGTTTCCAACTGTATATAAAAGTTTGGTCTAAAATCCTTCCACATAAATGAGGGCCAGATTAATAGGTTTATGCCAAGTTTGCTTTCATACCCCAAGCTTCAGCAACAAAGATGGTTGTTAAGACACAGAAAATTGACAGCAGTAGCGACAATGGCTAAAACAACATAAATATCAAGTGATAGCAGTTGTCATGAAGATAGCAGCATCTAGCTTACCCTGCACTGTGAGGAGACTGTCACCCAGTAGGGCTTGCCCACTTCCTGTCTCTCCACGACGTATGATGTCACCTTGGCGCCACCGTCCTCCTTGGGCGGCTTCCAAGCCAGGCGGCATGTGTGTTTGGTGATGTCCGACACATTGAGTGGTCCAGTGGGAGTGTATGGAGGGCCTAGGATAACAGACACCATCAGTTATTGTCTTCAGATCATATAACGACAGAGATCCCTCGCTACAACGCTATCTTTGGGGTCAGGGTAATTGATGAGAGTAAAAGACGATCAGCGGTTTAACCGAGGTGGAATCGTAGGAGGTAGATGACAAACACAACATAACATCTATTACAAACTCGGTCAATAAAAATTTGAAATTTTATATAAAACATCACTAGACATGATGATTTACCATTTAAATTGTATTTCTTGCTCTCCAAGGCATTGTTTTATATGCAGAGTTTAAGATTACTGTGTGTATTTTCTCTTAACTAAGCCGGGGGCACGGGTGGCCCAGTCGTCTAAGGCGCCACGATTCGCTGTGCAGAGTTGCGTCCCTTGGGCACGCCAGAAACCTATGATTGTGGGTTCGAATCCCGGTTCGCCCCGATTATGTTTCTAGGTTTGTCAGCACCATACCCGTGCTCGTGGGTTTCACCGAAGTGGTAAACGTCTGAGACCTGCATCACTTCGGGCTTTCCTCCCACATTAAGCTGACACGCTGTCATATAACTGGAATACTGTTAAAATCGGCGTTAAACCCAACTCACTCACTATAGTTCAAGACAATAGACTTAGAAAAGAATTCTCAAAGCACTTACTGACGACCTTGAGCTTGAAAGGAGCAGTACAGGTTCCACTGTCATTGCTGATCTCGACCTTGTAGGCGCCGGTGTCGTCGATGTCCGAGTCTGGAGCAAACAAAAACATCGGGTCAAACGCTTACAAAACTGTGTGATTTTACACCTGGTTTGAGCAACCGCAATGACATATGACTTTGAGAAATATGTAGTGTTAGACATATTGACCTCCTTACCCCATAAAACCAGGGTTTGTCTTTGATAAATGAATATATGAGACCCACCAGGAGATAAGGGACCTTATGGGTGAAAAATCACATTTTGACTTCTCATTTTTAAAACTCGGTATCTTGGGATCACAAAAATACAATTGATAAGCTGCAATTTCTGTTTATTACAGAGACACATGCCATCAAACATTTGGACTCATTTTCTGCAAAGTCCCATTTATGACTTATGACTTTTTATGTAATAGTTGCAGTTTTTAGATAAGATGTCTGATTAAGTAAAAGTAGATTGAAATGTTTTGAAATAATGTTTAGTATTACATTACGAACTAACAAGAGAAAAATATGATATTTTTTACAGTCCGCACACATGGCGATTCTTACGGAAGTAACTTGATGTGAAATGTTTTCTATATGACGTGACAGCACAAATGTATCTTAGCACCCATAAGGTCCCTTTGATGTGATGCGATGCGATGCGATGCGATGCGATGTGATGTAATAAAAGGTAGATCTATCGTTTTTCTTATTTGTGAATAGTTACCTTTGATGACGAGAGTCATGTACTCATCAAACACAGAGATCTTGACCCGGTCACTCTCAGGAACGTCCTTGTTGTCTCTCTTGACCTTGACGTCGAAGGGTCCTGTTCCACTGAAAGGGATCTTGATCTTGAACTGTTCTCCCTTCTCAACCTTCTGGTCGCGGATGTCCTTCTCCAGACGAGGAGGCGCTGAGGAGATGATGAGCAGACAGAGTGAGTGAGTGAGGGAGTTGGGTTTCATGCAGCTTTTAGTATACCCCAGTCAAGATATGATAGGGGACACCAAGAATCGGCATCACATTAACAAAATAACTTGTCCTTGATGAAACTCTGAAGTATGACACACTAACCACACGTCAAGCCCACTGCCAGGAATATTAAACATATGTAGAACATTATATAAGATAGCAACGCGATAAATCGCAAAGAACTATGAATATACTAAGGGTGGTTTATTTCACGATAAAACATTGTTATATCATGACGTCATTTCTGGAGATTCGAATATGCACTTGCAACTTGATTACGTCATATATTGGACAACGTTATTGTACAACCTCTTTTAGGATGTTGATAAAATGTTGCTGCGCACCTCATGGTTTATTCTCCCTGCAGTGTTTTATTGTACGATAAACAACTCTCACTCGTCGTTTATTTCTTAATTAAACTAAGTATCCTAGAGTCTTTTTTTTATAGAATATGACATAGATTTGATTAATAAGTTGCGTTTCATGATCAAAATAACTAAGTATCCTAGAGTCTTTTTTTTTTAGAATATGACATAGATTTGATTAATAAGTTGCGTTTCATGATCAAAATAACTTCATAAATAAGAAAAAAGTCACAAATTTGGTTATTTGTAACTGTTTTGGACTAGAAATAGAACCTTCTAGCGCCTAACAGCGCCTAACAGGCAGCATGGGTTGTATACTCCCAAGGGAGCTGAGAATGATTCTTAAGTGCAACAGTGATCCAGTGACCGGGGTAATAATAGTGCTTTGAGCATGCCCCTGAGTGGTGTGGAAATATGCACAATGAAAATAGCTTATTATTATTATTACTGCTGTTTTTGTAACACAATATTGCGAGATAACGAAACAAGTAAATATGTAAGTGTTGTATATACTCACACAGCACAGCGAGGTTGCAGGAGCATGACACGCGTCCCAGGCTGTTGACTAACTCACACGTGATGTCACCTGCGTCCTTGTCGTACACCTCACCGATGGTGAACGTGCACGTACTGCCATCTACGCGCATACGGTTACGTCCTGACGAGCCCATTTCAATTCCATTCTTGAACCTATTGAATACATTATACTGAATTCAAAAACAGTCTGTTTTCCAACAAAAATGTTAGGGTTTTAAATAAACATGTTTTGATTTGAGATGGACTCCAATATAAAAAAATTCAAAAACATTTCTCAGAACTACATTGAAGCTGAAATGCATTCACATGTGTTTTTTGAAGATCCGGGTAGAAAAGGTCTTCAGCAACCCATGCTTGTCGTAAGAGGCACCTAATGGGATCAGATGGTCAGACTCACTGACTTGGTTGATTCATGTCATCATATCCCAATTGTGTGGATCGATGTTCATGATGTCAAGCACTGGATTGTCTGGTCAAGACTCGATTATTTACAGACCACTGTCATATAGCTGGAATATTGCCGAGTGTGGGGTTAAACAAACAAATAAACATGTGATCGTTACATATGTTACAAAAATGTCCTGACTAAATGATTTGCATCCCAATATATTTGGGAAGTTTATGAACACAGGTCAAAATTATCATATTCAAACTAGAATTGAAAACTAACTACATACCAGTAGATTTCTGGTCTTGGTTCACTCTTGAACTCCACGCTAAAACTGGCCTCACCGCCAAGAGCGGCCTTGACATTCTGCAGCTTCTTGATGAAGTCTGGCTCAGATCCGACTGTAAGGGAGGGAAAACAGTTGATACAAGTGCGAGGCAAATAATAGTATTCAAAAAACAAAATAGAGGTAATCGCTAAGGCAAGTAATGCACATGACAACAATTTTTAGATTTTTTTCATTACATTTGTAATGTTTTTGTCAAGGCTCAGGCTCCATTCCACAATGTGATCGTATCGCGACAAAAGTCGTAAGTCTATGTTAAAGTATGGGAGTTACGATCGTCTTAGTGCTACATCAGTCATAAGTCTATGTTAAAGTATGAGAGTTACGATCGTCTTAGCATGACAACAGTCGTAAGTCTATATTAGAGTATGGGAGTTACAATCGTCTTAGTGCTATGAGAGTCATAAGTCTATGTTAAAGTATGGGAGTTATGATTGTCTAAGTGCTATAATCACTTTGTGGAACGGGACCCTGTTTTTTCTTGTTTTGATAAAAATTATCATCAAACTGACATCAGATTCAAAATCAAACTTGATAAACAAAATATTGACGAAAACTAAATAAAATGTCACTATTAAAATAGTAACCAGTCAGTCAGTCCCCAAATCAGACATGTCTATGATATGCACAAATTGTATGTTGACATATCGGTGTTGGTTTACATACCGACTTTCTCCTTGATTTTGATTGGAGCACACTCCAAACTGGGTTCGCTCTTTCCGGCCGTGTTGACAGCAATAACTCGGAACTCAAACTCGGCATTCTCTGGCAGGTTGGCAACAGTGTATGCGTTGTCGATGCATGGGTAGTCTGTTGCCTTTGTCCAGTAGGTGGAGCCCTTCTCACGCTTCTCAACAATGTAACCTGCAAAATACAAAATACGTGAAATGCATGGTCACATATCGAGCTTCATCGTGTACGACTAATTGCCTCTGAAAAGCATTGTACAGTCAAGTCTTGTTAATCTGACATGGTTGGTTGCATATGATTATGTCGGATTAATGAGTATGTCGGATAAACGAAATTAAGTAGTATCAACGTTCGTGATCGAAAATTGGACAACTACACCATAATTAATGACACAAATGCGTAATAAAAATATGAAAAATGAAAAATTCATATTGTTATGTTACATTACGCTGATCACTGTGTCGGATTAACGAGACTGATTAATGAGTGATTTCGGTAATTCATTGCAAATTAGGTCAATATTTAGAATGTTTCTAACTTGCCCTCTTACACTTTGCATATTGACATAAAAAATTAAGCTGGTCTGACCTTGATTTGCTCTAGAGAATTAACCTTCAAATAACGTACACATTTCACACCTTACAATTCATGTTAATTTAATAAGCCTGAAGAATCTTATGATTAATTAATTATCAAAGGATGATAAAAGTATTTATTATTTTGCTCTGATTTAGCATGGAATCAATGGTAAGTGTAAAGGTTTAGCCCATACCTGTGATCTTGCTGCCGCCATCCAGTCTGGGTTTGTCCCATTTCAGCTCCACGAAGCTTCGGCCGATGTGGGCGGGGGACGGCACACCTGGCACCGAGGGTTTGGCTGGAGGGAGAGAAGGAGGAGTTTGATATAAATGAATGTGGGTAGAGGATACAGCAGGGAGATGTCTTGACTTGTGCAATGTCTCGCATACAATGTCAAGGATGTATTTGTTTGTTGTTTATTTGTTTTTGTTTATTTGTCTGGACTTGACAAATCAGTCGATAATGTAATGAGCAAAGTCTAATGTCACTGAGGTACGATTACATGCATTCCACTAAGTCTTTGGGCATGACCACCCAATCCATTTAGTCGCATCAGTTTCTAACATGGCAACTCTATGGGTGTTATAAGACGGGGGGGTCGGGTAGCCTAGTGGTTAAAGCGTTCGCTCGTCACGCCGAAGACCCAGGTTCCATTCCCGACATGGGTACAATGTGTGAAGCCCATTTCTGGTGTCCCCCACTGTGATATTGCTGGAATATTGCTAAAAGCGGTGTAAAATCAAACTCACTCACTCACATTTGAACAAAGAGAGAAAGAGAGATGTGCTAAGGAGTTGGTATATACTATCCGAAACATCATTTGACATGAACGGAAGGGAGGTGGATTACTGTATGTGTCTCAAGTGAAGAGCAGGCATACACTCTCTGAAACATCCCAGGGCGAATTTGGCTATGTAGACTACTGCGTGTGTCTACTGCGTGCGTCTTCTGCGTGTGTCCGCTGCTTGTGTCTACTGCGTGTGTCTCCACATCTACTCACTGTATTTGGGTTTGATCAAGACGGGTCCAGTCGAGCTGCTGGGTTCTCCGAGGCCGGCGCTGTTCTTGGCCCTGACACGGAACTCCAGCTCCCCATCCTTCTTCAAGCCCTCCACTGGGGACACAATCATTGACATCAACATCAACATCAACATCAACATACACATCAACATCATCAACAGCAACATCAACAGCAATTTGAACATCTAGTTCCAGCGTTATTGTCACTCACAAGGAAACATGACAATCATCAACAATAAGTCATTGATGGAAAATTGATCATTCAGACAAGAAAAGATTATTTAATTGTACAACCCTGCCTTGCCCTGCCCTGCCTCATCAGTACAATCATGCCCTGCCCTGCCCTGCCCTGCCCCGCCCTGCCCTGCCCTGCCCTGTGTACTCACATGTTGTGGTTGTTTCCTTGATGGGAGCTTCATTGTAGGTCTTCCATCGGCCGCTGCTAGGCTCCTTGTATTCAATAACGAAGCCCTGGATCTTCTTGCCGCCGTCGTTCTTGGGACGAGCCCAGGACAGTGTCACGCTGCCGTCATCAACATCCAGCACCTCGGGGGTAGACGGGGCGTCGGGCGCGGCTGGAGATGATACACATAACAATGAAAATACTTTCCTACTTCGCATTTTTGAAAAATGATCAATCCTGATGGAAGGTGAAGTTGTTTGAACTTTACGGTATTATCGACCCATTTTTTACTACTGTTAGATATATGTATTGTTTACTTATATATAGTGCCTGATTACCATTTCAAAACTGTTAAGGCTTCTTAAAACTCAAAATTTGATTATATAACTTCAGCATGATGGTCTTAACCAGATAAATTGTTAAATAGTCCACAGTATTGGGTGTTGAACCACTGCCTAGGTACTTGATACAGATAGACAATCTTTACACAAGGCTAAAAAAATAATAATCTTGGTTCTCAGGCACCGCCCGCATCATCATAAAGTTCACCGCATGTTCGTTTTTATGTCCATTCCTTAAATAGTCCAACAGTAGTCAAATACAGTATTCCAGTATTTTACTCATCAAGGAATACTTTAAGGTAGGGAGGCCCTTTCCCAGGTTGATTTTACACATTTGTTTATTTGATTTCACAACTGTTTATTTGATAACATACTAGTTTGAACTACAAAAAAAAAAGACACTGCCCGCCCGCACTATATTTTCAAAAAACATTTCCTGAGAACCGATTTTTTTTATTTTGTTAAGCAAAATAGTTGAATAATCCACACAACTCACTGTACAGCTACTGGACACGGACAGACAACTTCTACACAATATTTTATTGATTGCTCACTACCGTACTTTCTTGAGTATAGTGCACATCCATGTATAATGCGCACCCCCCTTTAGCAGATTCAGTATTTTGGAAAAAAAATTAATTCAAATACCAAGGGCAGAAAAAAATTTAAACGGTACCCCTTTAGCGAAGTCCGGTAAACGAACGGGTGATGAGAAACTTGATCAGTACAAATTCGAAATTTGAGATAAAAAATCACCAAACATGTCGATTTACCGTTTAAATTGTATTTTTTGTTCTGCTAGGCATTGTTTTATATCCAGGGATTACCTTGTGTATTTTCTCGTAAACTAAGCCAGACAAAGCAATCAGCTGTACACATGTTTTCTTGGAATCTACCGGTGATTCGGTACTTACTGTAGGGGTACTGAGCACAGACAGACATGGTGGTCTCCAGCGGTTCACTGATGCCATGTTCGTTCTCGGCTGACACACGGAAGTTGTACTCATGGCCTTCAGTAAGGCCCATCACCTCGTAGGTGGTTCCGCGGACGAACTTGGTGACTGGCTCCCACTTGCCCGTCTTCTTGTCTTGCTTCTCCACGATGTAGTTGCTGATGGGGCTGCCGCCATCCTCCTGTTCAGGGTAGACAGGTCACATGGAATTAGGCTTCTCTCTTTATTTAGTATTATTGTTACCGTATTCGACGTAATAAGCGCCCCGCTCTAATAAGCGCCCACGGCGATATTTGGTAATATATTGGCTAGCGAACAATCCCAATTAGCACCCCTTCCGATTGATCAATGACACAAGACTTATTTGTTCGTGTATAATACGCATTCGAGGGTTATATGCACCCTTAATTATGGGCAATTTAATTCTGGAAAAATACATCTGTCATATATAAACATTTCAGGCTGTCAGCATAAACCACGAAATTGATCTTTCAACTCTGTTCTTTTCACCAAAATAATATTCTGATAAGAGCCCCCTATTTCTAATTTTGAGAGCGCCCTGGGTGCTTATTACGTCGAATAGAGTAAAATTTATTATTTTATTATCTTTAGCTTAAATTTAGGGTGTTTAAGATAGCATCCTAAACAATAGGCCTAAATAAGAAAAGTAAATCTTCAATTTGCCACACAAAGCAGACAGCCGTTTTTGTTTATTTATTTTAATTTTAAGCTTATTAACAAACACATCATCTGCTTGCAATGTTACTTCTTATAGTGATCACTTACCATCTGTGTGAACTAAATTGAGAAAAAAAATGACCTGAGAGCTACATTGAGAAAAAAATGACCTGTGAACTAAAATGAGAAAAAAATGACCTGTGAACTAACTTGAGATAAAAATTATTCACATGGTTGATTCAACTGACCATCTATGTAAATATTGGTAAAAGTTCATCATTAATTACTGACCTAAAAATGAAACTATACAAGTATAATGAAATTTTATATGAAATGAAAACTCAAATTTGTCAGTCTCAGACGCCAGTTTGACACATCATCACTCACCTTTGGTGGGGACCATTTCAGAATACAGGAGTCAGGTGTGACTTCCGACACATCGAGGGGTCCCTCTGGCTTGCATGGGGCATCTGAGGACAAAGGGCAGTTTTAGAACATAGCATCTACACTCAAGACATCCAGTAAGTTATGTGTGTGGTTCATCAATGTCAGCAATGTGGCAACCATCTCAAAGCAGTAAGGCTGGGACGGGTAACTCGGGTACTCAGGCCGAGTTGGTACTGAGTAGGACCCGGGTACCCACAGGACTACCCGGATCTGTGGTTAGTCACGTGATATATTGTTTAATGACAAACATTATCTAGAACTCTATGGTTACACTACAAGTCACTAATGTTCGCTTTTCTTTCTGACTATGTACCCATTCCTTCTGACTTTCATATGTTTGAATAAAGATAAAACTTTAGTCAACTTCAGTGTACGCATGACCAGATCGTTTTATACGTGTATCTAAATACATTTTGCCAGGGTCAGTCAAACTAGTCCCAATCGGACATTTTGTACCCATCTCTTGAGACCTACAGCGGGTACCTGGGTTGGGTCGGATAATAGGTGAGTGGGTACCCAGGTAGTTAATTTGGACTAGTCCCAGCCCTACAAAGCAGGAAACAAAGCAGGATAAATTTTGCCTGTTCAAGAATCAAACCCGGGTCTTAGGCTGAATGAGCAAACACACTATCTACTGGGCCAGCCTACCAACCATCAAAAGGACAACCCAATTCTGGTATCATCTTTGTACTTGTTGTACCAGTTTCTGATTTGAATAAACTTTCTGTACAAGAAGAATTTATACAAATATATGCCAATGTTTAGGGGTCCTAGGGTCTCTGGGTTTTTCTGCTATAATATTTGAATTAACGAACCACATTAATTTGTAACTTTTAACATCAGGTCATGACAAGAATCTCCTTATTTTCAGGCTAATTTTCGGGACTGTTTGCGATGACTTGAAGCAGCAGCTTACCGAACACTGTGACGTTGAGTGAGATGGAGTCGCTGCCCTTCTCATTGGTCAGCAGCACCGTGTATTTGCCCGTGTCACCCTTCTCAGCCTTCTTGTTCAGCAACAAGATCTCTGTAGGATCATTCCTGAACTTAATGCGATCTGTCTCATGGACTGTGAGACCTCCCTGCAACATACATCATCATCATCATCATCATTATCATCATCATCATCATCATCTAGGCCTAGGTATACTGTTTCTACTTTATTTCAAACATGACACTGGTCATCATTCCACTGTTTGAAAGTATAAAAAAAATAAAGAAATAAAGAAAATAAATGGTGTATTTTATTTCCCTTTCACTTATATACTGTATTCAGTGTTAGTACAGGCAATTTTTTCTTCTTTTACATATGAGACTGCCATGATATTTGTTAAAGTGAAAATGTAATAAAATGCTGTCTTTTAATTAAAAGCAGTCAAATTAAATAAAACACATTTTTTTTCGAGTTTTTAATCAAGTATCTTTTTCATGCATCCATCATCAACATGAATTCAGAAAAAGTTATTAAGTTGCTTGTATAATGGATGAATTTTTTCAATTTTGATATTTATACCATATCTTCAGTCAATCTCAGTCAATTTTTTAAACATTCTTTCCCCCTGAACCTTTACAATAATATATAATCAGGAATAAAATTGGCGCAATGATCAGGCGACCTAGATGATATGTCCAGTGTTGAGAACTGACCTGAGTCCAGGCTGCAGTAGGAATAGGTCTGCCACTGAACGGAATGGATATCTTGAATGGTTCTCCAACCTTGGCCACAATATCACGGATTCCGAAGTCTCGGTTAATCTTTGGCGCCACTGGAAACAGAATCACAATATATAATTTGACACACATTCATCACAGGCAGAGGGAACACACCACATAAAGGCTAGGAAGGAAGGAAGAGTGATAGAGTCTCATTTCAAGTCACTTTCAGACCCGTGAAGATTCCGGGGTAGAATAGGTCTTCAGCAACCCATGCTTGCCGTAAAAGGTAACTATGCTTGTCGTAAAAGGCGACTAACGGGATCAGGTGGTCAGGCTAGCTGACTTTGTTGATGCATGTCATCGAACCCAATTGCGTGGATCGATGCTCATGATATCAATCACTGGATTGTCTGGACCAAACTCGATTATTTACAGACCACCATCATATAGATGGAATATTGCTGAGTGCGGCATTAAACAACAAACCAACCAACCAACCAAGTCACTTTCAGCATTTAGTCAAGCAATGTAATGGCTGAGTCACCAAAATTGGGCTTTTAAGCATTAAACTGTGTTGGAAATTGAACTTAGACTTGGGGATAATGTACAAAAGCTTAAATTACAAGGCTACTGAAGTTAACACAATCTCATTAAAATCAGACCTTAGTTCTCGCTACCGCTAAACAAAGATCTGAGGACATCCCAGTAGGGGTCACATCAGAACGACCTTTCATCCGACCAATCAGAGCGTCGCTTACCAGATCATGAAAGTGACAGTCGGAATGTGATTTCTAATCATGCATCCTCGAAAACTTCAACATGGGTACGGGTTTAACGACTGAATCCTTACAATCTAGACCATCTATTACCCATTCCAGAATGTTCTTTTGTTCAGGTTCAAATTTGTAATCGAGAATTTGTCAAAATATGTTTCGAAGCGTAGTCGTCAATTTGAAATTAAAGCCGTAAAGCACGAGAAAGCTGCCTTCTGATTAGTCATTCCATTGGTCAGTCAAGTTCGAGCAAGTTCGGCCTGATGTGACCCGTAATGTGATGTCCTTAGATCTTTGTTTAGTGGTAGCAAGGACTAAGATCTGATTTTAATGAGATTGAGGTTAACACTACCATGAGTTCAACTATACTGTTGGGCATAAGAAAGTATACACCCATTTTTAATGCTGCTTAAAAAAGAAATAAAAAAGAAATGGTTATTCGATGGTGATGTATTTGATAAGGGTATCATAGCTGCGTTTTGAATCAGACGTGTTTTGGACCAGTGTTTCAGACACTGTTTACAGCCTAGTAACATTTTGACAATGTTTGACATTTTTTGGTCAAATCCAAATGTTTTTTGTATCAGACTTGTTTTGGACCAGTGTTTCAGACACTGTTTACAGTCTAGTAACGTTTTGACAATGTTTGACATTTTTTGGTCAAATCCAAATGTGTTTTGTATCAGACTTGTTTTGGACCAGTGTTTCAGACACTGTTTACAGTCTAGTAACGTTTTGACAACGTTTGACATTTTTTGGTCAAATCCAATTTCTTTTGGTCCGGCAGTTTATGAACTTTGTGGCAATCAGCTGAGCATATCATGAACATTGTGTAGACTTTATTCTACAGAAGCCTCATCTCTACAGCAAGTGATGATGCTGACGTACCTGGGGGTGGTTGAGCCTTGATGGCGTCGGAACACTCGCTGTGTTCACCTGGCCCGGCGGCGTTGACGGCACACACACGGAACTCGTAGTCCTTGCCGTCCTGTAGACCCTTCACGGTGTACTCTGTGTCACCGATGTCCGACACATTGGCCCTGTGCAACACAACACCAACAGTTAGTGTCAATCATCTCACTCTCTCAGAATACAAAATACAGGCTAGGTCAGCATTATTTAACACGACGGTTGTAGGACATATCTAAACATACTGACTTATTTTTTCAAAGTAAAAAATTGGCATGATAAACAATAAACCCTATGGACAATGTTTGACCCTAAGTTCATTCCACAAAAGATTTGTTAAAGGATTTTCTTTTAGATAAAACAAATCCTATTGACAATGTTGAATTTTTGTTGTTGTGATGAGTGATCTTAGCGCTAAATCTGTCATAGGTCCCATACCTTAACATAGACTGAGGACCCTAAGATCAGACTGTGGAATGAGTCTCTGGTATATCAAGTAAGCCATCAAGCGCTTACTCCATTTGCTGTGTAACCCCCAAACAAACCAATCATTTTTAGCATCACTGGGTTTTCCTGCACTGTCCAGGGTGCCGTTGCACAAAACAACCTTAGCGCTACGACTGTCGTAAGTCTATGTTAAGTTATGGGAGTAAGAATCATCTTAGCGCTAAGATCGTACAACGGCACCCTTGTAGTTATCACACTGTGTGCAGAAAGGGATTCAGTTGTAACACAGTTACATCATGTGCTACTTTAGGTCTGCAGCCTTTGGGTATATCTCGATGACTTCCTTTAAATGATTCTCTCGATTGAACCAAAGAACCTATTTGTGGTATACATGCTGAAATATTCATTATTTGTCCTGGGTGAATTAATTTATAAGTTCTAAGCCTTATATCCATACCCTATGGGTAATATATAACTACAACAGTTTTGTCTTTATAGCATCTGAGTTATGTGACTGTCCATTAGCGCCACTTACTTGGTCCACTTGTTGTCTCCCTTCTCCCTCCTCTCCACCTGGTATCCCAGGATCTCGGCGCCACCATCTCTCTTGGGTGGGTTCCAGGACAGAGTGATGGAGTCCTCGGTGGTTCCAATACTCTTGGGGGAGCTGGGGGCACCGGGGGGATCTGTGAATATATTGACGACAATGAGGTACAAATCTAGATAATGAAGATGATGAAATCAAAGATCAATACAAACATTGTTTCCGTATAGATCCTAATACCATGTCAAGTCAAGATCCTTATACCATTGCTTGACAATGGTATAAGGATCTATACTGAAATGTCCCTTTACAGATAATAAAGAAGTTATCCATAAATTATGTTTACTTTGCCATAAATTCTCTTTTAAGAAAAACATTTGAGCATTAATAAAACTCTTCTTACCATATGGCAGCTTGGATAGAATAGCTTCCTCTGTCTCGAGTGGTTCGCTGACACCCTGAGTGTTCTCGGCCATGATGCGGAACTCGTACTTCTCCCCGGGCTCCAGGTTCCGGACGGTGCACTTGGGGCTGGACACAAAGCTGCTGACCTTCTGCCACCGGTTGCTGCCCGCCTTGCGCTTCTCCACGATGTAGTTGGCGATTGGCTCACCACCAGTGTCAACAGGTGCTTGCCAGTTCAAGGTCATTGATTCACCATCGATGTCTGATGCAGTGATCGGTCCCTTCGGAGGCTTGGGTTTGTCTGAAGCAAATATAGGACATGAAAACTAAATCTGTTGTCCTAAATTAGGCTTAAAAAAATAAAAGAATTGGTTCTCAGGCAATGACTTTTGAAAATATAGTGTGGGCGACAGTGTTTCTTTTTTTTTGGGGGGGGCGGTTTGTTCAAACTATGTAACCAAATAAACAGTTGTGTACCATCAACCTTGGAAAGGGCCTCCCTACAAAATCATGCATACAAACTCCCATTGCTGCCATGACAATAACACGAGATGCGCAGTAAAGCAGTGTGCATGTAAAGGGAAGTAACTGCGTGCTATATTGGATCACATTTTTTTAATGTATTAAAGATTTTTACATTTTTTTTATAATGGAAATAAAAACGAAAAGTGAGGCAGACTTTATGATGATGTGGGCCGTGCCTTAGGACCAAGACTATTATTTTTTTAGCCTTAGCAAGATGATGTGGAAATTCCGATGCATAGAAAGGGTTCCATCATTGAGAAATTATCTTTCATCTCCTTCAGCTTGTATCATCTACTTACCGAGGACGTTGACGTTGAGTTGCACAGTCTCTGATCCAGACGGGTTCTTCAAGGTCAGAGAGTATCGGCCAGCATCTTCACGCTTTGACTTAGCAACAGCCAGAACAGCAACATCTTCTCCAAGCTAAAAGGTCAGAACAAACATGTCAAACTCTGTGACCATATGTATGAAAATCTAGCCATTTGTGACCATAAAGCGTATCAATTTTGTCTACAAGTATGGCTAGCATATTTGTTCGAGAGTGCTTCTTGACTAGAAGTGCTTCGTAACTAAGCGCTTCGTAACTAAGTGCTTCGTAACTTAGCCCTTCGTAACTAAGTGCTTCGTAACTAAGTGCTTCGTAACTAAGTGCTTCTATTGGGTGATGTTAGATGCAGACAATTACATCATAAACTGTTACACTTCTGTCTATATCATCGCTTCACTAAAGCTTGTCAGTTTTATCACACATTATGTCTATTCGTAAGTACCGACTGGTGTCAGCTCTCACATTGTTAAATAAAGGTCTACCATTATCACACACTATATATCCGTGATTTCACACCTACAAATAGGTCTATTGTGATTCTATGAATATATTTCAATATTGCACACACATCTACAATTAAATATTGCCACAAAATAACACTCATTGTTATGGTAGTCCAGTATTACGAGTTTTACTACCGTATTCACTGTATTAAGCACCCGTTCCAATAAGCGCCCCCAGAGCAACTTGACCGATCTGTAAGTAATCCTTATAACTCCTACTAAGACAGAAAGTTTACACGCCAGGTTTTTGACAGAAAATGGGAGTGGACATATAGGTATATTATTGCCTTGCAACCAGTACTGAAACGTTTTTAGTTTAATCAAAGTTTAACTTGTGTTCCCCTTTTGTCAATTTAAGTGCCCAGGTTGCTTAAATTGGTGAATACGGTACCTACATAAATATATATATATATATGTGTAGAGAAAAAGAAGAGAGAGAGAGAGAGAGAGAGAGAGAGAGAGAGAGAGAGAGAGAAGAGAGAGAGAGAGAGAGAGAGAGAGAGAGAGAGAGAGAGAGAGAGAGAGAGAGGAGAGAGAGGGAGAGAGAGAGAGAGGGGGTGGATGTTGTTTCATGCCAATCAGCAATATTTCAGCTCAGTTACATCACCATGGAAACAGTCTGAAACAGTCTGAAGCTGATAAACAAGTGGATGACAGCATGAGCACCAATCAATATTGTTGAGGTCTGATGACACACCTGGTGCCAATGTCGTATGGCATTACAGAATGGGTAACTTCTACAGATACAGGATACTATATCGCTGTGTTGGTAATGTGACACACCGATACCACACTACATAACATGAAACAGGGCAAACTAGGCTCCCACTTGTCTACACAGCATCAGTATAGAACAATGTTAGTGTTAGATGATGGAGAGAATGTCATCATCAACCGTGATACACATCATTATTACAATATCTGGTATGTAACCATGACAACAAGGCCAGATCATTTAATTTCTTGTGCAATTTTACCAGACAATTTGCCAACAGACAGGAAGTGAAACAGGCAAAATCGATAAATAATTCCAGGAGGGAAATTACCAAAAAAACTTTTGAGGTAAAAATTCTCGAAATGCACACTGAACAATGTATCGATAAAAGTCTTATCATGTCAATTGGAATTTGTGAGTGAGTGAGTTTAACGCTGCCTTGAACAGTATTCCAGTTACATCACAGCATGTCTGCTAAATGTAGGAGGAAAGCTTGAAGTGATACAGGTCTCAGACATTTACCACTTCGGCCCCTAGTCAAATGAACATGTGAACAGACTTAAATTGCTCATATCATAAACTAAATGGGGGCATGGGTGGCCCAGTTGTCTAAGGCGCTGTGATTCACTGTGCAGAGTTGTGTCCCTTGGGCACGCCAGAAACCTACGATTGTGGGTTCGAATCTCGGTTCGCCCCATTATGTTTCTAGGTTTGTCAGCGCCATACCCATGCTCGTGGGTTTCACCAAAGTGGTAAACGTCTGAGACCTGCATCACTTCGGGCTTTCCTCCCACAATAAGCTGACACGCTGTTATAACTGGAATACTGTTAAAAGCGGCGTTAAACCCAACTCACTCACTCACTACAAACTAAATAGGTCTGGCCTTATTAACAACAATCATAAAAAAAATTCTAAATATTTTTTGTTAGTCAAAAGAGAACAATATATTCTAAAGTGTGAAACATATAATTCAAAATTAATTTGAACTGCCGGACAACAGAAAATATACATTTGAAAGTTGGATTCACCCCAAAAGTTACTTCTGCTACTAAAGCGTTACTAGGCTGAAACACTGCAAACTTGAAAACATAACCCGTTGTGAGATACTCATTGATATGAAGCATGTAGCGTTGCCTAGGATACCCATATCAAATACATCACCATCAAACACGGGGGTATACTTTCTTTAGCCCGACAGTTTATTTGAAAAAATGCAAAAGGCAAAACAGTAACATTTTTTGTCTTAGTTACAAACAATCTCAGTAGCATACACTGTAAGAGTAACATGTCTAATACCTAGTTCACAATGACAGTGACAACTGTACAAAAGTGTTAGTCACAAAGTGATTCGGACAATGAAAAAATAAGAGACTTAAACACATGGCCTGAGTTTATTGAGCTTGTAAGGACTTATCCAGATTTTCCCAGGGACCAAATTTTGGCCGTAGGTTTTGCAAAAAGTCATCAATAATTTTCAGTTCCAATTTTACTATTTTCAAATACATTGTCATTAAACTTTAAATTATGAATTTTAATACCCAGAATGAAAAATGAAAAATTTCATTTTTTATCAACAAACCAAGAGCATAACAAAAGTCATATTTGAGATAACAGTTTCTTAGTAAAGTACAGATTCTCGTACTTCTCGTACAAACCAAAGTATGTTTTCCCTTATTGAGGAGATAAATTCTTGGATAGATCCTTCCTTTTCCACTCAGTTGAAAGTATGAGATGTTAATGATAAAGATGATGTTCATTAAACACCAGGTGTTGGATCTAGCTACTCATCGAACATATACAGAGGAAACTCATCCAACGGCTGTACAACTGACCTTGTGCCCTTTACCATCTAGAATCTAGACACATGCAAAACAAAGTGCTCTCAGTACTGCAGGAAGGGTCATTGTTTGTTTGTTTTGTTTGTTGTTTAACGCGCCACTCAGCAACATTCCAGCTACATGATGGCGGTCTGTAAATAATCGGGTCTGGACCAGACAATCCAGTGATTGACATCATGATCATCGATCCACGCAATTGGGATACAATGACGTGCGAGCCAGGCCAACCGATCCCGTTAGTCGCATATGCATTTTACGACAAGCAAAGTCGCCTTTTACGGCAAGCATGGGTTGCTGAAGACCTATTCTAACCCGGGTCTTCATGGGTAGCAGGTTGGGTGAAATGGTGTGGATAGGTAAAACATACAGGTAGTTCACAGGTGTGAATATACAGGTAGATCACACACATGAATATTCAGGTCAATAGTAGTTTTGTTTCAAAATGGAATTCAGAGGATAATGAATGGTATGTGGTATATTAAATAAACAAACTTGTGAGAAAACAAAAAAAAATTGTACGTAGCTTAGTAAATTTTCAAAGATGGTGACTGTCTGACTAAAAACACTATTGGAAAAAAGGGACCTTTTGGGTGCTAGGATTCAATTGTGCCGTGATGTCATAAAGAAAGATGTTTCATGTCAACTTCCTTCTGTAAAAATCTCCACGTGTTGGAATTGTACAAAAATATCCCTTTTTTCAATCGTTAGTTTGTAATGTAAGAAAAACATTTTTTTCAAAACATTTCAGTATACATGGCTACTTACAATTGATCAGACATTATATCTAAAAACTGCAATCAGTATATAAATAGTTATTAATCTGAAAATGGGACTTTGCAGAAAATGTTTAATGCCGTGTATCGCTGAAATAAATATGAATTGAATATTATTTTGTGATCCTAAGATACTGTAGTTTTAAAATATACGCCAATAAGGTCCCTTTTCTCCTGGTTGGTCATATTTGGTGACTGTATGACTAAAAACAATATTTGGAGATTCCAAGTGCTGGGGACGGTACTATTGGCCTACACTAATACTTTCTAGACTGCTACAGATGTTCTTCTATAAACAAACCCACGCATACACACCAACTATATCCTACATATAAGTCGTACAGCAAATTTACACAAGTAAAACATTCATTAAAGACAGAACGATATATGTGAACATCATAAAAGCAAATTTTCCACTACAAAACAATTTCACTAACATCAATAAAATGAATCTAAGCAATTCATATATTTACTAGTGGTCTTCAAGTTCTGCAATAAAATTATCTCCCTTGGATTTAACAAACGACCCTCACCTTGAATGTAGTTCTAGCAGATTCCTCCACCTCATCATCCCCCAGCTTCCATGTAGCTTTGGGTTTGGGTGTGGCTACGAAGGGGATCTTGATCTGGAATTCTTGTCCCGCCTTGACCGTGATGTCCCTCACGCCAGTCATATCCATCTTGGGCTTCTCTGCAGAGCAAGATTGTTTGATCATGAACAGCAAGCACAATTTACTGATGCATACATTCAACATATGATCCTGAAGAAGCCCCAATCATATTCCACAACTTTTTTTTTACTATATAATTTCCGATGGTAAGATGGTGAGGTGAAAGTGAAATTGGGTTTAACGTCGCGTCCAAGAATATTGCACTTATATAGCGACGTGCATGTACGTGTGTGTGTGTGTGGCTGCTTGTACTAGTCCGGACTGATGCCGATTTATAGTGCTAGTCCACTGAGATACCATGCCGCAGTTTAACATGAATACCCCACTCAGACACAGTATACTGACTCCGAGCCGACCAGTCCTTGTTTTAGCCCCTTAATGCCTCGGCAGACAGGGTAACAACAAGTACCATCTTTTAACATCTTTTGGTATGATGCGGCCGGGGATCGAACCCCGCACCTACTGCTCTCCTGGGGGACGCTCTCCCACTAGACCACGGAGGTGGTCTCTGATGGTAAGAAAGTACATGTATAACAAAATTGAAATATTCTATTTTACAACCTGAATCATAACTGCCCTCTGTTAAACCATTATGATGTCCTGCTGTTGTTCTTGCAGTTGATTCTGAGCTAGGAATTCACTGGCCATTCTGAACATGGGTTTTAAACAAGTAAAACTGATGCAACTATAAGTCATAAAGACAAATTATATATCAACCATCAGGGCTCGTTCTGGAATCAACATTTTCCCATGATTTTCCACTGCTAAATTTAAGTAAAATAAGACAAAGGGTGGTGGGTAGCTCTACCTGGTTGATCTTCAACCTTGAGCACATTTGTTGGCCTGCTGGGTTCTCCTGGCCCGGCACCATTCTCGGCCCGGATACGGAATGAGTATTCATCACCCTCCTTCAGATTACCCACAGTTCCCTGTGTGACACTAGCGGGAAGAGTCAGACACTCTGTCCAATCATCTTCTCCCTTCTTCTTCCTCTCAACAATGTACCCTGTGATCTTGCTGCCGCCATCGCTGGTCGGCTTGTTCCAGGACAGTCCCACAGAGTTCTTGGTGATCTTGTCCACGTTGGGCTGAGTTGGAGAACCGGCAGGGACTGGGGGAGGACATTTACAGACAGTGAGTGAGGGTTTGTCATGCTGTTAAAAATATCTTATAATCTGGTGATTATGGACAACAAAATAGTGTCTATACGCTGCCCACTTGAGAACTGAACATTTGGTTTCAATGGGATCTGTGAACACTAGTGAGCTACCTCATGAATTGGACATTTAAAGAGAACAAAATTGTGTATACATCTTTGTTGTTTTATACAGCAATTTGTGTGAGGGATAATCCGTAATTAATTATTAAGGACTGGTATTTTATTATTGGTATAGGGTTGGGGTGGTGGGTTGAAATTTATCATTTTTGTATTTGAAAAAATAGAACAGTATATATTTTTTCACCTGTCTTTCTTGTTTCACTAAGTGTGCTAGTGTGGTTAAACACCACTTTTAGGCTAACAAAATAACAGTCTTGGTTCTCAGGCACCCCCCGCATCATCATAAAGTCTGCCACATGTTTCATTCTTATTTCTATTTTAAAAAAAAGGTTAATGGTACACAACTGTTTATTTGATTACATACCAGTTTGAACAAGCAAAAAAACCCAACCACCTTCCGCCCACACTATATTTTCAAAAGTCATTACCTGAGAACCAATTCTTATATTTTTTTAAGCTGTAGTGTTATTCCAGCCTTGTCACAATGGGGGACACCAAAAATTGCCCTAACACATTTCATCCAAAGGGGAATCAACCTGATTCTTCTGCTTGACAGGCAAACACTTTAAAGACCGAGAACGGTGGAATTTGCTTCAAGTTGTTGCTAATAGTTGATCAAAATGTAAGTGACAGGCGGACATGAGATTTGGAATCTACTGATAAGGGCGAGGGGACTATGATGGCTGGAATGACCTCTTTGTTTATACACAGTGGGAGCTTGCTTCTGCTGCCTGTCTCCCAACCTCAAGCATCTCCCCACTGTCTGCTGTTAGTCTTGCTCCTTGTATTAAATGATAAGTCCATGGGTGTAAAGTTGTTCAATCCTTATATTAGGCAAGTCTAGATAATCGGTCAGTCTGAGGATGCAAGTCTTTTATAGGACAAGTTATTATTTAAAAGATTGATTGTTGCCTTAGAGACTTGTGAAAGTCTATTTCTCCACAAGGCTATCCCCAAGTGAGTACCGTATTCGACGTAATAAGCCCCCGCTTTAATATGCGACCACGGCAATATTTGCTAACATATTGGCTAGTGAACAATCCCAATTAGCACCCCTTCCGATTAATCAATACGCAAGACTTATTTAATCGCTTATAATACGCACTTGTGTGTTATATGCATTCTTAATTTTGGGCAATTAAATTCTAAAAAAATATATCTGTCGCATATTACATTTCAGTCTGTCAGCATAAACCACGAAATTTATCTTTCAACTCTGTTTTTTCCACCAAAATAATATTCTAATAAGAGCCCCCTAATTCTAATTTTGAGAGCGCACTGGGCGCTTATTACGTCGAATACGGTAGGTGTCTTGGGTTCAACACCCCTCTTATATATCTCACCACCCTTGTTTCCCTTCAAGACCAGTGACTGTTCACTTACAGATGGGATCCCGGACGGTGTGGGGAGGTGTAGACTTGCTAGGCTTGCCTGGGCCGGCCTCATTGACCGCCATCACCCTGAACTCCACATCATTGCCTTCCTTCAGATTGAGCACAGTGAAGGAAGGGTCGGGGATGGGGAAGGAGCTCGCCTTGACCCAGTCGCGGCCACGTTCCTTCTTCTCAACAACGTAACCTACAAACAGAATCATGTCAGTAACAACACACTGCAAATATATCATGCCAATTAAATATGTGTTGATAGGAGGCCTCCTTCCCAGATACAGTCAGACATTGGGCCAATGTTGAGCCAAAGCCATCACTTATGTTGGGCCAATGTTGGCCATCAATGTTGGGTCAATGTTATTTTGACCGGTGGCCCAACATTGAATAAATTATGTTTGGCCAATGTTTCTTTGTCAACGTTGGCCCAATATTTGGCCATCGATATTTAGCCAAGGTTGCCCAAATGTTGGGCTGCCGGTCAAAATAACATTGGACCAACATTAGATTAACGTCTGTTTTATTCCTCGATTATCAGGTATAGATATATCTAGAATCTGCTATATTCAGTGTGTAACCTTATTCTTGACCATCAGTAGACATTGAAAAATTACAGGAATTCCCACAATTCAGCTACATATTCAGGTTTAACGCCACATTGATCAGTTTTCCAGTTTTTTTATGAGGTGTCACTTAAATGTGGGAGTAAGCCTAAAGTGATGTAGGTCTCAGACATTTACCACTTTGATGAAATAAGCACAAGTATCATGCTGACAAACCTAGAAACATAATCAGGGCGAACAGGAATTTTAACCCATGATCATAGGTTCCTCCCAAGGGACACAACTCTAATTGCAGCACCTAAGACAACTAGGCCACGTGTGACCCCACATATTCTGAATGAAAGTTCTTATATATTGATATCAATATTGATATTGATTTTTGGTTTGATGCTTGTCCCAGAATAAAACACAGGTCCCAGGTCATCAGTTTCCTCACCTGTGATTGGGTTGCCGCCATCAGCCAGTGGAGGCTTCCATTCCAGTGTGCAGGAGAACTTGTCATACTTGGCGATAGCAAGGTCTCTGGGAGCATCAGGAGCATCTGCAGAAGCAAATAAAAAATTATTTGTGGAAAATAATCCAATTAGTTCAACAAAAATTGTTTGATAGGCATGAGTTGACGGATTACAAAGTAGACAGAATTTATGTATAACGACTTTATTATACTATTTTAGCAATGTCTCAGTATAGGACCCTTATAACACTGTCAAAAAAATCTTGTTTGACAACAGTATAAAGAACTACCGTATTCGATGCAATAAGCGCCTAGGGCGCTCTCAAAATTAGAAATAGGGGGCTCTTATTAGAATATTATTTTGAGTTGAAAGATCGTAAATTTCATGGTTTTTGCTAACAGCCTGAAATGTTTACAAACGACAGATATATTTTTCAAGAATTTAATTGCCCATAATTAAGGGTGATATAACACACGAGTGCGTATTATGCACGAATAAATAAGTCTTGTGTACATTGATCAATCGGAAGGGGGTCTGATTGGGATTGTTCACTAGCCAATATATTAGCAAATATTGCCGTGGGCGCTTATTAGATCGGGGCGCTTATTACGTCGAATACGGTATATCAGATTGTGTCTACTTTGTTAAATGTCTATAATGTAAAGCGAGTATCTCTGACTTTCTTGTTCTATAGTCATTTAGTCGCTAACTTGCATATTTATAGAAGAAGTTATGCTAGTTTGTATTTATCTGAAAATATGAAGTAATATTTATACAAATACAATGTATAAATTCCAAATGTCAACGCTAGAGAATAATCAGTTTTGATTATCTTCCGAAACAGATTCCATTTAGCACAAAAGGCAAAATAGTAAAGAAAATTATGTGGATGGATCACTGAAAATCAGGGCACCGTTTGTTCACGAAAAGGGTTATCATGTCCTGCTCTACTTGTAGAACCCGCCATTCACATAACATGCATGAAAAAGTAAATGTCTGTTTGTTGCAAGACACTGCACAACAGTACTCCTGCCATGCGCCCTGTAAACAATCGATTTCAGTGACAAGATAGCATGTCATGATACCACTGCAAGAGTTGCACCTACTGTCTTACACCAATAAAGCGCCAAGGGTGCATACCGTGTTTCCATGGCTGTTTGCCTACAAAGATTACCTATTCCATATCCTTGTAACCAAATTAAGCTTCTTACTGCTTTTTCTATCTCAAAATATTAATGGACATGCAGAATTTGTTTGAGGTTAGAAATATTTCTTACCAAATGGATTCTTGGCAAGAACTTTGTTTCCGATGAGAGGTTCTCCAGTGCCATAGATGTTCTCGGCCTTGACACGGAACTGGTACGTCTTTCCTTCCTTGAGTCCCTTGACCAGGTGCGACGTTCCTGTGGGCAGTCCGGGGACCTTCTCCCACAGATTGCTGCCCTCCTCGCACTTCTCGATGACGTACCCTGGGGAAGGAAGGGGGGAGTGAATAAAAAAGTGAACCAATACTCCGGCTACAAGATGAGGAATCAGGAGAGGGACAGATTTAAGAACCTACATTCAGTGTTTGTTTGTTTGTTTGTTGTTTAACGCCGCACTCAGCATTATTCCAGCTATATGATGGCGCTCTGTAAATAATCATGTCTGGACCAGACAATCCAGTGATTTATATTGTGAGCAATCGTCCATTGGAGTACGCTGACATGCCCTCAATCAAGTCGGGAAGCCTGATGACTCAAATCATTTAGTCATCATAATGGCCAGCTTAGGTTGCTAGCAACTGATTCAAACTTGGAATCCACATGATGATGAGAATCTACATTCAAGAAGGTGATAGTATAAATCTTCTAGAAGATGCATATGTCTGTGATTTTTTATTTTTGAGGTAAAAGCTCTAGGTCATGATTTTTAAAAAAGATTTTTCATCGAGACTGAGTGAATGTTCTTCAATGAAACCTGTCAGAAATATTTAAGTAATTCCATTGCAATGTAGGATCATGTGTGGAAAAAAAAGTATCATCACAAAGAGTATATGCGTCTATAGATTAAACTGGTCTTCCATAAATGTAAAAAATGTTCAACATGAAAACGTATCTCAAACAGTTCCTATTTCTGTCTAATATTACTTGACATATCATCTAGAACATTTTGTGTGAGTTAATCAAAATAGTTTTTCCTGATAAGATATATTCTGATCCGAGGTCCTCCACCCACCTGTGACCTCGGCGCCTCCGTTGTCAGTGGGCGGCTTCCACTTGAGTCTGCAGGTCTCGGCAGTGACCTCAGCAACGTCCAGTGGTCCATCGGGAGCTGCTGGCTTGTCCAGGACAACAACGTTGACGTCCGCGCAGTCCTCGCCATGGGCGTTCTTCACCTTGATGGTGTACTTGCCTGTGTCACCACGCACGGAACGAGGAATGTTCAGCTTGGCCTCAGTCTCAGTGTTGGTCTTTCTTGCCTGCAGGGGGAATCAAAAGGTGATTGTGTGAGTAAAAAGGTATTGATTCAGAGGTATCGATTCAGAGGTACTGATTCAGAGGTATTAATTAAGAGGTACTGCTTCAGAGGTATTGATTCAGGGATATTGATTCGGAGGTACTGATTTAGGGATATTGATTCAGAGGTACTGATTCAGAGGTATTGATTCAGAGGTATTGATTCAGAGGTAATGATTCAGAGGTACTGATTCAGAGATATTGATTCAGGGATATTGATTCAGAGGTACTGATTCAGAGGTACTGATTCAGAGGTATTGATTCAGAGGTACTGATTCAGAGGTATTGATTCAGGGATATTGATTCAAAGGTACTGATTTAGAGGTATTGATTTAGAATGATTGATATTGGGTAGCGAACCATTTAGCTCATCATTGAGGTGCTGTGATACTAAGTTCAAGGACACAATCCAAAATTTTCCTAAATTCTTTAAATAATCAACTGATATTAACATTTTAGTTTGAAAGCATAAAGTTCCTTATTAACTCTGCAACAAAGTATCATGACATCAGTTCCTCACTGCAGCCTCACCACATATTGTCACATGAGCAATTTAAAGTTTGCAACCCTTCACCAAACAGTAAAAGAACCAGACAACCCAATTGGTTTAGACAACCTATTCCTTGAAACAGGTCCTGCATGGATACTTACTCTATCTCCAACAGGCTTTCCATTCTGGAGCCATTCCACAGTTGGGGCAGGAGCTCCCAAGATTCCCAGCGCAATGTCCAGAGGTTCTCCGGCACGGACACGGATCTCCTTGGCTCCGAACAGATTGTCCAGGCTCACCTTGGGTGCCTCTGTAAGGATGAGGTATATTTCAAACAATATATCATTGTGTAGTGGCACCAACATGGCAAAGAATTCACAGTATGAATTTCAAGTGTCATCATTTAGACCTTCATTCCAGAATGGCTACAACATGAAGCTGAAAATGTTGGCCAAGAATATAAACCTTGAAAAACCCATAATCTACACAGAATACTACTTCATCTAGGACCTGTGAAGATCTGGGGTAGAATCGGTCTTCAGCAACCCATGCTTGCCATAAAAGGCGACTAAGTTTATCGTATGAGGCGACTAATGGGATCAGGTGGTCAGGCTCGCTGACTTGGTTGAAGCATGTCATCAATCCCAATTGCGTGGATCTATGCTCATGATATCAATCACTGGATTGTCTGGTCCAGACTCGATTATTTACAGACCGCCGTCATATAGCTGGAATATTGCTTAGTGCGGCATGAAACAACAAACCAACCCACCAATCAACTTCATCTAGGGATGTTGCAAAGATTATTGGATTATCACTGGATATTCTTGAAGTTTGACTACCGGTACACTTGATGGTTAGAGTGAGAAAGGTTGTGTTTTGACATTATTTTCGTCCTACACCAGGATCTGACACTAAGGTTCACTTCTTGGACCCATTTGGGAATCAAACCCAGATATTTAGCTTGATGAGCAAATACCTTACCCACAAGGCTTCTCCATTACACTTAGGTTACAGGGGTAAACGTTGGGACCAAACATATGGCGGAAGATACATGCCATTGATATGTCCTGCTATGAGCCTGATTTTTATAGTACTAACCCTTGGTAGGCTTGGCAATGGCTGGCTTAGAGGCATGGCTTGGTGCAGATGATCCAGCCTCGTTGTTGGCGACGACGCGGTACTCATACTCCTTGCCCTCAGATACCTTGTCATCTTTGTAGGTGTTGCCCTGGAACCAAACAAATATATGCATTGATGTTCTAGTTCCTTGACAGAAAAGGGGGTAACAAGGTCAAGTTTATTTAATTACATATCAAAAACAGTTAATACCTCGGGAAATTGAGGATGGGTATAAAAACTAGTTCAAGCACATTCTGTAGTCTTCACAACTGCAGTCTATCAACATTATGCCACCTACAACAAATTCAAAAAATGACACTCCCCTTGTAGCATGCAAAAAATAGAAGGGCTAGTCCAACCGGAGTTACCTCCCCTTATTGTAGGTTACATTAAAACATCTACAGAGTAATTACCTCCCCTTGACCCAGTTTAAAAACAAATAAAGGGATTAGTTTCCCCATAAATATATGCATTGATATAGCAGTTTTATGACAAAACGCTTCCATTTTCACATCACATGGGCGAGTAGATGTCTTTGACACTTCATTTTTAATAGGGAAAAGCTCTTTGAAAGAACTTTTAACAAGTGATTTCACCAAGACTGAGTAAATGTTTTATGAAACTTGAAAGCAATATTTCAGTTATTCCATTGCAATGTAGGAACATTTGTGATGACAGTATCATGATGAAGAGTATATGGATGATACAGGTCTTCCATAAATGTAAAAACTGTTCACCTTGGAAACATATCTTAAGCAGGATAAATAGTGATAGAACCTAAGTCATAGTTCCTACTTTCTGAAGCTAACCATCTTCCTGAGGCAAGGGTGTTAACTGTCTATAAAAGTCCAGTTTCCACCCTTGCCGAACTGGGCTGGAATTCATGAGTTACATTTTGGCTGAACTAACAAGTCTATGCATAGTCCAATCAAAATTGCAAGGATGACTGTGGGATGACTCCATGCCTTGCTATGTATAGTATTCAACCACAGAGTTACAGCCTTGTTCTGCTGAACGTGGACCTCCAGTTCACACATACCTCCACTGGAGCCTTGTTGATTTTGACCCAGCGGCCAGACTTGGGGTCTTTCCTCTCGATGTCGTAGCTGGTGACGGGGGCGCCACCATCGTCCTCTGGGGGGTCCCACTTCATTTCGATGCGGTTGCGGTCAGTGTCGGTGATCTGGGGCTGACCAGGAGGTAGAGGTTCATCTGGAAGAGAGGTGAGGTTAGGGGAGGTTAAATGGGGTTTAACATTGTGTTAAAGATTGTTTCACCCATATACGAGTGCAAGCATGGGTGTGTGGCTGCTTATACTATACTTAGATACGATGCCAAAGTGGACACCCCACTCAAACATATTACACTGAGTATGAGCTGGCCAATCAGTTTTATCCCCTAATGATGAGCACCAGGCAAGGTAACAACATGTACCGTCTCCTAATGTTTTTTGAACATGACACAGCAAGGAGATTGAACAACAACCTTCATCTTGGAAGATACTCCATCCATCAGTTCTGGACAAATTTGGGCGAGTAGACACAAAATTTCATGACAATAATTATTTTTCAGATAAAGACCCAAACATCTAATTACATACCAAATGGATTCTTGGCTGTGACTGGATCCTCTGTTTCCAGGGGTTCAGACTCTCCATTGCGGTTCTCGGCAATGACGCGGAACTTGTATTCATGACCCTCTTGGAGTTTTGGCACAACACATTTCTTGCCAACTGCATCTGCAACCTTCTCCCATTTGCCCTTCTTCAAGTCAAACTTCTCCACACGGTAATTGCTGCACAGAAATAACAATTAATAGATACATTTATTGTTTTTTAGCTGTTTGACGCTACACTCAACAATAATTCAGATATATTACAGCTGTCTGTAAATAATCAAGTCTGGATCAGACAATCCAGTGATTGACATCATGAGCATTAATCTATTCAGCTGGAATATGATGACATACATCAACCAAGTCAGCGATGGGTTGATAGAAATGTCATATAGTTCTTTTTTTTAATTCTTGACCAGAGTTCTTTTGACTCACGTGATGTCATTGCCGCCATCATCTGGAGGAGGTTTCCAGGTCAAGGTCGCACTGTCCTTGGTTACGTCCTTGACCGCCAGCGGACCAGAAGGTCGAGATGGAGGACCTGTGGAGCAGAACAGTACATGTATATATCCTGGACTCATTTATTATGAAAGTGGGATTTTATTGAAAAAAATTAATTATGCCTGACAATTCTTTTAAAAAATAATAATGTTTCAGACCTTTGAAAAAAAGAAGAACTTGCCTGTCACAAAAATTACATTGTTGCACGGTGTTTTTCTAAAAACAAAATGCAGGCCATAGTTTTATATAAAAAAGCAGCAAAAATAGATAATCTCGATACAAAATCCCAGAATCTCAAATGGTCGGTCCCTAAGTTGCCATGCTTGATATCAATCAGTAGTTGGGCTGACTTAAGAGTTGTCACCCCTAGGTGAAGGTCACCACTCACCTAGGACAACAACTTCCACTGTTTCTGTATCCTGGCCATGCTTGTTGGCAACAGTGATGGTGTAGAGACCAGTGTGCTTCCTGATGCTCTTGTTGTTGTCGACGGTTGACTTCTTGGGCTCGTTTTTTATAGCCACCACATCTGATGGCTCTAGCGGGATCTCGGTCCCAGCCTACAAGTATCACACAACATGGTATAAACACCGCCCACACTCATGTATGATGTAGTACCATTGATTGCAAAGATACATATCAACTAATTGATATGACATTATTTATTGGTCCAATGATTGAGCAATACATTTTAATCTCATAAATAATTAGGACATCAAATAGAAACCTCTTTAGCTTGAAATGTGGCAAAGACTTTTGTGGACAAAAAACACAATAAACCCTTGACTTATGTTTACTGATCATGTCTATTTTATTTCTAGCCCTAAATGAAACATATTTCACTTCTTAGGCGATTTGATGAAAGAACAATGAAATGAATATTTAAGATGTGTACATTCTCATGTACGGATGCTGAAAAAGATAAATTGTCTAGTATGTTATATCTTGAATGTTACAGTAAACAAAAATAGTGCTGTGTGTTAATATCTTATAAGTGTCTTGATACACGTTTCGAACATCTGATGTTAAGGAACAGCTCCTATTATAATGTTCATCCACAAAGCAGCCATTAAATCCATTAGATATTGTGAGCAATTGGTACTGATTAAGATGGAAAGATGTTTATTACAAATAAAAAATAAGTTAATTGTTTAACAAATAAATGATTATCACAGAAACAGCAGAATCATAATCCATTGGACCTTATATGATCATGTCATTTGACAAACCATGCAATGACATACCGTTGTCGACGTAATTAGTGCCCCGCTCTAATAATTGTATTTCATGGTCTACATGTTTAACATGTTTAACATACATACTTCATGACAAGAGTCTAATCATATACCCATATCACCGTCTATAAAGCGACCCCGCGTATAAGACGACCCGCTGTACAAGCCTCTAAAATCGATGCATATGTATATCCCCGTCTATTCAGCGATTCGGAATGAAGAACATAACCAGAGCTAACATAATCCCTACATTTGCAATAAAAATGTGTTTGTCTTCCACAGAAAAATATTACATCATATCCCTTCAGCGAAATCAGGGAAATGAACAGATTATAACAATTAAACTGTACCGAAATGAAGTGAATGAGTAAGTATGGTTTTACGCCACTTTTAGCAATATTCCAGCAATATCACAGCGGGGGACACCAGAAATGGGTTTCACACATTGAACCCATGTCGGGAATCGAAACCGGGTCTTCGGCGTGATGAGCAAACGCTTTAACCACTAGGCTACCCGACTGCCCCCAAAGATGTAAATAATATTTAATGAAATTTTGAATAAAATTAATAAAATAGATTACAAACATAAGTCCAGATATACAATGAACCTTTTCTATAAACAGGCAGTGTAATTACATGATTAGTTTGTGTACTTCAAATGGATATGTTGATATTTGTGTAATTCAAATGGATATGTTCATATTTGTGTAATTCAAATGGATATGTTCATATTTGTGTAATTCAAATGGATATGTTGATATGGTATTTCAGGTGTTACCTGCTTACAGTAATATCTTTATGTTGGGGAAACAAATATCAGACTTTTCAACCCTGTGTATATGATGACCCCCCTTGAAGTGCCCCTAATTCTAGGTACGAAGAACTCGCCCTATACACAGTGATATACGGTATATCTAATACATATACTTCATTGCCGACGATGCAGGGCACCTGTGGGAGGATTGTATGGACAGGGCTGGGTGAGGAAGGTTGTATACACTGTATTTATATCATTCTGCTAACAGGCGACTGAAGAAGGTTTGAACTGAAGTTGGTCAAAGGTTCTTGTGGAAATATGAGGTTTGTCAAGAAGAAAGTGAGTGAGTGAGTGAGTATGGTTTTACCCCGCTTTTAGCAATATTCCAGCAATATCACGGCGGGGGACACCAGAAATGGGCTTCACACATTGTACCCATGTCAGGAATCGAACCTGGGTCATCAGCGTGACGAGCGAACGCTTTAACCACTAGGCTACCCGACCGCCCCTCAAGAAGAAAGATTCTTGAACTGAACTAAGAATATGATGCAAGAATTGGGCACGGGGAAGGTTTACCCCTAGATGCAATGATCTCAGGTTTGCCCCAGGATGCAATGATCTCAGGTTTGCGCCAGGATGCAATGATCACAGTTGTGGGTTGGGTTAAGTACAAGTTGAGGGGGAGGGATGTTCTCATGTGGTTGGAGGTACCAGGGCAGGTTTCCTTTGCAAAGTGTATCTTCAAGAGAGCATAATGCTGAATGGATTTATTCTTGTGAAGGAAACAGTGAGTGATAGATGCAGTGGTTTCCATTAAGGATCAAGACAGAGCAAGAAAAGTCTTGAAAAAAGGGAAAAGAAAAGTCTTGACCAAAATGAAGAAGGGTCAGTCGAGGAATTGAAAGAACAAGAAATTGGAAATGGTGGAACTGGGTGAGAAATGGATGGTCGGACACTAGGAAAATAAGAATATGTCACGAAAAATGCAGAAAAGATGCAGTCTAACATGATGCAGCTGTTAACAGCTGGCATCATTTGACGGTTTGCTCCTTCTGTTCAGCAGCCATATTACTGACAGATCTGAATCAGAAGAGGATGTGGAATATCCTGTATTGCTGATGCTGTCCCCAATGACAGATTCTGGAGTTTCAAAAGGGGGAGAGTGTCAATGTACTTAATAACCATACCTCCCAGTATTGCATTGGATGATAGTAACCTAATTGTCTACTGGAACATGGAATGGACATTTCACCAGGACCCCGTAACTCAAAGTGATCTTAGTGCTGTGTTAGTCTGTTAAGGTATAGTCGTTATTTCATCTTAGTGGAATCACTTTAAAGAATTGGGCTCTGCCTATACTGGCCTCCACAAGCTGTCCATTTGAGTACATTAACCTCTATGCCGGTTTCTGGCAAAAGGCCATACATAGGAATAGTCTTGTCCAGAACACATACCTGGTACTACGTGAATCATAGGTCATGCAAGGTCAAGGTAATAACAAGCAATGGTATGCCCAGCAACCCCTTACACTTTGTGAGATGCTTCAGAGCAGATACTAGATTTCTTAAGCTTTTATTTAGTTTCTTAATTTCATAAATCCACTCATTGAGTGAGTGAGTGAGTGAGTATTGTTTTCGGACGCTTTTAGCAGTATTCCAGCAATATCACGGCAGGGGACACCAGAAATTGGCTTCACACATTGTACCCATGTCGGGAATCGAACCCGGGTCTTCTGCATGACGAGCGAACGCTTTAACCACTATGACAATTGTGCAATTATATATCATATTGTTTTCTTTCTTAAGTGTCCAAAACAAAATCTGTAATAATTTTTTTTCAAGTGGATCAGTATGTGTTGGAAGCTTCTCAACCACAACCCTGTGTTTTCGAAAAAATCATTACATTGATTTAATTAGTTGTTACCTCATTAGTATCTGCACCAAAATGTCATAAAAGGGGAAATAAGAAGTTGCTATCCACACCATAGATTGTTATTACCGGAACCTACATGAACTTCTAAAACTCAAAGACTTTATAGTCTGGGGCTATACAATTCATTTTGCCAAGGTCCCAATCTTCATGTAGCTGTTTCAAGGCTTAAAACGAAAAGATTCTGTTGAAAATAAATATTTCAAAATCAAGACTTCATGCTACAGTTGTGGAGGTTATTGACATCCAACCTCTCCAGCTTGTAGCAAGAGGTGGTATGCAGGGTGGGATGATGGGGTTGGGGTGATGAGCAGGGTGGTGATGTAGGGTGAGTGAGGGGGAGTCATGGAGGCAAGTTACTCACAGAACCAGGAGGTCCCATCTGAAAGTTTACAGATTGCTCAAGACAGTAAGACCGAGCCAGAGACTGGCTGGAGATGAGGTTAGAAAGACAAGAACTGATTGTAGACAGTTAAAGTGTGTAGACCTACACTGTCACATACATGACAACTTGAAGTACTTGAAAAGCATAAAAAAATCATTTGGATAATCAAAATTTGTATGGATATGAAAAAGATATTTCCCTGAAAAGCCTTAAAGGACAATTCAAGGTCACTCTCTGATCCACGACATTTGTCATCACATGACATCTGCCGCTTCTATGAAATCAGTTGGGCTCATGTTCAGATAAAACTAAAACACTTTGTAGAGATCCTCCAGAAATAGTTTTGGGCCCATTTTTACTTTCCTCAACATTGTTGTCATAAGAACAAACAGTTTTTTCAGCAAAAAATATCATTCTTATCCACATGAACATTTCTAATAACAGATCATTTGATTTCTAAATGTTTTCCTCATTTTTTGGATTATGCAATGGACCAAAACAAAACCTTACACCATGTCCTTTGAGACTTATGTCTTGTTTCACTGAGAATGTCAAAATTTCAAGAAGTAGCATGAAGATTATTCCTGACAGTTTACTAGGTACGTCTATACACTTTGAAGAAGTTCCTGTAAGAAAGTGAGTGGTAAGAACATGGACACGGTAACACAACAATGTTACCTTTGAACAGAACACAGTAACACAACAATGTTACCTTTGAACACAACACAGTAACACAACAATGTTACCTTTGAACACAACACAGTAACACAATGTTACCTCTGAACAGAACACGGTAACACAATGTTACCTTTAAACAGAACAGTAACACAATGTTACCTCTAAACAGAACATCGTAACACAATGTTACCTCTGAACAGAACACAGTAACACAATGTTACCTCTAAACAGAACACAGTAACACAATGTTACCTCTAAACAGAACACAGGAACACAATGTTACCTCTGAACAGAACATGGTAACACAATGTGACCTCTGAACAGAACACAGTAACACAATGTTACCTCTGAACAGAACACAGTAACACAATGTTACCTCTGAACAGAACACAGTAACACAATGTTACCTCTGAACAGAACATGGTAACACAATGTTACCTCTGAACAGAACACAGTAACACAATGTCACCTCTGAACAGAACACAGTAACACAATGTTACCTCTGAACAGAACAAATTTAGACAACATAGCCATATACAGGCAGGTTTTAGACAGATTACAGACACATAGACAGGTTTTAGACAACATAGACACATACAGACAAGTTTTAGACATATTCTAGACATATAAAGACAGGTTTAGACAGATTATAGACATGTTTCTAAGCTAGGCTATATCATGTTTATATACCACATGATACAGCATCACTTACCGGTTCATCCTGTTGAGCAAAAAACACAGGTAGATGAAATATTCAGCATGAATTCATGAAATATTCAACACAAACTGATGAAATGAAACGATGGGATTTAAAGCAAGGATTTAAAGACACTGGAAGTGATTTCCATGGTCTGTGGTCACCAATTCACCTGGTGTACACAAATACACTCATTGTCACCAGTACACCTGGTGTACACGAATACACTCCGTGCTCAAATACACAGGAAACATGTAAAGGTTTTACACTGAACATAGCCACATAGAACACTGGGAATAAACAGATGCTTAAGGTTCTGATAACTGTTATATTTAACCAAAATGAAAAACTAATTACTGTTCATGAATAGCTACAGTTTTCCAAAGTGTAAAGCAAAAATACTTTTGAATGATCCTAAAAGTGAAAAAGCCCAAACACAAAATAGCAAGGGTTAAAATAGTTAATATTTCTTAAATCATATCTTTTCTTAAGCAATCTTTTTCTGTAACGAAAAAATTTAAAAGTGAACCATGACTGTGAAAAATTTAAATTTAAATTTTGAAAATCATAAATTTAAATTTAAATGTTGGATATGCTGGTCATGGCTCTGAATCTAAGGCTTATTGTGATCTATGGTCTGTCAGCACAATATTAATGCTCACTGATATTGCCAAAATGGTAAGCATCTATGCATAAATCACATGACTTCTCAACCATAATCTGATCAGCTGTAATCTTCTGCCATATTGTTCAAAACAGCATTCAAACAGTATTCATCAAACAAGAGGGTAAAGACACATATAGCACATGTATGGCACAGCAGAAACACAAGTTTCCAATACACAAAACACAAGATATATATAACCATAGAGGCATATATCGTGGAACATATTGACAGAACAAAACATTTACAAGATAGGAAAACCGTAGGATTCAGAGCTGGCAACTTCAAGAAGTCTACCGATAGCAACACACATAGATGTGCAGTTGATGAAGAGAGACATCACACGTGTCGTCAGGAACACTCGACCATCACAACAAGATATGCTTTCTGGATCAAGACTGACACTTTTTTGAAAACTGATAAAAAAGTTTAATACAAATATTCAGATATATTTTATGTGCAGATTTGTTTTTGAATTCATTTTCATGGAAACAATATTGATTATGTCCTAATTGAACAAATTAGATAAAACCAACAGAGCATCTTCATTGTATGAGATGAGATATTAATTTATATACATAAATATTGGCGGTTAATAAATTTTGTTAGAGGGTAATAATTACTGTTGATGCAAATTGTGTGATAAAAGTGTGTTGGCATCATCCAGAAGGTCATATCCTGTTGTCATGGTTCTGAAGAAAGATTCTATTGTCAGAAGAAACGTACCAGTCCCTTCACAGTCCATGTTGCCTTGGGTGCAGGCTCTCCAATGTAGGTGATGGGGATAGAAAAGGGTTGGCCAGCCTTGATCTGGATCTTCTTTGTGACGTCTTGGTGGTTGATACGTGGCTTAACTGGGAACACAAGCAATATAGGAGATATCAACAGCTATTGATTGTGTTTACCAATCTGTATGTTTATATTGAGGCATTTAAAAGAAATAATTTTACTGAAGTCTTTGATGTGCTTTTAGAAGTTGGGAGATCATGAATACATGAAACGTTTTTATGTATAGCAACTTTTTTTAAGTAGCTCTGAAACGTTGTACAAAGAATAAAAAAAGTTGCTATCCATAAAAAAGTGTCGTGTATTTAATAATTTTGCTGTTCAAGTCTTTAAAATGTGTCAGAGTCTTTTTCCCTTCTTGCATGTTATGTTATTGTGTATATCAGTTTTGATAAGATAATCAGTTAATTAATCACTATCAATACATCAATTCAACATATAAAATCTGTATCAGTAAATCAACAGTATTTTGAAATCCCATCCCCGATATTTTAGTGTTCCATCATGATTGTGTGATCTGTACAGTATATATGAGATGGACACTTCAATAGATTACCTCTCCTGGACTTCAGAATCACAGGTCCGGAACACTCGCTGCCCTCAGATAATCCGGCCTTGTTCTTAGCCTTGACACGGAACTCGTATTCTTTGCCTTCCTTAAGGCCATCGACAGTTGCTGTGTCAGCAGTTCCCGGAACATCGGTACCCTGATGGCAGTAGGACAACATGAGAACTGTGTGTATTCATAGGCGGATCCAGAGGAGGGATCCAGGGGTCCGGATCCCCACTTTTTTAAAAAGCCAATGTAGTATGTTGTAGGCAGTAAAATTATCTAGAGAGAGAATTTTTATATTTTGGACCCAGCCCTTCTAAAAATGCTGAATCCGCCCTTGATATCTGATATGACAGCTTCATTTTGGTGTCTATATATTAGACAAGCAACAGACACTTTTGGTTCTTGCATTTTGTGATCAGAACTGAAGTGATTTGGGTGTAACACTGTTGTGATAGTATTTCAGGCACGGATAAAAGCAAGAGGACAGCCCAAAGGGAAACCAGACAGGTAAGGTGCTGACAAACCAAGGATCATAATGGAGCAGAATTTAAGATCTGAACCAACAACCAGTGCATCCTGGCATGGATAACTCAGCAACACCTTAGACCACTGGACCATCAGTGCCTCCAATATAAGGAGGTGAAATTGGGTTCAATGTCACGTCAAAGATTATTGCATTTATTTTGAGATGTGCATGCATGTGTGTTTATGTCTGCTTGTACTAGCTTGGACATATGCTGGTAATACTAGTATAGTCCACAGAGATTCCATGATGACTCCGACCCAACCATTCCTTGTTTTATCCCCTTATCAGGAAGGTAAAAACAAGTACCATCTTCAAAGTCTTTTGGTATGATGCGGCTGGCAATTTTTTTATATGGCAGCCTCGATCAGGGACATTGGGGAAGAATCAAAAATACATTCCATACACATGTAGTGAAGTTTCTCCTGACTTCTTGACACTTATAGTCTGGAAGGTAATTTAAGGTACCGACGTTTACTACAATATCTGAAAAACTATCGGACCTACTCCAGTCAAAGTTGGTATGAGATTATTAAACAGTCATACATAACTGGATATTACCTTTAAAGACAATCAGTGCATGAATAAAAAATCTGTCTATTTAGCTATCACTATATTTCATCAACAACCAGACCTGTTCGTCACGGGTGGAACGAGCATTCATTTAAACAGCCATCTGCTTAATGCTACCCCTGCATCACAGGGCCATATGACACAGTTGGACCAATCAACTCAACTCGAAAGGGTGCACGGGAATCATGCACGTTAAGTTGCCCAACGCTAAAACAAAATTTGTGCGTTTTTCAGATATTGTAGTAAACGTCAGTACCTTAAATTACCTTCCAGACTATAAACGTAGCCGTCTTCCCAGGAGAATTCCTGACAGAAGTCTTCTTCAGACTTCCTAAACCAGCTTTGCTTTCTTAGGGAGAACCTACCTTCTTCCATTCATCCGTTCCCTTCTCCCTGTACTCTACAGCATAACTTTGGATGGGGGCGCCACCATCTTTCTTGGGTGGGTCAAACTTGATTTCGGCATAGTCCTTGTCATAATCAATGATCTCTGGAGTTCCTGGTGGATCGGAAGGATCTGAAATAGATGGGTAGATCAATTTATACAGTGTGAGCAAGTATGTCTACAGCCATCTTCCCGAGGCAAGAGAGTTAACTGACATTAAAAGTCCAGTTTCCACCCTTGTCGAACTAGGCTGGTATTATGGAGTTACATTTTGGCTAGACTAACGAGTCTAGCATAGTCCAATCAAATTCACGCAACGAAATTGAAATCCGGTTCGTAAACTGTCATGCAGATTTCGGTCGATTGCAAAGAATGTGTAATGCCAACTCGCTGTCAATAGATATTTTCTAAATCTTTTCATGTTTTTAATCAAGGTGCTCACGTGTTTCACGATGTGAGACCCGTTTTATCACAATATATATCTTGATTATCGATCAGATCTTCCTGACAGGGTGCCGCCATTTTGTCTGAAGCAAATACAAGTGATACGAGAGGTAGAATCTGATTGGTCCATAGGAAAAGCTTTGATGGGACATAACTGGTAACAGCCACTGGTGGCGCTTCCATCGGGCCCAGGAATTCCAGCCTACTTCGGCAAGGGTGGAAACTGGACTTTTAAAGTCAGTTAACTCCCTTGCCTAGGGAAGATGGTTTGATGTTGGAATCTAACTGAAGTCTTGTGGTGGTGAGCTTGTGACTGAGTCTTGCAAAGACAGACATCATATATTTTTTATTATTCCGTCAGTTCATAGGCACGATAATGACGTTGAAAACAACAAGAACGTACCCCATGGATCCTTGGCTAGGATTTCTCCATCTGAATCCAAATATTCACTGGTGCCTTCTGAGTTGACAGCAGCCACACGGAACTGATACTTGTGACCTGGTGTCAGGTCACTGACATCAACCTCCATGTCATCTGTCTCACACACTGGCTCCCATTTGCCTGAAGTCAAATAAGAAATATGACAACTGGCAGGAAGCGTAATTCTGAAATATTGCTCAATGAGTGCATGACTCTTGACAGCTTATATTTTTTTGTGCTGCACAAAGTGCTATGAGTGTACAGAAAAATGTATGTGATTTTAGAATGATTTCTTGCCATTTTTTCTTTTTTCGGTTTCACTTTTGGGACATGTTTTTACTCATGAAAAAAAGCAGTGTTTAAGAAGATGTGACGAAGTTTCGTCCTGGCTTAAAATTATTTCTTAAAAACTGTATATGTGACGTTTTTTCTTAAATGCAAAAAAGCTGGGCAACAGTAAACTTCATAATTTTAGAATCCTTCAAGATTAAAATATGGAAATTTTGTGAAATTTTACCTGTAGCAGAGTCCATCTTCTCGACCAGGTAATGGGTGATGGGAGCACCACCATCGTCCTTTGGTTTGTCCCACAACAAGGCACAGCGATCGGCAAAGATGTCTGTCACGTCGAGGGGTCCTTTAGGTTTGCCAGGCTTGTCTGAAGATTGCAAGGAAAGCGTTTATTATTTATTATCAGAATATTTCCGGAATCAGTGAGGCAGATGGTTTTATTTAACTTTCAACAGTTTCATTGGAATGAGTGAGTGAGTGGGTGGGTATGGTTTTTATGCCGCTTCTAGCAATATTCCAGCAATATCACAGCAGGGGACACCAGAAATGTGCTTCACACATTAAAATTGTACCCATGTTGGGATTCGAACCCGGGTCTTCGGTGTGACGAATGAATGTTTTAACCATAGGCTACCTGACCACCCCTCATAGGAATGTGTCCCATAAGGGGATGAGGATGAGGATGAGGATGAGGATGGGATGGACATCATCAGAATAATAAACATACCCATAACAGTTATCTTGACTGGGATCTTGTCGGAACCAGCCTCATTGGTCAATGTCAACTCATATGTTCCTGTGTCAGTACGCTGGGCATCAGGGATGATGAGTTTGGTGTGACCCTTGGAGGTCTCAATGTCAAGGTCAGCTTCACTAAGAGGCTGGCCATCCTTAGACCACTGTGCTCGAGGAAGAGGTGCACCTGCAAAATGGTTGAATTTTATGTACAAGGTTATATTTGTAAAATCTCCACTAAAAAGACATCATTGTGGTAAGAAGTTCAGAACCTTTTACAGGCTATCTGGAGTATTCATCCATCAATAGTAAAGTATCAGCCCATGAAGATCTGGGTTACAATTGGTCTTCAGCAACCCTTGCTTGTTCGAAGAGGCAACTAACGGAATCGGTTGGTCAGGATTCCGACTTGGTTGATGCATGTCATCATATCTCAAACATAGATCAATGCTTGGGTTGTAAATCACTGCATTTGTCTGGTCCAGACTCAATTATTTACAGACTGCCGCCATATAGCTGGAATATTGCTGAGTGCGGCATAAACAAACAAACAAATGTGTATTGTGGACTATTCTGACAATAACACATATTACATAGAGAACCCTCATCGCTACTCACCCACAAAAGGAATGTCAAGTTCAATCCTCTCTCCTCTCTTCACAAAGATCTCCTTGGGAATAGCAGCGGGGTCAATCTTGGGAGGTTTAGGCTCTGTAAGACACACGCACATCGATTATGGCACCACTAAAATCTTAAATTAACACCACGACCATGACCAGAGTAGCTGTCAACATGAACAATCATGAGTGGTCTTTAAAATTAGTTTTGGCAGTGTGATGCCATATGGACCAAGGCCTTAGCTGATGGAGATGTGTGTCTCGCGTATAACGGATTCTTTACATCTTATTTTCATTTTCCTCAAGGACACTGCTACTCACGTTCTTGAACTGTGACCACAGACTTGGTTGGTCGTTCACCAATCTGAAGCTTGTATTCAGCTTCATCCGTTGGCTTGGCTCCCTTGATGGTCAGCTTGAAGGATTCTCCCTTCTGAGTGATGTCATACCTGATAGGTGAGAAAAAGGCAACTGTAACCTGTTTTCTAAACTTAGGGGACATCACTTTATTTATTTTCATTTCAAAAATATTTTTAAAATTAGGGTAATTGTAATTCACATTCATTTCTTGACCATATTTTGTACATGCAATTCATTTTCACTTCAAAATTTATTTTTAAAATTAGGGTCATTGTTATTCAAATTCATTTCTTGACCATATTTTGCACACGTAAGGAAGTGTTAGAACCTTTTAATGATTCATATTCTACTTATTACATTTCTCAGAATCAAAAGTGCCTTCACCCTGACTACCAGTAACTGAAGGGAGTTAACTCTAAGAGGGGAGACAACTCTGATACTCACCTAACATCATCTCCAATAGGTTTTCCATTCTTGAACCACTTGACAGGGTGTTTGTGAGGGTTGGCTGCCTTGCACTCTAGGACCAGGTTTTCACCCTCCTTCACAGTCTTGTTCTCCAACTTCTTCATGAAGCGGACGTCAGCTGAGAATACAGACTTGAGGTTAATGTTGCATTAAACACAAAAAATCTTTCACAGGCAGATCCAGAGGAAGGGTCGAGGGGGTCCGGACAGCCCACCCACCAAACCAGTGGTCAATGGTATGAGCCCCAACCAGCATCTCAGTTAATGCAATTTACCATCAGATGAGTTAGCTGTCCCTGTGGTGATCTGAACAATACCAAAACCATTTTATCCACACAATCCCCATTCCAACTGCATCTTCAAACTAGCAAATAGAGAATGTCTCTATCTAGTGTGGAAATCAGTTTTGGATGATAAAGAGTATTCTTTCGTAGAGTGAGTGAGTATGTTTTTACACTGTTTTCAGCAATATTTCAGGAATATCTCAGCGGGGACCACCAGACACTGGCTTCAAACATGTGGGGAATCAAACCCAGATCTTCAGCATGATGAGCGAATGCTTTAACCACTAGGCTACCCAACTGCCCCTTCTTTCCTAGTCACTGAGATTTGATGATGCATGATGACACCCATTCTTGCAGGCTTTCAAACCTGGTGAACTTAAGCTATATTTGCAAGTACAATTTAATTTAAATTAAAGGTAAAACAACATGTGAGACTGTGAACACAGTACTTAAATGATTACTTACGGGACACAAACAGATCGGCTGATGTGATCTGGCTCAACATGTGACAACTGTACTTGGCGTCATCCTTGATACTGCAGTTCTTCACCACTAGACGGCGCTTCAAGCCATCCTTCTCAAACAGGAATTTACCGCCAGCTTTAAGTTCCTGAAGGTCAAATTCAAAGAGGTCAAAGGCCAACCTAAGTTACAGTTACGTAAAAATCCTACCTCACATTTCAGCATCATCAGTTGGTAGATATAGGAATCATGCAATGTATTGTTAGACTGGTTAAAACATTATTAATGATTGTGTTAACGTCATTAGAACTGAAGTTATATTCTTAATTTCAAAGTTAAGGAATTGACAAAAATGACATGCAGTAAGAATTACATTGCTCTTGGGCAAATTAGGCCTACACAATATATGCAGGCATTGTTAGACTGGTTAAAACATTATTAATAATTGTGTTAAAGTCTTCAGAACTGAACATAATAATATTTTAAATTTCAAAGTTAACGATTCAACAAAATTGACATGCGTTAAGAATTACACTGTTCAAATAAGGCTGACATACTCAGGCTTACAAGTGCCCTTTGTGGCAATAAACATTTAAGGCAATATTTAGGGGCACGTATAGCATTACATTTGTCTTTCTCAATTTGCATAGTTATTATTTTTCAGAATAGGAATTTTATAGAAAAAGGGACTCCTTTTTAAGGATTTACATCCTTTTTGTCAAACTATTATTTTTTCTTAATCAGGGTAAAATTTAGTATATGAACACACGTTTATTGAACTGCCATGAATGAGACAAGGAAAGGGAGGTAATCCTCACGGATTGAGGTAGAGTTACATGATGTGCATACCACTTGGTATTTTTGTATAATCTAGGGCATTGCACTTGTGAGCCTGTAATCAACACGACCTAGGAAACGGAAGGGTTGACGAACTGGTAGTACAGTCAGAGTGAAATCTCACTAAACTAACACTTCAGATTAGATAACTGTAACTGAAACAAAATGTCGGAACTTACCCATGAGGACTTAGTTTACCTTGGTTTAGTTAGAGATTTCACCATGAGTGTGACATCAACAAAACTAGACAGTGGCGGATCAAGAGGAGGAGGAGGGTTCTGGCCCCCAATTCTGCCTTTTTCAAATGTAAAAGACCCCCCCTAAAAACATTTTTTAGAGAAAAAAAAAAAGAAAAAAAAAAAAAAGAAGAAATTTGGGAGGTAGGTTTTTGTGTGGACTCCACCCCCACCCTGCAAGCACCCCCACCCGACCAAAACATCCTGGATCCGCCCCTGCTGTGTTCAAGTTGTAACTGTGTGGATGTACTATGGGGTGCTAAGTACAAATTGTTACAATGTAGGTGACGATATCTTCTATGGGGTGCTACAGGGTAGAAGCTGTAACAATGTAGCTAATTGACTACAGTTATACCTCTTCTGTGTTAAGCTTGATGGTAACAATTTCGCCAGTCTCTGTCTGTTAGGTGTTAATTCAACAATACAACATTAAGTAAAACAATCAATACAACCATATAACAATCAGTACAACAACATAAAAATCAGTACAACATTATAACCCTCTGTTTGTAAGTGAAAACTGAATATTACATAAATAGATATAATACAGGTAATATAATGATATGCTAATATATGCGTTAATATTTTAATACAAGTGATTCAGTGCTTGCTATACACAGTGTTCGAAATACCTGCCTGCCCGACCGTCCGAGACGGGTTGATTTCAACTCGGGCTGTCAGATTTTCAAATCCCCCTGCCCGACGGTCGGGTTATATTTCATATGTAAAAATATTCTAAATATTTCCCGATGATAAGCATTAATTCACATGTAAAGATGAATGATAAAATGGAACCAAAAAGAAACCCCGTTAGCTTTTAGACAACCTAACATTTAGCGATGCGCTTATGCTACAAGCAATCAGTTTTCATATTTTTAATTAAATTATCCTGAGAAACATATGATTATAGTGGACAGGCAGGTTTTGGTCAGGGCTGGCAAGTATTTCAGCTAGCCAGTCCTGTGGTTTGGCTGAAATTTTTGGGAGTTTCATACCCTGCTATACATATGACTACAGGTGTGTTAATTGTTAAATGTTAGTGGAGTGTCCAGTACCAGGTGTCATGAAATATGACATTATAATGCCCTGAAAATACCTTAGTTTTATATACTGACCAAAGATCTTATTTGCATGTAGAAAACTATTAAAGGTGCAAGGTTAATTTTAATTTTAGGATTTTTAAAAATCTTTGTTATATTTAAAAATTTGAAAACAATCATATCATGACGAACATTCGTTTTTACACATCAAGCTTGTCTTTCCCCATAACTATCCAATAACTATCCAATAACTATCCATAACTATCCAATAACGAGAGTGCCACCCCCTTTTGGTATGTGGAATTCAGGGGTCAAAATAAAGGTACTCGGATTCAGCAGTTTGGGATGTGGGATGCAAAAAAGTCATATTTTGTACACAGACTCGGTATTTTTAAAAAAATGATGGCATAGGTAAAATTAGATTACCGATATATTTTTTTCATATTTTTTTTCAAATTGTACGCTTTTATAATCTAGAAACATGTGCTGTAGGTTGTTGTCTGTGATCGACATACAGTCTTTGAAGAGTGAATTTGGAAGTATTCGGGATTCAAGGGTGATCAAATGAGACCGAATAAATAATTAGACGGTGTTCAGGATTCAGGGGAGGGGAAGGTTGGCACCCTCAATAATCAGCCTTCTGAAAATGGCTACTTTCTAGCGGAAACATGGTGCACGTTCATTCCTGTACGAGAATGAGATGTAACTGTGCAGAGGTATAGGCACTCACATCTGGTGCACATCAGACAATGCAGATGAATGTGTTCAGAAAGAATCTCAGTAAAAATATTACAATTTACCTTGCACCTTCAACAAGATTTTTGAAAATAGTTTAAAGATTACCCTTATATACCAGATAAAGGGGGATAACTCCTACCTTTTCATCCTTGAACCAGCTGACCTCTGCCTCAGGGTCACTGACATCACAGATGAAGGTCGCCTTTTCACGCTCAACAGCCTCCACATCTTCCAACTTCTTCATGAACTCCCACTCCGGCTCTGATATGACGTTCATATAGATATTGGCATGTACTAATATGCAGATATTGAGACTATATAGACCAGACTTAATAATGATACAAGGAAAATAAGTGAAATGTCATTATCAATACAAATAAAATATTTAAAATTAAATTTAAATTTATAATTAAGTCGTTGAAAATTTATCTTAAAACTTCAAAACAAATAATGATGAATCCCTATTCTTCCTGCTTCCAACTACTTAAAGTTTTGAGGGCATAAAAAAATATATTTGAAATTGGATTTTTTTACAATTTTTTTCTTGAACAAATAACTTGAATTTTAGGGCCAATATGAGGCATTATGTTACTAATTCTATTGTATAAATAATGGTATACATATTGTCTGTGACAATCCGCAATCCACAATCCACTATTCACAATTACTGACATACATTTCAAATTCATAATCTCAAAATTTGGTCCAAATGTCTGCAGATTGGCGCAACAAGGTTAGCGGTAGATGATGCTTACCTTCTACATAGAGGTCGCAACTGGTGATGGCATCTCCACAACGGCAGGTGTACTCGCCCTCGAGATCGGACTGAGCATCAGGGAACTTGAGAATACATCTGTTCTCTCGCCTCTGAATCTCATATATACCCGGGGTGTACTGAAACACAAATACCACGTTGAATACTTTATCCAGGATTTTTTTTTACAATTTTTTTTTTGAATGCATCATTTTAAAAGTGTTTAGACATGCTATGAAAGTTACCAAAATTAGTTTTTGAAAGTGTATTTTTGTGAATTACAAAACATAATATATGTAGAACAATGGTCTAAATCATATCAACAATTCTGATAACTTTCATGATATATTCAAAGGTATTCCTAAACATTTTCTATAATTGAAAAAACCCCTAAACAAATATGGAATTTCAATATCTCTAGTCAGTACTGTGAATGATAATAGATTATAAACACAATAGCCTCACTAAAAGTCACAACCTTTAATACCTGAAATGCAACAACATGCTATCACAATCATATTTACTAGAACTGACTCATTTATCAGTGGATTAAGATGACGGATTAATCAATAGATGATTGATGACTGATCCACAAAATCAATACTATGAATAAATTCATAAACTATCATTTACCAAAACTTGTAATACCGTATTCGATGTAATAAGCGCCCACGGCGATATTTGCTAATATATTTGCTAGTGAACAATCCCAATAAGCGTCCCTTCCGATTGATAAATGTACACAAGACTATTTATTCGTGCATAAATACGTTTGTTATATGCACTCTTAATTATGAGCAATTAAATTCTGGAAAAATATATCTGTCGTAAATAAACATTTCAGGCTGTCAGCTTAAACCACGAAATTTACGATCTTTCATCTCTGTTGTTTTTCACCAAAATAATATTCTAATAAGAGCCTCTATTTCTAATTTTGAGAGCGCCCTGGGCGCTTATTATGTCGAATACGGTAATCAACTTCAGAACATATTATGTCAAAATCTTAAAATTAATTATCAATATTATTTGTAACAATTATGAATATGAAATAATTTATTACTGATATAAATGCAGTCATTAATATAAGTATTTGGTAATGCAGCCCTCAGTGCTCTTTAACCCATATTGTTACAAAGTACTTTCTCTATTCATGGTCAGTGTATCTTGCAACCTTCACAAACTATACACTACAGGCCTATGCAAGATAATATCTATATAGCTCTCACACTGATAAGCCAACGGAGAAATATTCATGTGTACATTAATATACAAGATCATATGACCTCTTCATTGTGTGGCTAACAAAGCAAATACTAGTGCGCCTACGTCAGTGTCAATTCTCCTGGAGTCAATGGGCCATTGAAACGTGTGCTTGCTTTCCGTTATTTGTATTGAAATCAAGATAAAGTGATCGGTGCAGTGAGGCGTGACACTGGAGAAATGACAGCCAGGCGACGGTCTCCGTTGGGGGTGGGTACATGTTTGCATATACCCAGTATAAGTGCGTCCTGACTCTACCTGACTGTTTGCATTAGCAACACAGTCAAACATGGCCGACGTCCAGTCACTGTCTTGTCACACACTGTGATTTCTCAAATCATTTCTATGATTGAAAAAGTGAGAGTTGGATTGTTTTGAGGATATGGAATGATCTCAAAGGGGTTTATGTGTTTAAAAAGAACATGTATAATGAGCTGAGATTAGCTGAGATGAGCTGAGATGAGCTGAGCCTGAGAAACAATGTATGGAATATATCATGACCACCCACTGGAGCTCCGGGACCCCCGGGGGAGGAGGGTCAAAGAAAGGGTAAGCCACAGAACAATTACCTTAAATAAATTTCAAAATTTTAAAACACATAAGAAATTCATTTTTTCTCTCATAGGACATTATTTCTATTGAGTTTATTGAAGATCTTCTAAAGAAATGGTCAACATGTAGCACTTATTTGGTTTAATAAATTTATTTTCAAATTTTTCCTCAAAAACAGTAAATTCTTTTGGTTGTATCTTTACAAAATTGTTAATGCTTGGGTCTGTACACAAAAAAGTGACTGCTTTGGTCTTTATATAAAAATTGTTCACACGTGGGTTTGTGTACAAAATAGTGAATACTTTGGCGTCTTTACAAAATTGTTAATGCTTTGATCTGGATACAAAATAGTGAATACTTTGGTCTTGATATAAACTGAAAACTGAAACTGAAACTGAAATAATTGATTTTCGAAAGAAACCCTTCTTAACTTATGTTTCATCATGTAGTCAAATATTTGAAGATACCATTATTTAGACACCAAGTGTTGAAAGTAAATTTATTTGTTTCAGAAAAGGAGAGAGAGACAGAGAAAATTGGAAGCAATGCACAGAGACGATGACAGTGACGACTCGCTATACCACAGTGCATTGCTGGACGGCCTTGACCTTGATGGTGTTTTGGGTCAGCAATTGGTCATGTGGTCATACAAAGACCCAGACACCCTCAACCTCTATACACCAGTCATCAGCGATGACATATCCACGATTCTACGGCTGACCAAGGAGACGCTTCAGTACGACCAACGAATACACAAGCTGATGATGCTGAAACCAGGAACCAACCATCCCATGGACATCTCCCAGTTCTACAAGGTGGAGCCTGGAGCTGCCATCTTGATAATGCCCAAGGAGTTGGTGACGGTCAACATTGAAATAAAACAGCTGAACATGAAATTTGCAATGGAGGTGGAATTATTTATGACAGTTCTGCAGTTGAAGTTTCGACTCCAACAGGAGCGCGGCTTGTCCATGGAGCGGCTTGATTTATTGTTCAAGGATCAGCCATTAGATAATAGACAATACCTGTTCAACTATAGGATAGGGAAGAGTTCAACTATCTTTGTCATGGTGCATATACTGTATGATATTTTAGTCCACGTTGAGACGTTCTGGGGCAGCACATACCATTTGTATCTGGATCCATGCATGACAGGCATGAATGTTATTTGGACAGTGTTGCGACGAACTGTGACCAAGAACACCCCCGACATCATGGCCCTGTTTGACCTGTATCTCCCTAAACACACTCTAGTATTATACCACAAGAGGAAGGTGGTCAACTGGAGTACCTGCCTTGGATACTACCGAATAGATGACAATGATACAATTAAACTATCAACCATCGGACTCTACCACAAACTGAGCCTTCAGAAAATGCCAATTACTGATGATGCAGGCAAAGTTCACACTGTCAAAGTGTCTCAGTTTGACCGATGGTCGACAGTAGCTCTAAAAATGCATGGAATCATCGGGGTATCTGTGAATCTGATCCGCATCTTCAGAGGGGGCAGAGAGGTGGACTTTTCTGAATCACTTAAGAAACAAACATACAGGACACCACCTATCACTATGGATTTAAGCTTATCAAACGCAGATCCAGATATTTTGTACGGAGTCTCGTTGAAGTTCAAACTGGGTGATGATGTGACTGAGATCCTTAAAGTTTCATCCAAGAGATCTGTGCGAACAGTGAAAGCCATTCTGGAACAACTAGGTGTCCCGAACGCTTCAGTGTATGAAATGTACTTGGGTGACTATAAACTTTCAAATAGTGAAAAGATTGTGACAGCTGTGGAAGACCTCAGGACTCATATAGACCTGAAACTGACACAGTACCCAGTGTTCATCCATACAAACCAGAACGTCATCTACAAAATGCATGTGTATGCTCAGGAAACAGTAGCAGCCTTTAAGAAAAGGGTAGAGATGAAGTCAGGGTTGTCCCTTTCAAACTACAAACTAACATTAGCTGGTGAGGAGTTTGATGATGGGGATGAGCTTGCTGTGTTTGATACCAGAATAGGAATCAAATCATCTCTGTTCCTTAGGCCAAGGCTCCACTGTGATGTCTTCTTTATCTTATATGATAACTACCTTCTTAAGGTGAAGGTACCTCCCAAGCCAAAAGGTAAAGACATTAAACAGCTTCTATGGAAAGAGATGGCTCTCCCTTCAGGGGCTCTTGCTTCTGTAGGAACTTTTCTCCAATGGTACTACACTGGCCGAAGCAGTCCCACATTGGCTCATGGTGGAAGAAGAGCTAGAGAAGCTCCTAGAGGGTACCATTTTGTCGACCCCTCTGCAGCCTTGCGTCCACAACAGGTTGAGGACTACGAAGATCTGCAGGATGACATGAGACGATTCCACAGGAGGAAGGAAGATTATGAACAAACTTACCCCTACAAACCAGTGAAGGCTGAGGCTGATCCTGTCATGAAGATGTTCTATGAGAAGGAGAGGTTGTTTGAAAGACATAAGGGAAGATCGTTCTCCTATCCTGCCAAGGTCTTCCCATCTTACGAATCAGTCAAACAGAAGAACAAACATGCTAGGAAACTCAAAGGTCATGGATCAGCGGATGACTATGAGAGGAAGAGGCTGAAGAGGAGAGCTCATGGCCAGCCTAGGTGGTACCACAGCTTGGAGAAGAGGAGGGACAGAAAGTTGGTAGCTCCTCGTGACAAGGAGGAAGCCTACTACTTAAAGAAACTAAGGATGTGAATAAGGCAGGTTCAATGCTTAAATTAGTCTTGGAGAGAGACACCATCACATCTATCAAATATTTCTGAAGAGCTTCCCTCAACATGGTACTTGATTCAGTTTGACTCAAAATCAGGGTAGGATTGGTGGAGAGGGATGGGTTGGTGGTCAGAGGTCAGTGGTCAGTGGTCAGTGTGGACTTGCTATACAGATCACTTCTGTTTGGTGTCCATTATTGTCACAATGTGAGAAGCCTGTCCATATTAGTGCAAATGTGAAACTACAAACAAGCTCAAGTATTTGATGGATGGAATCTTAGATATGATAAATCAAAGATCATTAACATCAACTGCTGAAAGGTGAAGACAATATCAAGTGTGTGAAAACATTTCCCGTATTGGTGCACGGTCGGGAATCATTTCACCGAGGTCAAGGTCAAACCGTGAAGACAAATTGATGCCCACATGGTGGAGGGTATTGGAGGCTGAACTTGTGCATGTGAGTCATCAGTTGCTGGGATTTAGTGCTTAAAACATTCACAATCCATAGGACATTTGTTCGATGGATACAATGTGTTGTTAAAGTCATTCTTGTGTTTTGTGTCATGGCATTGCAGGGATATTGCAAAAAGTGGTGCAAAATTTTTTTTGTTTCTCTCACTCATACAACTATTAGCCAATCCAATAGTATCAAATTGTGCAGGGTTCACGTGAAATGTCGAAACACAACATTATTTTTTACATGTGCAAGATGGGAACTGTTCAACACGTGATTGCACCTACTTGCCCAAGTAAGTGTTCGGGATTACAGACAACATATTGTGGTCTCCATTGGAATGGTTATTGTAAATCAAAATATACTAAGGTGAAAATGATCAAAATAAACCGTGCTAACTTATAAAAAAAATATATGAGATAAATGAAAAAACTAGCATTTTTTTTACTGGGTTCACATTTCATAAAAACTTTGTCATTTCATCTGAATTAACAATAAGTATCAAATCCAATGTTGCATTTCAAGAAATGTGATTGATAAAGAATGTTTGTTTGATTCCAATAACCTTTCCAAACAGAAGACCAGTGATAGATTCTATGTTGTATTTAGAACCTTAAGTCTCTAACAGGAAAACCAGTATGAATGTGTAAGAAACACATGTTCATAAATATAACAAATGTGAACAGTGTGAGGTTAGACATCTAGATATTCACATTGTACTTACCTTGATCTGAATAGTAAATATGTAAATAGCATGTTAATAAATGTAAATAAATATGAAAAATAGTCATGGTTTTATTTGTACAAAATTAATTAATTAATGTATTAGACTGTGATATATGATGAGGTGTGAATCAAAGTGGCTATATATATATATTTTTAAACACCATCCATTATTAAATATACTTATATGTTCTTTGTCTTAAACTGTTTTAAAATCTCAGATTTGTAGCTCAGTAGTTGAAGTGTTGGCTTTTCATGACAAAGACACAGGTTTGAGTTCCAAAATGGATGCAATGTGTGAAGCCCATTCTTGGTATCCCAATTGCATGGATCGATGCTCATGATGTCCACCACTGGATTGTCTGTTCTAGTTTTGATTATTTACAGACCACCATCATATAGCTGGACTATTGCTGAGCGCAGTGTTAAACAACAAATAAACAAAAACTACACCTACACCAAGATGTTGCTGGAATATTCCTAAAAGGGCATAAAATCCTACTCACTTGCTTAATAAAGGATTCAGTGGTGTCATTTTATGATTAAAATATCTGAATTATTATAATTTTCATTTAACTGTCACACCACTGATCACTGAAGAAAAAAAATAATTCCAGTCAAGTGTTCTGTTTTCAGTACATTTTCATTGGTTGTATTTTCATATTCCCTCATATTTAACAAACTGCCCGAGCTCATCATCATCATCCTCACCATCATCAATGCCGTGAATGCCCTTAATTGCCCTTTAAAGTGATCCTTTTAACCATTCATTGTTCATTACACTGATTGTAGAGTAGAACATTGTTTGTTTGTTGTTTAATTAAATATTCAAGTACATAGAAATTATGAAACGGATCTCAACCAGTATTCTTATACATCAGAAAGTTCCTTGTCCTAAAATATTTTTTAGTGGTATTCAAGAATGTTACCTCCAATGCCTCGTCTCCCTTGTACCACTTGACCCTGGCCCTCGGGTCAGAGATGAAACACTCCAGCATGCCCATCTTCTTCCTGGTGATCTCATGGTGCTGAGGCAACTTCTGGGTGAAGTAGTACTCAGGCTCCTTGGCTGCAAGGTCAAGGACACATCACAATTAGCCAATCAGAAAGCAGCTTTCTGTACATTTTGTAAAACACTTGGATTTATTGAAAGCAAAAGTAAGTTTATTATCATCACCAATCTGCACTGTGAGTAACTAGGTGCAGGGGCAGAGTTCAGCATTTTTAAAACCGAAGGGTCCAAAATATCAATATCCTCCGATAATTTAACTTTCAGTAACATACTACTTTTGGTTTTCAAATGGGAGGGGTGTGGGTGTCTGGCTCCCCTGGACCCCCTGAACACCTCTCTGAATCAATCCGCCTATGGTTTGGTAAAATAAAACAGTAACACGAGAGCATAACCAGTCTCGATATGTGACGAAATAGTTTCCATGGGGTGTAAAAGGATAATATATAGTGGTGAAAATGATATGAATGGATCACTGAAAATCAGTGATAAAACCAGGTGTTTCGCAAAATAACCAGTCATTGAAACTGTGCAAATAACATTGACTGGGGTGTATAAATGTTATTAATCTGAAAAATAACATTTTTTTCCCAGTTTTTGCCCAGCAATAGGTGTAGACTGACAAGCGTTCAAAATTCACACTGGTCTGGTAGCCCGAGACTACTAAATTGTACTGAGGACAAGCCAAAACCCAATGATAGTAGTCCTCACTAACGAGTAGCTTTTGACGGAAATGATCCTGAACCAGTTCTCAATTTGCTAAAAATTTGACACCCGTGAAGATCCAGGTTAGATTTGGTCTTCAGCAAACCATGCTTGTCTTAAGAGGTGACTAATGGGATTGGGTGGTCAGGCTCAGTGACTTGGTTGATGCATGTCATCATATCCCAAGTGTGTAGATCGATGTTCATGATGTCAATCACTGGATTGTCTGGTCCAGAGTCGATTTTTTTACAGCTGTCAAATAGCTGGAATATTGTTGAGTGCTGCTTTAAGAACAAAACAAATGACAGGAGAAAATAGTTTTGTCTCATCCAAGCAGGATGATCCAGATGCTGAGGACTGTTGAAATAAGGTTTCAACCAGTCTTCTGAAAAGGGGGGCATGGGTGTCCCAGTCGTCTAAGGCGCCACGATTCGCTGTGCAGAGTTGCGTCCCTTGGACACGCCAGAAACCTATGATTGTGGGTTCGAATCCCGGTTCGCCCTGATTATGTTTCTAGGTTTATCAGCACCATACCCGTGCTCGTGGGTTTCACCGAAGTGGTAAACGTCTTAGACCTGCATCACTTCGGGCTTTCTTCCCACATTAACCTGACACGCCGCGATATAACTGTAATACTGTTAAAAGCGGCGTTAAACCCAACTCACTCACTCCCTCACTCCTCTGAAAAATTATGAAAAGAAACAGATTTCTAAGGCTTCTCACCTTCCACATACAGCCATCCTGACGTGGTGACATCGTTGCACTGACAGGTGTACTTGCCACCGTCCTCTGGTTTCACATTGTACAGCTCCAGTTTGTACTCATGATCGTCATTGGTCAAATGATATTTATGACCATGGAAAACATCCATCTTGTTTTTGAACCATCGCACCTGGGCATTTGGTTTGCAGAATTCGCACGAAAAGGCGACACGTTCCTTTCCTTCGATACACTTGACATCATCCAGCTCTTTCAAGAACTTGTCTGGTTCCTGTTGTCAGAAAAAGTCTTTCTTCATCATATCAAAACAAGAAATTAACTAAGGGTGTAGAGATGAGGATGTAGCTAACATGTATGTTATTTTCTTATTGTATAGTATTGTATTCTGGTGAAAATATTTAAAAAATACAAAAACTATTGCAATTGAGTTGAATTAACACATGATATTCTTAACCATACAGAGCTATACATTTTATGTGATCTCAAAAAGGAAAAGAATAAGGCTTTAATATTTCAAAATAAAAATTATTAAAAAACTGAAATCTAAACTGTGCCAGTGAAGTATCACCTTGATCTTGTTGTACTATTGTTCTTTAGATATGACAAAACATGATTCAGTCGACTCTCGTTAAGTTTCACACCAAGGATGGAGCCAAAAGAATACATGTATAAGCATTCCGATTGACACATGGGTGTTTACAATTTTTTGTAATTAAAATTCACAAAAAGACTCTGTAAATGATGATGAATTGTGTACATGTCTCTCAATTTGTTTGATAAGATGGTCAGTTGCTAGGTGCTGACATCAAACACCGGGAGTATTTGCATAAAATGTTTGCATCTGGTTTAGCGAATAATTTGCCAACAAAAATTATCAATGAAATGATTCCCTACTTTCATGATACCACTAAGAAGGACCAAATTAAAACTTTCTGTTTTTTTTCTAGTCATCTTGTTTCTACTTAACGAGATTCGACTGTTTTTGATTAACAATATTTCATGTGTCTTGTGATGGAGGACAAACATTCTGTGCATCAGGGATGCGATAGGTGAATCTCAATCTACATCCAGAAGGAATAGAAGCTGAAAGTAAGTATTTACAGTAAAAAAGCTTTGATCTAGCTAACTATATACCAACATGCATTCTAAAACTGAAAATCTTTTTCCTAAAACGATTTCAAGTATCTAAAATATTCCATAACCAAACACTAGTGTAAGAGTTACCAACCCTGCTTCAAGGACACATCAGACCGTGGCAATAAAAAAACAAACAGAACATGCAACCTACCATATTTAAGTTAAGTGTTCTAATACAATAGTTGCATTGTCAAAGTGAGCTGATGTCATGGGTCTTCATAAAAAAGACATGGTGTCATTTTTTTAACATTACATAAAAATAATCATCAGCTTGTTCATATTCGCATCCTCTCAGATCAAATATCCAATGTATCAAATGATATCACAAAGTGTTTAGAGCAATTAAACTATCAATGAAAACTTTTTGCATTTTATCCAAGTTGTCCTAGATGAATGAGCTGGTTCAGCACATCGTCAGAATTTTATACCACTCACTGAAGGTGAGCTGTTGTACCTTTAGTGCTCTGACCATTAATATCATGTAGTGTTTAGGAGTATTTGGTCAAACTGAACTAGATACATAGACTGGAAGCTAGTCCTCTCTGCAAGGTTAGTATCTCCTATCCTGCTTACCTGATACACAAAACAACTTCCTGTTCCAAGGGAAATAACTCTTCATGCACATATGTTTTGGATATACACAATATCTACTATGCTATGAAAATAGATTTAACCATGCACATTTCCATCTGCATCGTGCAACAACCTTTTCATTTGTGCATAATTAAAATCTGCCATATTTCATAAACCTTGGAGGTTTCATTCTGACAATAAGCGGTTGAAATGTCATGCTGCTCTGATACTTACTAATCCAATGAAACATTAAACATAATGAGTCGCCCTTTGGTAAAGAAACAATTGCAGAACATATGTGACTTTTTTAGAAGAAAAAACAACAGTCAAGTGTACAATGTTCACCAAGAGCTCTGAATCTCAAGTACTTCATTGGCTTCCTGTCCAAAAGCACATAAATTTTAAACTCTCTTTTTCTATCAGTGCCACTCAAATCTCTATGACCTTCAATCCTACACTCCATCCAGATCCATCCGTTCGGAAACACGATGACTGCAAATTGCGCCTGAGGTTAAACTTAGCAGTTATGGACAGCCATCTTTGTCTAAATTAAATTAAATTAAGAATTTATATAGCGCATTAACAACTGCTCAAATGTGCTTAGGGCATGATTGATTTGTCAAAGGCTCTCTTGAAGAGACAGGTTTTGAGTGTCCTGTCAAAGTTTGTCAGATTTTCTGTTTCTCAGGTTTCTTGTGGCAGATTGTTCCATAGCATTGGGCAGCATGTTGAAATGACCTATCGCCATATGTTTTGGTATGTGCCACTAGGAGACGTTGATCTTTGATAGGAGAGAATGTGCAGGCTTGTATGGTACTATCAGTTCCTGTAAGGATGGGGGGCACGGGTGGCCCAGTCGTCTAAGGCGCCGCGATTCGCTGTGCAGAAACCCATGATTGTGGGTTCGAATCCCGGTTCACCCTGATTATGTTTCTAGGTTTGTCAGCACCATACCCATACTCGTGGGTTTCACCGAAGTGGTAAACGTCTGAGACCTGTATCACTTCGGGCTTTCCTCCCACATTAAGCTGACACGCCGCGATATAACTGGAATAGTGTTAAAAGCGGCGTTAAACCCAACTCACTCACTCACTCCTGTAAGGATGCAGGAGCCAAACTATGTATGCCTCGTAAACCAGAGTGAGGATTGCACTCTTTGTTGGATTGACAGCCAGTGCACTTCAGTCAACATTGGAGTGATGTGTTCTCAAGGTCTTCTTGTCAGAATTCTCCAAGTGTATTCTGAACACGCTGTAGGTTTTCTGCATCCTTCTGTGGTATGCCATTGAGGGGGAATTACAATAATCCAACCTGGAGACGACAAAAGCTAAGTCCATGCAGAGCCTATCAATGGAACAATCTCCCCCAAGAACTTCGCAACTCAGAACCCTAGTCTACCTTCAGAACTTCAGCAAGACCTATCACTTCTGCCAAACCTTTGAACTTTTCTTTTCTCTGGCACTTTGAGCATGACATCCAGCATGGAAGCGCCATACAAACGGGGACTATAAGTATGTTATTATCATTATTATTTTATAAGCATTTCTTCATCTATCCATGAACACTTATCACATCTTGATTGATGTCTCTGGAGGAAGGAAATATAACAAATATGTTAGTAGGGTCTATATGTGCAGTCTGGAAGAAGCTGGTGTACACTGACAGCATAATGGTAAGAAATAAAGTAACAGCCGACAACATCAAGATAAGTTAGTTTTTGGCTTGTGAAGTTGTGTATAGGTGCAAAAGGGTTGTTAGGTTAGATTTCTCGACATATATTGTGACGATTTTTCCAGGTGAAAATACACTGTTAGTTTTTGAGTATCTAGTGTTATATTGTCAATTAGGGTGTGACACTGTCGATATTTATACCTCTTTAATGACGTGTCGCTTTGACAGCGTAGGCCAATCAGGAATACATTCTGCTAACGATGCCCTACGCATTTGCATTGATGCCCTACGCGTCTGCTGTTCGAGAGCCTCCAGCTTTTCAGCAGAAACTTTCTTTACGGGCGCCTCCAGTTCAACTGACTGTCTGCGAGCTGAATCCTTCTGCTATTGATATTAACAAGACAATCTGGTTACGGTTCATGATCATGCATATTTGTGCTCATTTGAGCTGGGTTAGTAAAATGATATAGAATCAACTTCGGCCATTTAACCTGAAATGCAAAAAGCGCTGGGGATCACCTTAGCAGCAGCAATGTTTGTTTTAAATTTAAAGAATATTTTCAATTATTCAAATGAAAATATATAAATGCAATTCAGAATTAAGAATTGTACAATTTACTTGAAGTTTATTACAACAAATATATTATTTGATTATTTCTAAAAAAATAGTTTTCAAATACTTTTGCCATAATCCTGAAAAAGAATTGAGGATAAAATTCTCTACAGGATGTTTCTAGTTGCTTCTAAAAGCTTACATTTTAGACAAACAGACAAATCATCTAAAAGACAAATATTTCTGTTCTAATGCATCTAAAACACAACACTACTGCCCTATGTCCCCCATAGATGCCTCTGTCATCAATGATGAGGGAATAGCTACCGCTGCATCCTCACAACTGAGGGATGAGGATGTCCTTTCAGGCATCAGGATTGAGCATCATTACATCCTAAGGATGAAGATCAAAAGGTTCTTCAGCTCACACAGAAGATGGAAGAAACTGATTATCAGGAAAGGGTTTTTGACCTAGCTGTCATGCTGCAGTGTTGATGCAATGATCACTTAGAACAAAAAAGTATATTTCAAAGCTTAGAACTGAAGCAGAATCACATCCCCAAAGGATGAGCTCAAGAACCTTGTAAACCCTCATAAATGAGGGTTTCCTGAAAGAAAAATGTCTGGCCAAACTGGTAGTGCACATATTTTACCAAGGCCACACACCAAAGAGAGGTATGCCCTTCAACTAGGCCAAGCACTCTAGGAAAGAGAACACTAACACACATATCATATGGTCACACACCAAAATTGGGCTAAAACATGAAAAGCCAACATTTCTAGATGCCTAGGTAACATGGAGCCCTAGTCTAGATTTAACCTTGTTTAGCTCAGCAAATTCAGTCGACACTTCTATCCGCTCCACTTTTTCACGTCGAGTGTATGTGAACCTTTCCCTTTCATAGCGCTCCTTTCAGAGTTGGAAGAAACAAAAATATGTTGGGAGCTTTGTGTTATTGGTGTGTGAAGAAATCACAGAGGGAAGCTGCATCAAAATTGAGGATGCTAGTATCAAAGACGAGGAAGATGCTGAAATATCTGTAACAGTGTTGTTGAAACACAAACCTTCCAAAAGATTTTTTTCAATTTGTTTTCCAATAAAGTTTCTTTTTTGATGCAGCTTGCCAGGGCAAGTGAGATGTTAGATGATGTGGAATAAGAAAAGAACTCTGTGAATTATGAAAAGATTATTATGATATCAATATATAACAATGGATATTTTGTAGATTTTTAGCCAAAAATATGATTGATTTTTTTATTTTGACTACAGAATCACAATTTATTAAAAAAAGGATTCAGATGAAAAATTCTAAGTAAATATATAAATATAAACACAAAAGATTTGATTATGTTCTTTCTGATTTTCAATGTAGGTGAAGGTTTTGTTAATGTGGAAGCTGTTACTGAAATAAAGTGCTGTGCATATTAAAACTACATTGTGATAAAAAGGACATGAAAACCAAGTGCAGAATTAAAACTTGTCCGTATGGGACTAAATATTGTAAAAACGGGTAAAACTGTACATAATATGAAATGAAAAGATTAAGAGAAGCCAGATGTTAAGGTATAACAGTGTATGGGAACAAGTGACTGGTATTCAAGGGGGTGCAAGTATGACAAAAGTATCAGTCATGGGTAAACCAAAAGCTTAAAAAATAATCAAATATGACCAATATTGAGAACAGGACATGTTAATGGTACTGCAGAGAGAGAAATGGAATGTGATCCTGACAATGTTAATTCTGTGGAATGGAATCAGTGTGCATCATCTGTCAATCTTGAATGTCATTCAGACCAAGCCTAAAATTGTTTTATCAGTCACAAGTGCAATCACAATCTAGTCTAAACTTATGGTATTAAGTCAATTTGAAGAAACTGATTTCTAAGATTTAAATTTCAACATTCTAACTTAATAATTTTATCCTCTGTCTTACAGGGCTCGATTCCACAAAGTGACCCTTGCGCTAAGGTGATCATACTCCCATACGGTAACACTGACTTATGATCAGCGCTAAGATCGCTTTGTGGAACAGAACCCAGGGCCACAATAGTTTAATGTGAGCTTGTCATTCCTTTCTAAAATCACGAGGTTCCACGCCATAAATGTGATTACTGGTACTGTCAATATGTTTCTTTTTCTGTTAGTTTTAAGCAGGTATGATTCCATTGCACGTATTGGTCTTTGCAAGCTAGACAACATCAGCTCCAGCAGAGAGAGATATAAAGTATTAGATGTAGGCAAAGCTCCCACCATTGCCATCAGCCTGGGACCAGCTGGAGGAACAGTTTGTCTGTTGTCCTTGCTGTTCAATCAGTAAATTCTATATCATTTGTAATTTTTTAAATCATTGCTACAACAATGAAGCTCTCCTGGTTGAACAATATTTAATTCAATTCGAACAACTAAAGTTATCCAGGTCAGCTTCTTAAAACAGCAACAGCGAGCATCAGATCCAAATGCCCTAAATTCATTGGGGGGAAATTTTGAAAATGGCAAAGGGTGCTGGTTTAATCTGGTCAAAATTTTAAAATTATGAGAGAAAAACTGGCTGAAGCATTGTGTTTCAGTAAATTGAAGACCAATGAAAATATCAACCAGGGGTGCTAAACTTGCTAGCATTTATTATCATTATTATCATTATGTCAACATCTGAAAGTCACATCCATGTTTCAGGTAAATTAATACAGTTACAATGAAATCTAAACATGATATATAAATAAATACTCTTTAATTAAAAAAATATCCATATCACTCTGATAATGAATATTGATTTCTTTCATTTTATACCAATCAAAGAATATTTAACAATCAAAAATGACTTACTGTAAGATCAACACACATTTATATCTAGACAAGATTTGCCTTTTTTCTGTAATCATCATTTTTTCAACCTATCTGTATTTAGTAGACTAACATCAAGTCTCTGAAATGAACATATTTTACAGAAAATTTTATAAATTTTATAGTTATAAAATATAATAAAAAGGAGCCCAGAAACTTTCTTCATTTTCAGAATGAATACTACAGTAATCTAGACTTGCCAAACATTGCATGGGCTGTATTAGATATATTTGTTTCAGGGTCTGTATGACAGACTAGTATGGAAGTTAAATGTATGAATATGAGATTAGAAATGATCTTCACTCAAGGTTCACACCATCTGGCACATGGTTGTGTTTACTTGTGAACACAAACGAGTAACACAAGATGTTAGGGGGCCAGTGTTGAGCATCTTCGCTCTGAAGTCACTTTTGGATCCACAGCAAAATTGAATCCCAAACTGCCAACAATCTGTAATACTTGCCTTCTCTTCTTCGCTATCACTTCCCTCGGCCTTCTCCACCTTCTTCAGCCCCTTCCTCATCATCTCGATCTGAGACAGGCGGCGGCCCTTTTTATCCACTAGCCAAGAATATTTACATCAATTAGTGACAATCCAACAACAATATCAACAAAATCGCAACTGCTTTTTTGACATACAATTGACATTACAGTGGACAGAAAGAGACGATTATGAGTACTGATTAAATGCCTTTCAAAAACATCCAAAAAGGAAACAGAATTTTATATTGTCTGAATATAACTGAAATATTGAACATAGTGTTGGCACAAGTGATATGGATTCCGTTGTAAAATATTGGTACTGAAACTATTTTAAATATGTTTTAACTTGGAACTAGATTAAACTCGTGATTATTCTCCTCCAGTCTAATTCCATCACAAACTACATGTGTGCAAGTGTGCATGTTAACAAAATAGCTGTGCAGTGTAAATATTTTGGAATCAGTTCTTATTTTTCTCTACGTAAAATGGCACTTTGCACTGGTCAAAATTAGCAGGACATAAAGTCAAGCACTTCATTGCAAATGAACCAACATAAAAATAACTAAAAAGGGATCAAACTAAATAATACTATTCTAATTAATTTAAATTTACAATGACATGGGATGACATGTGAGGAGCTTGATTCATAGGATGATAAATGCATGATACAAATTGATTTGAAACCCGTATGTGGGAGTTATGATTGTTTGAGATTACAGATGGATGGGTACCAACTGATTCAGGGAGTGAGTGAGTGAGTTTGGTTTTACGCCGCTTTTAGCAATATTCCAGCAATCTCACGGCGGGGGACACCGGAAATGGGCTTCACACATTGTACCCATGTCGGGAATCGAGCCCGGGTCTTCGGCGTGACGAGCTAACGCTTTAAACACTAGGCTACCCGACCGCCCCACTGAATCAGGGAACTACAGGTATATGTTCCAATCTGGTAAAGCTTTCCTCAATTAGAAACCTTTCTTTTCAAAATATTAACACAGCTGCATTGTCTTTCTTAAATACCAAATTGATAGTAAACATAAAATATTGGCGCAAGAGAATAGCCAGTTTGATTATCTACCGAAACAGATTCCATTTGGTGTAAAAGACAAAACAGCTGTGAAAATGATATAAAAGGACCACTGAAGATCAGTGACAATTTCCATTATTTCCAATAACATATTTATCAAAATTCAGATAGGAGATTTTTCATAGACCAGTTGCAAGAAAGTTTGATTTTTAAACTCCATTCAAAATACCAGTATGTCCATCATGACGGATCAGTACTTCAATAACAAGACATGTTTTATCATTCAATGCCATGTCAATAGCAAATTAACATTTTTTAGTCAGGGTGACCTTGAGTTAAAAGGATATGCAAACAGCTATCAGATATCCTGACGTGGCAATGATTTAGTACTGACCAACACAGTTAACAATGCTATACCTCGATCAGTGTCCTATGTTATTGTTTAATACAAGTAAAACCGCTAAAGATGGGAACGGTGAACAGAATACACCTACATGATGGAGAGACAACACAACAACGATGTGATGAGATTATAAAACAAAACAAAAATATACATAATATGGTTACAACCGATGTTGCCAACATCATCGCCAATAAGGCTACCACCAGTTACTAAAAGAATTTGATAACTGGCATTAAATAAAAGCGACAAATTTCCATAATTATAAGAAATATGTGCTAAGAGTAGAGTCCATTGTATGATTCTGACTATATCTTAAACATGTGTTTACAAATCACTATAAAATAGTGATGACACTAGGTGTTCGCGAAAAGGTGACATTCTGCACCAATGGCGCCACCTGTCACATGCTACTACTTGAATGTTGTACAGAACAACGATATTGACAAACATGAACTATGAAAGCTGCCAATGTGGATGGTTGCAAGGTCGTCTTGTTAAAATTGATTCTGAAACTCAAAGTGAATGGTTCCCAATAAGGTAATGTTGGCAACAAGGCAATAGTGCAACTGAAAGATTGACCATCTAGTACCATCAATGTTGGAAACATGGCATCAATGTAACATAAAGATTGACCATCAACTATGGTCCATGTTGGCAACAATGTAACAAAGATTGATCATCAATTACCATCAATGTTGGCAACATGGCAACAATGCAACAAAGATTGACCATGAAGTACCACAATGTTGGCAACATGGCAACAATGTAACAAAGATTGACCATGAAGTACCACAATGTTGGCAACATGGCAACAATGCAACAAAGATTAACCATGAAGTACCACAATGTTGGCAATATGGCAACATTGATTGACCATCCATTACCACCAATGTTGGCAACATGGCAACAATGTAACAAAGATTGACCATGAAGTACCACAATGTTGGCAATATGGCAACATTGATTGACCATCCATTACCACCAATGTTGGCAACATGGCAACAATGCAACAAAGATTGACCATGAAGTACCACAATGTTGGCAACATAGTTACTGTAACCGTTACAGATATGTTACATTAAGACACACACTGACAACAGTCAGTTTAGTGCATACTGTCATTAGCACCAACAAGAAGGACATCACATACAACATGTATTATATACAGAACTTGTCAGCTGCAGCAGATATAAATCATAAGCCTATCTTGGCATGAAGGGTGGGTTTCGTTGGAGGTATAAAAAAGAGTTATTCAATATTATTTTCAAAAGGTGAGAAATATTATTCGTAATTAAACATGGTTAGAATTAGCTGTGGGTTGACATTTTGAAATTTGGATTAATGTGTAAAATTAAATGTTTTTGTAATTTTATGATTTCAAGTTTTAAGAAATGAAGTCAAACATTATAAAGTGTTCAAATATAAGGAAGAAATGTTACTTCTTTGTTCCTAATCAAGAATATTATTGGGTCGATTTTTGTAAAGAGAAAAGATTTATAACACCAGAGATTTATTAGTAATATTGTTAAGTAGAGATGTCAAGAATATTTAGCAGATTAAAGATTTGAGAATAAAATGAGATAGAAGACACATTATATTACCAGATAGTGCACACAAAAATGCCAATGTTTAGATTGTTAGAGACAGGGCTATAAAGAGGAGTTATCATATTATGTATAGAAAAGAAAATATTGGCTAATGGTCCTGCTAACTGAAGACATAAACATACATGAAGCCTACAAACATACAGACAGACAGACATACAGACAGACAGATAAATACCTTCCTCTGGAAGAAAGGAAAAAGACAAATGGAACATTATGTAGTTTTGTGCATTGGTGAAACAATAAATGTGCCAAGTTATTTAATTGATATAAAAAGCATTTGTGGACCACAAATGGTGTGTTGTATGATACAGTGTTGATATATTCATACAAAAAACATCATATGATACAAACTGCAATACATTGTGCAGTGAACATGAGCACATTGTGTCGAGCATACACATTGTGTTACGTGAGCATATTGTGTCGAGCATCCAGATTGTGTTGAACATGAACACATTGTGTTATACATTAATCTGATTGTTACGTGAGCACATTGTGTCGAACATCCAGATTGTGATGAACATGAACACATTGTGTTATACATTAATCTGATTATGTTACGTGAGCACATTGTGTCGAAAATCCATATTGTGTTGAAAATGAACACATTGTGTTATACATTAACCACATTGTGTTGGACATGAATAACACAGTGTAGAACACACAGAAACATTAAGGACAAGAGCACAAGGACATTCATGGACATTTAAGGACACAGAAGACAACAAAAGACTTCCATGAAAAAGCAGTACCCTCAGAATCCATGTACATTAAGAAGTTTGCAATGGTGAATTTCGGACATACATAAAAAAAAGTGTATCAACTTAAACTGAGGCTAGGGAGAATGATATCATAATAAGCATATCCAGTGATCACGATACTAGGAATGTTAACGACATATTCTTACAATGGTTAAACATACTATTCCAAAAATCAAATATGGATTTGTAAACAAGCAAACATTGCTTATATATGCTGCCTCAATGGAAAGGAAAAAAAAATTAAAAAAATATTGATTTAAAAAAAGCTTTTTCTTGTGGTCTGAAAGTTTGGATATTATCTTGTCATAAATACAATAACAACAAATTAAGATGCTCAATTTAATAGTCACCTTGAGCCATACAACCTGATAATATATTGAAAACATCTAAGAAAGATCAGTCTCAATTATCTGCTGAAACATTTCAGTGGGCTTAAAAAGGCAAAATAGTTGTAAAAATTATACGAACGGAGGACAGAAAATCAGTGATGACACTAGGTGTTCTCGAAAAAGGGGATCATGTCATAAGTTTGTTTGTTGTTAAATGCTGCACTCAGCAATATTCCAGCCATATGACGACAGTCTGTAAATAATCGAGTGATTGATATCATGAACATTGATCAACGCAATTGGGATCAATGACATGCATCAACCAAGTCAGTGAGCCTGACCACCCGATCCTGTTAGTCGCCTTGTACGACAAGCATAGTTGCCTTTTACGGCAAGCATAGGTTGCTGAAGACCTATCCTACCCCGGAATCTCCATGGGGCATGTCATAAGTATGATAGTTTCTTCCTAAAACTGCTAATAAACAAATTGTAAAAAAAAAAAAACTATAAAAAAAAACACTTTGTGGGTGGGAAACAACAGTGCTTCGGTGTGCATGAGAGTACAAGTGTGATGCATCTTAATCACTGTGTAATCTGAGTTGCAATACATAAAGGTCCTGAAGCTCACCTGGTTTGAGGTTTCCCCAGTCAAGGCTGTCATCCTCCTCCTCCTTCTTGCCGGTGTCCCTGAAAGGATTCAAACACATTCAAAACATCAAGTTTTGAAAAATCTGTATCAGTGATGAGTAATTGAGTTGCTTATCTCCACTTTGACCAGTTTTCCAGTTATACCATGACGTGTCAGCTTAATATGGGAGGAAAGCTCGAAGTGATGCAGGTCTTTGGTGAAACCCACAGGTATGGTGCTGACAAACCCAGAAACATAATCAGGGAGATCGTTTGGGCTCGTAAAACTGACTAAGCTAACATAGAGGGTACATTAATCCATGTGCCCCTCGGACAAGTTATTATATTACTTCTGTGAGACAAATACCTGTGTTTCAGGAGGGACCGGAAGTCCAGAGCGGAGTCCTTGGGATCTGAAATAAAACATACATATCACGTTTAACATTGTGAAGGGAGAACTGTTTAAACCTGCATCAGGTCTCTTAACATTTGGTAAATATTGTCTCTTTAGGATTTGGCATCATTTCTCCACATGAGCTGTACGGGCACTTCAGAGGTATGATCTACTCCTGTAACTTTAAATATAAATCATCAGAGCCAGAGAATAACCAGATTCCACTTGACATAATTCATATAACAAATCAGAAAAAATGTATAAATTCTGTTTGCTCAAGTCTTATAATGTTCCTGAAGCGACATTAATGAATAGCATACCATAAATGACCATATATGGCTGGCTTACCCTTAATGAAGACACTGACATTATCAGAGAGCTGGCTTACCCTTAATAAAGACACTGACATTATCAGAGAGCTGGCTTACCCTTAATGAACACACTGACATTATCAGAGAGCTGGCTTACCCTTAATGAAGACACTGACATTATCAGAGAGCTGGCTTACCCTTAATGAACACATTACTGACATTATCAGAGAGCTGGCTTACCCTTAATGAAGACACTGACATTATCAGAGAGCTGACTTACCCTTAATGAACACATTACTGACATTATCAGAGAGCTGGCTTACCCTTAATGACCACACTGACATTATCAGAGAGCTGGCTTACCCTTAATGAACACATTACTGACATTATCAGAGAGTTGGCTTACCCTTAAAGAACACATTACTGACATTATCAGAGAGCTGGCCTACCCTTAATGAACACACTGACATTATCAGAGAGTTGGCTTACCCTTAATGAACACACTGACATTATCAGAGAGCTGGCCTACCCTTAATGAACACAGTGACATTATCAGAGAGCTGGCTTACCCTTAATGAACACATTACGGACATTATCAGAGAGCTGGCTTACCCTTAATGAACACACTGAATGTTGCCTCGTCAGTTTTCATGCCATTTTGTTCCAGGATAATAGAGTATTTAGCCTCATCCTGGATGCGAGTCTTCTTGATCTCAAGATAGCAGTTGTTCTTATCTGACACAATGCTGGTACGTGTGTCCTCACGCACCTCTCTTCCTGCCCGGAATATACGCACACTTGGAAGTGGCTTCCCCTGAAGGTCCAGTTTGAACTTGACCATAAGATCCTTGCCTGTGAGAGAAGGGTAGATACAGTGAGGCATCTTGTATTGGGTGTCACAAATTGAAATATCTTTGTTTAGGAATTGGTGGTTGTATCATGTTCTAACATGTCAAAATACACGAGTCAATATGACCCATCTGTCAAATTCACGAGTCAATATGACCCATCTGTCAAATACACGAGTCAATATGACCCATCTGTCAAATTCACTTTACTGATCTGTCAATTTCACTATTCACTATACTGATCTATCAAATTCACTATTCACTATACTGATCTATCAAATTCACTATTCACTATACCCGTTTGTCAAATTCACTATTCACTATATTCATCTGTCAAACTCACTATTCTTTATACCCATCTGTCAAATTTACTATTTTCTATACCCATCTGTCAAATTCACTATTCACTATACCCATCTGTCAAACTCACTATTCAAAATACCCATTTGTCAAATTCACTATTCACTATACCCATTTGTCAAACTCACTATTCAATAAACCCATCTGTCAAATTCACTATTCACTATACTGATCTGTCAAACTTACTATTCAATAAACCCATCTGTCAAATTCACTATTCACTATACTGATCTGTCAAATTCACTATTCAATATACCCATTTGTCAAACTCACTATTCAATAAACCCATCTGCCAAATTCAATATTCAGTATACTTATCTGTCAAACTTACTATTCAATAAACCCATCTGTCAAATTCACTATTAACTATACCCATTTGTCAAACTCACTATTCTTTATACCCATTTGTCAAACTCACGATTCAATATACCCATGCTACATACCTTCTTGTACCACAACATTTCCCGGTTTCTCCGCCAGAAATGGTCCATCGCTTTTCCCCTTCGCTGACTTGGACATCCTTCGGCCATCATCCTCCTGCACAGGACATTTTAGCACATTGCAGAACATTGTAGCACATTGTAGCACATTGCAGCACATTGCAGCACATTGTAACACTACCACAAACTCATTTCCTGAGTATCATCATTTGTTTGTGTGTTTGCTTATTGGTTTTCACACCGCACTCAGCAATATTTCAGCTTTTTGCAGCGATCTGTAAATAATCAAGTCTGGGCCAGACAATCAAGTGATTGACATCATAAGCATCATTATGCACAATTGGGATACGATGACATGCATCAACCAAGTCTGACCACCTGATCCCGTAGGTCACGATGCATGGTCCATACTGGACCATGTCATACTGGACAGGCACACTTTGGACAGCTTACATTAAGAAAGAATATTGATCCCTCTTAATCCTGTTCCTCTTAACCATTTTGTTTGTGAATTTATAACAAATAATAATGAGTTCAATTGCGACAAGTATGGTATTGGCAAATTTCTAAGAGAAGCACATGACGAAAAGCTGAAAATATGATTATGAAGCTATTTCTTACCACATTTCATGTCATTCTGGAATGAACAACAAACAATGGAAAATATTATCATAGTTATGCAATGGACACTATTGTGAAAACTTGTGATCAATGGTTCTTATTTCATATTCATAATAAAGAAAAATATCTAGAAAAGAACATACATATTTTTCATATTTTTTAAATACAGACATTGTGCAAGAGGAGTACTACTAAATAATCCATATAAAGCATGTTTCAATGTACAAGTTTTTACTTTCTACAGCAATAAAAATATTCATTATTCTACATATATTGTCAAGTTAGTTATTCAATGTCTAATTTATAGATTTTCAAGTTCAGTTCCTAAGGTAAGAAATTAAACATCACTAAGAGAACATACTGATATTTAGGTCTGAACTGCAACCAAAACTATGACATGCAAATAATTTCATTATTTAATAACTGCAGTTGTTTTTCATATCTGCCTCCATAACAACTTACATTATTGACATTTGTAACATGTTGTGCCTCCCACCATTATGCCTAAACTTATTTGGACTCTTTTCCCCAAATAAGATTTGTTATTTTAGCTCTAACCATATGACTAGCCCAATCCTTACCTGAGGTATTCGTCAGAAACATTTTTCTTTTATCAACGTATATTCAATGTGGAACACAATATTGAAAGCCTCCATATATTGAAACAGAAAATTGATAGCATTTAAGAGGTTAATTTGTTTGAAAAAACAGTAGAACTGACTGGGACTTGTCCAATGAGCAGTACACAAGCAAAAACCAAATCTTGCTTCAACTTTCACATTTATTGCAAACTATTTCAATATAATAACTTTTGACCTTTCATGCCTAAAAAACTATAGTATGGAACAGAAGCCTTTGACAAACAGTCTTGGTATTTGTGAAGGGAGTTGTGAGGAAAATAAGAGATATTTCTGGTACCTGCTGGTAACTGATACTCCTATAAGAAGTTGGCAGGAAAGCGGCATTTGGTTTGTTGATTCTATACCCAGCGTGGAGAACATTGCTGAGAAAATCGACTACTTTGCCATGCAGAGAGATTACAGCATCTACATGATTGGTGAAGTTTTTGTCAGACACAGACATTTTGGTCTCATACAAACCATCGTAACATATTCTTAAAAACTGATTATATCTGTAAAATGAATTATGTGGACCCCAGCTGGGCACATGTCCAAATCCTATCATTGTTTGTTTATCTGTTGCTTACAGCAGTGTTTCTGGAATAGGATGTCAAAAAGGCAATGAAGTATACAAGTGCGGAAATAATCAAAAACAAATTTTCGGTAAATGTTTGAGGCCACCAGAGGGAAATGTGTTGACTAATGAAGTAGTCTGGGATTTGTTACTTGTTAAGCCGGCAAGTATCACATAAACAACATTCTTAACATCGCAGACTACAAGAGCTTCAAAATACCTTTTCTTGGCCATATATTTTTAAAACGATGTTACAAAAGCTTTCAGCAGGTCCTATTCTTAGAGCAATCAAGGACGAGAATGCAACTCTTTAAACATGATTTTTTTACACGGCGCATTAATTGGGTCTTTTTTCTGATATGTTATCAGTGCAGCTAAATAGTGGTTAGTAGCCATTTTGGTAAATCTGGAATTACAAGCAAACCATTGATTTTTAATTTCACAAATTTGGAACAAACTTTACATTAATATTCATTAGTATAATCAATGATTTACGCTTTACTACCTACATAATTGTGTAATTGTGTTTAATCCATATGGCATTCAGCATAACCATTATTAAATCTCCAAGTTTTCAAGTACATTTCAAGTCTATAATGTCAAGAATAATTTGGTTCCAGGAAGGTAGCACATGTTTCCCTTGTTAAGAAATCGTACTGGTGATATGAAGGCAAGACAGATATAGTCTGATCGAGACCACAAGCGCTCACATTCTTGACGCCAAGCCAGGAAAGCAACAGACTGCGTACACTTGCATGTATGGCCTGTGTATTGCGCCATCTTAATTATGTCAGTAATAATTAGTGCTGCCATTCATACTTATTCATTGCAACAGTAACATATGTCATCAGCAACATTTAGTATTAATGAAAAGTAATAAATAGATGATTATCCCAAATCTGTATTATCCCCTTTTTCCTCTACAAAAACCAGGGCTGCTATTTAAACTGACATTCATTGGTTATTTAAAGAGTTGACTGTCAAATACCATCCTTTCACAAGCTTACTAATATCTTAATGTTTTTTGTACATACTGAACAACTTAATGATATTTAATAATCAATAATGGAACTGCTTGTCCATTCTATTTTCTTTGATTTCTTTATATTTATTATTCTGGCTTTTATTTGAATTATTTTTTTTCATAATAGCAAGCTTTGTTATGCTGATCAAGTAATTAAACAATATAAAGAACAAATAGTAGCGTTGTAAATATATTAGTATATTCATTAATAAACATCAATACCTTGATCTGCTTTTAGACACTCACCAATATACTGATCCAATATGTATCCATATTTAAAAAGAAATCCAGTTGGTTGGGTTTCAGAGTTTAACTCCTTATAGTGTCCTATTTGTTTGATTTAGTTGTGCACTTCAAAATCATCAACTATCAATTTGCATAACTATCAATTTTCCATAATCACAAGAAATCTCTACTAAAAGCAGAGTCGATTGTACAACTCCTACTATATCAAAAGCATGTGTTTATGAATCACTAAAAATAGTGATGATACCAGGTGTTTGCGAAAGGCCATTTCTGTCATCGTTTGCCTCCTGAACATTTGTAGATTTGGTCCAGATTTGAGAAATATTCCTGAACTAAATATTTTCTTATCCAATCAGAAAAATGCTACTAACATTGAAAGTAATTAGACACTTAAATAGGAAATTATGTGAAGAAGACCCCCCATAACCTAATTTATTATCTGTAAATTTTAAATTCAGAAAATTGTGGCAGGCATCAAGAATCCACATGGCAAAAGAGTGACGTATTTACTGAAATACTTTTAATGGTATACTTGAACACAAGGATCTGGATTGGAAAATATTCATCACAAGCCATTCATAATTTTCTAATTCATAATGTAGGCAAAGTAATAGCTATGCACTTTTCACTTGGGTCACCATGACCTAAGCAAATACCTGACTCTGCAATAAATTATTACTTAAGAAACTCATTATCAATTAAATACCCCATCATTCAGAATGTGACATGGTATGCTTAATCTTATATCATGTATTAGTAAATACAATGAAGAATGGCTTTCACTCATTGAACAGTATTCCTAAGGTGCATATCGCTTGGAATGAACACATTATAATGACAGCACTGTAAATATAGACGATTATATGTCCAACTTCTTGCCAAATACTTCAAATAATCATGATTAACATCTACAGCTTAATTCATTGTGACGCAAGTACTCATCTTTAAGATATGTTTCTCTCATTTCTGCCAAACTTAATTGCAACTGAGGTCAACGCATGCATTAACCATAGATAGAACATGTTAAGATTCAGTGTTCTGAGGCAGTTTCGACTGCATTCCCCAAGTACTGTTCTGCGTCACTTGCACTGAGAAAGACAGAGGTACAGACTATTTTGGAACAACCATCTTCCAAACTGTTCCAGAACACAAGAATATGTCTTCCTCATCAGATGATGGGGTTTAGTCAGGGACCATATACGCCCTTCTAACCACAATGAACCTTCTCATGTTCCGTGCCCACAGTGGAGCATATATGGCAAGTCTTATCTTACTCTATGCTGTTTCAAGAAATTACTTTTATGATCCATTAAGAGAAAATGCTATCAAATGACTGCTTAAATAAGTGGCAGTGTTTCTCAAGCTTCCTGGGTTCACAGAAGAGCCACTTCAGAGGTATTAACCCCTTCGCTGCTCAGTGGCAGATCCACAGGTGCTTAAATTCCTGGTAATGTCATGTACAGAACACTAAATCTTTTTAGACTGATGAGTAAGAAGTACTTTTTTTACCACAAATTTACGTTTTTCATTGGGTAATGTTTGCACAAAAATATTTATATCTGCAAAACAAGGACCAAATCTACCTGTTTATAAGCGATGTCATTATGCACTGTACCTCACCTAAACCAATATAAACTTTCAAAATGAAGTTTGATATGAACTTTTCCATTTTGAACAAAGCAATTTCATGATATTGCACGTTTTCTTCAACACTAATGAACTATAAGAAGGTTCCTTGGCTCAGGGAATGTAGGAGGTCCTCAAAATACAAGGATACAAAAGCAGCATTAACAGTTACACATCTACTCATTCATAAGCAGTATGTAATAAGTTACTAGTAGACTAAAACATGGTAATTCTAACTATTGAGAGAAGAGGGAATTCTTGACAGCCCTTAATCTTTGGACATGATTCACATCCATGAAATCCTGATGGCCCTAGTCTTAGGACGACATACGCAAAAGGATTGGGATCCTGATGGCCCAACAGCCTTAGTCTTAAGACAACATATA